GCGAATTTTATATGAAGTTCATGCGAGCCACTTTTCCCTGTGTACTCAATCTGTGATCATTTCAAGTATTCTAAACATTTTAAAAGGCCAAGATAAATAAATTGAACATTTCATTTGCATGTATTTTCTCCACTGAAGTTAACAACAGTGATTTCTGTTCATTGCTACTGTTAATTGTCTTTGAACATTTTTTCTGGGGGAAATGCCACGCACCCTATGTTGAAAATTAAACAGATAAGCTCAATATTTACACATTTATGCAGTATATTTTTCTCAATATTTTGCACTGGTGTATAGAAGGTTCTTAAATGTATATTCTCCGTATGAAGTTTTGTTTGCCAGTGATTTAATTGACTGCCCCTAAAGCGAATTCCATGTAAACAATGCAAAATCCGAAGTAAGTTGTATTTACTCCAATGATATATTTCTGCGTTGATAGTTAGCAATTTTTCCTTCACAAAAAAAGAATATGTTGGTTGATAATCTAAATCTAAAAATATTTTTGAATTCGATTAATGGAATCTGGATAGGGCCACATAGTTCACTATCGCGCCATCGAGCATCTACTAAAGGGTCGATGGCGCGCGCGATGACGATGACTGGACGGTGCCATATCGCGATTACGATGATGCGATGGCGCGACAATGCGATTACAATGCTGTGATAGCACGATGGAGTTATAGCGAACATCGCTACATCGTCATCGTACCATCGCTTCACCGTCATTGCACCATCGTCTCATCGCTATCGCACCATCGCGTCATCAATTCATCGTGCTATCGCATCAATGTCATCGCATTGTCGCGCCATCGCATTATCGTCATCGCACAATCGCTTCATCATCATCGCACAATTGCTTCGTCTTTGCATTATCGCAACAACGCACTGTCGATCCATACCTCGATGGTGCGATGATGCGATAGTGAACTTCATGGCCCTATCCAGATTCCATATAGTTATAACAATTTTTTTGAATTCGTTATAACGAATTCAACAAATTTCTTAAAATTTCTTATTTAGATTACAGGCAGTCCGGACATAACTTCATTCAATTCACATGAAACAATATACCATAATCATGGATAAGGAACCAATCTATAACAGAATATTTGTTTTCTGGAAACAAGTAATTGTTTTCTGGAAACAAGTAAATGAATTCGATAGGATTGAAATCATGACCGACCAAGATTGTATGACCAGGTTATTTATCAATAGTCTAGATACACGGATTGATGTACAAACTCTACAACCTAGGAATTAAAGAAAAGTTAGGGCAAATCACCGATGTCTTTTATGCTATAATGCAAGTATTGAAATCATTAACCAACTTCAGTCCAGCATTAGAAGGAGTAAGACAGGGTTGCTTTTTTTCTCTTAACGATGTATTAGATGAATAAGAACTCGCAATTCAACATTATCCATATGTGTTTTGGACCCTAAGTATGTTTGTCCTTTGCAAGCTGATGATGTTCATGTATTCCATGCACTGATGTATCTACCATAATGGATACTAGTATGCATGCAATTTGCGCTCTAAATACAGCGTCTCAAAATTCTAACAATTCTGCGATAATCCTTTACCAGTATTTCATGAGAATTCTACATTTGGACGATACTTTGATCACACGGCCATCATAATAAACGAGAATCGAAACAAGAAAACATGTCTTGTGTGCATGTGATGAAGGATGACAATCCTCAGTGTTATGGTCTATCTCATATCAATATCTTGTGCACTAACCCTCCAACCTTGGCACATCCTTAAAACCATCCTCCCCTATGCACCCTTTAGATGTGAACTATTGAAATGGATTCTGCAACTATCGAAATTCCCGGGAAAAAAAAACCTCTGCCTTACCTAGATCCACAGTTTACTTTCCGTCATAATTGTCTTGGAATTATTCCATCGACAAATAAAAAAAACTTTTGCATTCAACAGTGATACGTAGTATCATAACAGATGGTGATTTTCAGTTTTTCAACTCAATCTTCTACAACAACAAACTTCATAATATTTGGAAACATTCGGAGTCTCAAATTTTTCTGCAAACTAATTATCAACAAAGTTCAATGTACCATGATCAGTGCAATTTGATCTCTTTATGACGACAATTTCTGTCATGCAGCCTTGCATGTTCTGTCTGTCAAAATGAATGGTGGAATGCCACCGCAAATTAACTCTTTTGACATCAGTCTTGTGGCAGAGCTTCGTGGACTCCATAAGATATCTTCCTGACTGTTCCTAACATAAACCATGTTATCTGAGTATCAGGACAGAAATTTCTACAGAGCTCAAATTGTTATTTCGCACTTGTGCATAATACAAAGGGTTACGTGGGGCGGTCCAGTAGTATAACTTTTAACTTGTAAGGAACAAAACGTGCTTTATATATTAATACATGTATGTACATAGATAAGCAATGTAGTTTTACAATGAATCTATTTAAAGAGAAAATAAAAGATTAATGAATAACAGATAACTATTTAAAAAATACACATACCCTTGGTGCATACATGTTTATTTCCTGCTTTAGATTTTAGGAGACAACGATATCGTAAACCGATGTGATAATGAAATTGTCGTTAGTTCATGATTTAACATTTCCTTTTTATTACCGTAATCGTTATCTATCTAATCAGTAAAAATTAGCATGCAAGCAATTAAAATTTTATTAGAATTATCGTGTTATGAGTTATGATACAAAACTTTTAAATCATTATACATGTATTTGATATAATGGAAGATTAATTTGATAATGTTTTCCTCGAATGAATGTTAAATATTGGGACAAGTCTTGTAAAAAGTACAAGGAAGAATCAGAAGAAGACTAAAAATTACCAGTACTTTAAAATCTAAATTTATCTTTAAAAAAAAATTTTATTATATAATTTAAGTTGGAATCGAGTTATATATCTATTCTGTTGAAATATATGATTTTGATATTAGTTGGGGCGGGAGTCGGGGAGTGAGTATCCTTATAGAGTGAATTTCTATGTGCTTTCTGTATAAACCTCTAATAAAACTAATGTCCAAATGCTGTATCTCACGTCCAATGACCATGTAGCATAGGGCAGCGCCTCGTGAAGTCCATTATTACAACGCACTTTGAAAAATTATGCACTTTGAAAAAAAAATTTTGGGACCACGTTAACGCACTTTGAATAAAAATATTTCTTTTCAAAGTGCGTTAATATCGACCATATTAACGCACTTTGAAAAAAAAAATGTGCACGGCTTGGTCAATATTCTTGCAAATTTTAGGTATGATAAATATTTATTTGAACCTGGTTGGATAACTTTTCGGTGATGAGATATATAGACGTTTAAAGATTTTTAGGAGTTGTCTTGTTTCCAAAGGTTCTCGTAACTGTTATTTTTATGAAAGGGAAATGGATCTTTTAGAAATAATGGAGGAATGATTGTTTAATAGCACAGTTTTGTTTCTTTTTTCCTTTTCTTTTTTAAATTTTATCCAAGCTCTCTTCTTTAATTTAATAGGGTGCGTATTTTTTTTTCAGGAAAGCTTACCTCAGTTTTTTCATCTATTTTACGTTAAATCAAATTTATTGAGAGAAATAATATCAATGTCATACCAGTTATTTAAATACTTATATTTGTGTAGGAAAGATAGAGAGTTGGGCTGAGGGACTTTCTACCTGTCTTCTCCACGTTCTCGATGAGGGTAGATCAATTCATCAGTTTTTTTTTTTTCGGAAGAAATATAACAAATTAATGCTGTCTATTACTAAAATCTAAGTCCTGAATTTTGTTTTATACGTATTTTTTCAAAGTGCGTTAAGTGTCTCCATGGTAAAAAATTTTGATGTACACTCTTAACGCACTTTGAAAAAAAATTTCAGAGTGCGTTGATTTTCTCCCAAATTTAACGCACTTTGAATTTTTTTTTTTTCAAATTGCGTTGATTTTGTCCCAATTTTAACGCACATTGAAAATTTTTTTCAAAGTGCATAATTTTTTCAAAGTGCGTTGCCACAGTCCATCCATTGGCATCAAAGGCAGGTTTTGTTTTGTTTTTTTTTTACTTGCCTAGATAACCGAGCTGTCTAGAGCGCTATTCCTGAACCGCAAGGAGACAGATTCCGCAGGCCTCGAGTTCAAATCCGTGTTGGGGCGGGAGCATAGGCGTCGGAACCGGGGGGGGGGGGGGTAGGGGGGCTAAGCCCCTCCCACTTTTTTGCCAAGTTGGCCAAGATAGACATAATATAGGCATTGAACATTGGGGTGTAGGTTTAGCCCCCCCCCCCCCCCCCCCACGAAATAGGATTTTTGAGTTTGGACAATTTTCAATTTTTTTTTTTTTGCTTGTCAATTTTTTTTCAGGTTTGAATTTTTTTTTCACTTTCAATTAGTCCCCCCCCCACTTTCAATTTGCTTCCGACGCCTATGGGGAGTGAGTATCCTTTTGAAGTGAATCTCTCTCTCTCTCTCTATTCAAATTGTCTACGTATGGGGGTCAAATGCTGGTGAGGTTCTCGAGAGGTATTACTTCGAGTTTATGTCCATCTTCTCAAAAAGGTTCTGCCAGTAAAGTCACTTGTCACACCTCCTCATTTTGGTGACCTTGGAAGTGCTACGGCAACTGGACAGTGGCGAAAGGCGAGTCTCCGGCGGCTTTGAATAACTGGAATTTGTGACCTAAGGGAAGAGAAACCCTGACAGAAAACCACTGGTCCTCCGAGTCCAGGGGGTTCTGCTCAGGGTGAGCGACCCTCACATGTAAAAAAAAATCAACTGCTACAGAAACCAAAGCCGAGGATAACAGATTGGAAACAATTCAGGAAACTGATATCATGAAGTCAAACCCAACAGGAAACTGACACCGAGATAGTGAACATCCTCCACCCTAAATAAGTATGTAGAGTTGGCTGCTGGAACGTCCGCACCCTCTACCAGACAGGAAAATTGGCTCAAGTCTTAATGGAAATGGACAGGTATAACATCCAAATACTAGGTACATGTGAAACTAGATGGACAGGAAATGGGGCCACTGGTCATCAGATACTACGATAAACAGCACAGCAGTGGTGTAGGCTTAATACTCAGTAGGAAACTAGGGAAGTGCATGTTAGGCTGGAAACGACTCAGCGACAGACTTCTTTCTGCACGATTCCATTTAAAATATGCTAAACTGACTGTTGTAGTCTGCTACTCACCTACAGAAGACAAAGACGAAGAAGAAAAGGATTCCTTTTATGAAGAACTGCAGAGAGCCATAGAGGAGACACCAGTTCATGATGTACTACTCATACTGGGTAATGTCAATGCAAAAGTTGTCACCAACAATGAAGGAAAAGAATCCATAATGGGAAAATATGGCTGTGGTGTGATAAACAACAATGGTAGTAGACTAGAAGATTTCTGCCAAGAAAATAAGTTAATTATTGGAGGTACCATCTTCCAACACAGAACATTCATAAACTAACATGGACTTCACCAGATGGACACACAAACAGCCAAATTAACCATGTACTGATAAACAAGAGGTGGAGAGGAACATTGTAGGATGTAAGAGCAGGGGCTGATATAAAACATTACCACAATCTGGTCCTAGTAAAGGTAAAATTGAGAAAGATAAAGAAAGGGGAAATCGGTCAACTCAAGTGGATGTAAGCAAACTCAAAGACCCCACAGTCATGAAATCATTTCAGATAGAGGTTAAAAACCGATTGACCATCATAAAAAATAAACAAGAACTCAGTATTGAACAATTCAACACCACACTTGTTGAAGCAGAAAACATTGGGGTTGAAAAGGAAGAAGAAGGAAGAATGCCATTGGGTATCATCTAAGCCATGGAAATTGGTTGAACTAAGACGCAAAACAAAGAAGAAAATACTAACAGCCAGGTCAGCCAGACTAAAAGATCAGCTAAAAGAAACATACTCAGTATAAAGAAGTTAAGTGCACGAAGGGACAAGAGAGATTATGGTGACACGCTAGCACAAGATGCAGAAGATATTGCCTCAAAACAAAAGATGGAGACCTTATATCGCATCACAAAATTTTGAGTGGAGGATTCAAAAGCAAAGATACACCAGATGGAGAATTGGCCTCCAGTATAGAAGAAGAGCTTACCTGTTGGAAAAATCACTTTGAAAAAGTATTAAACAGGAATGTACATCAACAGAACAAGCTGAAATAAGTAAAGGTGTAGACACTTTGGACATCGATACTGACGTATCAACAATAGAGGAAGTAAAACAGGCCATCAAACTTCTTAAGAATAATAAAACCCCAGGGATCGATCAGATACAGAAATGTTGAAAGCTGAGGAAGTATTAACACCCAAACTTCTTACCGATATCTGGCAGACAGAAACAGCACCAGATAATTGGAAGGTTGGCCTCATAGTAAAGCTGCCCAAGAAAGGTGACTTAGCTGACTCAAATAACTGGAGAGGAATGATGTTGTTGTCAGTTACCAGCAAAGTCTTAAGCAGAGTCATCTTAAACAGAATGGCCTCAATGGTAGACCCATACCTTTGTGAAGAAAACAAGCTGGATTCAGAAATGGAAAATCATGTACAACCAGATATTTGCCTTGAGGCAAATTTTAGAATAGAGCAATGAATTGAATGCAACGCTGTATGCCAATTTCATCGACTTGCCAAAGCATTTGACAGTATACATTGTCCTGCTTTATGGAAGATCTTCACACATTATGGCATCCCTAACGAGATCATTTCCATCATTCAGATGCTTTACAAGTACTTCCAAGCACAGGTGATCTGCGGCACAGAACTGACAGAGAGCTTCCCAATCCAAAAGGGGGTACGACAAGGATGTCTGCTTTCAACATTGCTCTTTACTTTCTGTATAGACTGGCTTAAAAGTCAGACTAATAGGAGAATATCCTGAACATTTCAACAGTCACTAAAAGATCTTGACTTTGTAGATGACATTGCTTTACTAGCAGAGCAACATAAGGATATCCAAGGCAAAACTGATGGCCTAGTCAGGATTGGGAGACAAATTGGACTAAATATAAATGTAAACAAAACAAAGTTAATGAAGATATTACAAAGATAGATAAGGAAGTTACAGCAAATAACAACAGAATAGAAGAAGTAGACAATTTTATATATCTTGGCAGCAAGATCACAGCCAATGGAGATACCACCAAGGACGCTGAAAATAGAATAGCAAAAGCCCGTGCCACCTTTGCAAACCTACAGAACATCTGGAAATCTTCGAATTCAATCATCAGAACCAAAACCAAAATAAGAATATTCAAAACAAATATTATTGGAGTCCTCAAGAGATCTGACTCCTGGAAGGTGACAAACAACATCACTCAAAAACTAGATATCTTCCAACAAGATGCCTCCGTAGAATACTCAAGATATTCTGGCCGAACAAGATCAGCAATGAGGAGATGTATGAAAGAACAAAAATAGCGTCCATATCCCACCAGATCTATATATCAAAGATATATATCAAAGGTAGTCAAACCTCGTTATCTCGAACTCAATAACTTTGAGGTATCCGAGGATTCGAGATATCCAGGGTAAAATACTTAAAGAAAAAGTTTTGGTTTGGGACTTCCAAATCACAATATCTTAAGAAAATCCTTGTATACTTTGGTATCCCTTTCCGTCCGCCCATCACAAATAAGCAGCAAAAGCCAATTCATCTTTTGAAACACGATTAATGGTGCCCGGTACATGTGCATTTTTCTTCCATCCTCGCCAGTGGGAACCAATGGGGGTCGAAAAAACATTTTTTCCTACAAAACCCAGTTCTCAGAATTTCCTTACGTTTGACAAAGAAACTTTTAATAAATCATCTTGGTGGTTGAATTGCAACAAGGTTTCAAGAATTTTCATCTTTATCCAGGAGTCCAATTGAAGGGGGGGGGGGGTAAAAACATGTTCCCAGAAATTTTCACACTTTAGGAAGTACTATGCATATTTTGCCACAATTTATTATGCTTCATTAAATTCTTTTTAGACTGATGAATTTTTACTATATGAAATACTAACATAAGAGCCCCATGCTCTGGTACACCTGACCATTTTACACTCCATTTGATATATTATATACATATATTTAATATATGTATATATTTATTGTAAATTATAGAATAACTATTGCTGCATGAATCTGCAGAAAAGGTCAGTCATTGTAATTTTATGCTTTCTGATTTTTTAAAGGATCTTTGATATCTACTCCAGGAATTTATAGAAATGTTTCTCTATTATTACTTACGTAACCTTATGTTACAGAAGGAAGAAAATTTGATGGATCAGATTAAGTCTCAATAAAACTAAGAAGAGAGTAAAATTAATTTTCAAATTAAAAATATTTTTGAAAAAATTATATTTACATTTGCAAATGTTTTCTTTTATATAACACTATTAAAGGCAACGCGTATCTATATCCGTATATTTACATTTGCAAATGTTTTCTTTTAAAGCAACGCGTATCTATATCCGTATAAACGCGGGTTCCTCGCGTCATAAACGTTCGACGTAATTTCTCAGTGACGTCATAAAGGGTTGACGCGCAATCAATAGATCAAATTTGATCTCGTGACCAACCCGTATTTATATCCCGATAGATGTTTAAAAACGATACCTTATTTCTTAAATAAACACGGGTTCCTCGCGTCATATACGTTCGACGTAATTTCTCAGTGACGTCATAAAGGGTCGACGCGCAATCAGTGGATCAAACATGTGCCGTTGGGTTTGAAAAATAAAACGTTTCACGCTTAAATATTATAATCAGGCAAATATAAAATATGAATAAGTCACAAATGTAAATATAAGCAATAAGGTATCATTTTAAAACATCTATCGGGCTATAAATACGGGTTGGTAGGAGATCAAATTTACCATAAAGCCCTTTGGTCTCGTGAACAACCCGTATTTATAGCCCGATAGATTTTTAAAAATGATACCTTATTTCTTAAGTAAACATAAAGCAAAATCATCAAGTGCATTTTAAACATGTTTGTAAAATAAAAATCAAATTATTCGAAATATAAATTTTGAAAGGTCTTTTCCCAGTTTATGATCTCATGGCCCAGACCTCTTAAACTCTTACAATCTTCTCTCATAATGAGCTACATCTGGCCTTCTGGCAAATAAAACTGTCTTACAACGTATAAGTTGCAGTTATCATATTTCTACGCAGAGCAAGCATATTTTCTGATTGGCTGACACTGCTTTAGAAATCTGAACACAAATATTTTATGCCCTATATATCCTTTCCAAAAAAGGAAAAAAAAAACACTACTTGTATATTTATTACAATCATGTGATAGAAATACAATCACTCAGCAATAATGAAAATGATTGAGATGAAAGCCCCATTCACACAAAATTTTTCAACCATAACTTTCAACCTCTCATTCTACTTTGGATTTTTCCTTGATCTTCCATGCACCTAGTAAATATCGCAGTCGTATTAAAATAATATCCTTTCCCATTTGTATCCAGGAAAAGACAGGCACCATTTTTGAACCTGAAACAGAAAAAAAACAGAAAGAAATTAAATCATTCTACCTTGCAAGCACATCAATTTACTTAAATAAGTTGAAGAGTTCTTGATTTTAGAACATTCTACCAATAGTCTGGACTTTCAGTTGTTGCTGACAAACATTGGATGAAGTAAGCTTATCCCTTTGATCAGAGGAAACAATGTCTGCACCAACTGAACTCAGTGAAATTTTCTAGATTTTCCCTGTAAATGCTTTTTCTCATGTGAATACACAGTTCTACATCTCTTTTGACAGATCAATGGGATGTAAATACATGCACTGCCTAGTGAAAGGCCACACTACTATAGGTACTTTTTTCCACGTCAAAATTCCGCAGAAACACAATTTATGTTCAATCTGCAGGTAGAAAATTATGCAGATTTCTAAGATTGCCACTATATGCCTTAATTGTATTTTATGTATGCTTGGAAAAATTTCTGTGGAATGTTTGTGACTCCTTACATAGCAGAAATTAATCTAGATTGGTAATACTGTGAAATCACTAATTGTCGGGGGTTGGGGGGGGGGGGGGGTTGAGGTATGAAGAGACACAAGAATTCATGTCCACCACAAAATGTATAATTCATATATGCAACTACTCAGCACTTTCCCAACCACAAAATCAAATCCCCTAGAACCAAATTTTTTTCTTCAAACCTTGAAAATTTGACCTCACAAACTGGGGGGGGGGGGGGGGGGGGGGGGGGTTGAGGTATGAAGAGACACAAGAATTCATGTCCACCATAAAATGTATAATTCATATATGCAGCTACTCAGCACTTTCCCAACCACAAAATCAAATCCCCTAGAACCAAATTTTTTTCTTCAAACCAAGAAAATTTGACCTCACAAAAACATGATTTCATAGTATTTGTTCACTAAGACAAGAACATGGTGATCTAGAATGAAACAAGAGGCCTGAGAACCTAGAATTGCTCTCCTGAAAAATTGCACAAAGCTGTCGTTTCTATTAAAAGCCTCTTGGTATCTCAAATAGATAAAGCCTTGAAATTCCAAAATAAGGTTAACATGTTCTACTTTTTGGTTAACACACTTTAAGAACCCAAGATGCATCAACTGACAAAGTTTGATGATAATATGCCTCTTATTATCCGAAACAGATATAGCTGTCACAGAGATCTACTTTTTGGCTGAATCAACAAAGTTTGTTATTTCTAAGCCTATTGGTATCTTAAATATTGAGATGAAACTATGAAATTCCATAGTAGGTCACTGTGACCTACTTTTTAGTTAATAGAGTCTAAGGACCCAATATGCATCAACTGACAAATCTGATGACTTTAAGCCTCTTTTTATCCTAAATATTGATAAAAGTGTTCAAAATCCCAAAATAAGTCACTGTGATCTATTTTTTGGTGATTCCTCAAAAATTTTAAATTTAAAACATCTATTCATCCTTAAGCATAAGTTTGGCGATAACCTGCTCAGTGATTCTTGAGAAGATTTTTTAGCAACCATTACTCCCTAATTATCTCCCATTGCTTAAGGGTCACATCACTATTTTATTACACTTGAAAGCCCTTGGGCCAAGGATACTCTGTGACAAATTTGACAAAAATTGGTCAAGGGGTCTTGAGATACGGCCCATATTCCAAGAAGTTGATGCAAACCGTATACATGGACAAAGCATTAGCCCTTTGAGCCTTTGGCTCAGAAGAGAAAAAAATGAGGATAGAAACTTTTTTTTTCTGTTTATACCTTCAATTTCAGTCCAGGTGATGGCCACCTCTCCTACTGGAATGTTAAAGTACTGAGCTAAGAACAGCATGTCTACATCAAATGCCCTACAAAACATAAAGTAGCATTCATCATTTGTTAGCAATGCATACTACCTTTCAATTTTTCATGACAATTATGGCAAATAAATTATTACAGTGTGACTGAATACAGGGTTCGCCACTAACATTTTAAGGCTTTAGTCCAGCCGGACTAGTGCTTCTTTACGTTTACTAGTCCGAGCGCGATTTTATGAGTCCGTAAAAAAAATAAATAAATAGAATAAACATTGCAATGTACTTTTTGTACTTTTTTTTTGAAATAAACAAAGCATTTATGTGAAATGATTAAATCCAAGATTCGTTGAAATCTCGCGATCAGGAATTACGATCATATTCCCGATCTCGTTCGTTTTTCTCTATACATGATTACATCACCCAAATGTCCGAGATCTTTCTTTATGTGTCATACTAAATATTTAATTTCATACCAATCAGTCCTAAAATTAAGCACCGAATCGACTCAGAATTACCTAACTTCCCGCCAAGAAGCTAGAAAGCTAAAAATACATGCGGGGTTTTCCAGTGAAAATTGTCGAGAATTGAAATCAGTAAATTATTGATTTTTTTCCAGAAAATTTTATTACTCCGTTCGGACTAATTAGCCACAGATTTTATTAGTCCAAATGAAAATGTATTAGTCTGAGACTAACGGACTAATGTAAATGTCGAACCCTGCTGAATAGGTAATAAATGAATGTCCAGAAATATTATTATGTATACAGTTACTAGTTTAAGCTTCTATATGATTTGTCTTTTTCTTATGAAAACAAGACCCACCATCTCTCTACATGCAGATTAGAGAAGAGGAGAATTGCTGCCTCTCTTGTAAGAAGTTTAAATCCACATTGTGTGTCCTTGACTCCCCGTACACAAAGAAACCAGACAACAAAATGGAAACCTTTCATCAAGATTGTCCTAAATAAAGACCTCTGGAAATGAAGTATAACATCATTAGCAAGTTTAATGAAAATTCATATTTTCTTTTTTTTCAATTTTAGATTATTGTATATACAATGTACATGTATGTGAATATTCATACATATGAACTCCAATCTCAGAGAGATAACCCAAGGTCTTTATTTTTAAATATGTTCTTGGATAGACTGAATGATTTATTACAGTGGAGAGAGCATTAAACAAAAGAATGAACCTCTAAAAGAATTTACCTGTGTGACCAACACTGGTTCATATTTTACTTGTGTAACTGACACAAGTTTACCTGACCGACACTGGTTCAGAGTTTACCAATGTGACCACGGACACTGGTTCAGAGTTTACCAGTGTGACCACCAACACTAGTTTAGAGTTTACCTGGGTGACAACACCGATTCTGAGTTTACCTGTGCTATAGACTCCTCTTCCAGATGTGCACGAGACCCACACACCACTGCCCTGTTACTGCTGTCCTTATTTATATTTTTCATTTCATTCTCCAGTTTTGTAAAGTCACTAAATTTACTTGCTCCATCAGCATCAGCAAATAGAAGGTATCGTCCCCTGGCAGAAAACATGCCCTATCAAAAAAAATCAGATGATGTACAATACATGTAATATTAAAAACTTGAATTGCAAAAATTAAGGTATAGGAAGGTTAATCCTGAAGATATATGTTGCAAAATATTCAAATCTGACAAAGAAAATGGAGACCAATCTTCTGAGGTTGAAAAAAGGCAAGCAAATTCTCAGACAAATAAATGAATTTAACCATAGCCAATAAAATATGGTTTTACTAGGTAACAGATCAGGAAATTTACACGTAGAAGAATACTTCAATTATTTATTATGACAGAGTTTGTATTTTTTCCGCCAAATAAGCTGCCAGTGGTACTGTAGAATTATCCTTGCAATGCAACAAGTTTAAAACCTAACAATTGCTGCAAAGAAAATAGGGAGATGCACAACTTTTTTTATTCAGTTCTTGAGAACTACATCTCAACAAAACAAAATCTTTTTGAAACAAAATAAGATTAATGGCATACTAACCAGCCTAATGGCTCCACCCTTTCCGCGATTCTTTGCAAGTGTTAACACTCGCACTTTCTCAGATCCAAATTTATTGCAATATTTTTGTGCTGTCTGGAGGTAAAAATATGAAATATAGCGGATAAAATTATCTACATATAATATTTCAAGATATTCAGAAAACAGTACATGTACTTTGAACAGAGTAAAATTATTTACTTGTGTAGTTTTGTCTTTGCTGCCATCATCAACAACTATCACCTCATAGCTGAATGATGACGATTTTTTCTACAATAAAATACATGTACCTGATGATAAAAAGAATAGTTACGTATATTCTCTAAAAAATGAGTTTTTTATCAATTGTGTATCAGAAGATTGTCAACGGATATTATAAAAATAATTTTTAAGATACAATTGAATTTCTAAAGATTACAATATATTTACAAAATTTGCTACTAGGATTCTCTAAAATTTTCTGCATGTAATATCAATAATTATCTACCAATATTTCCTTTTCACTACAAAACCAACCTTTCTTTCCTCTAAATAACCTAAAGCTTCATCCATCATTACTGGTACTACAAGGAAAAATGTATCTAATTAATTTATAAATTGACTCCATCCTATTAAAAAAAATACACATGTATATATAATAAAAAGGAATGTACAAATGAAGTAAGATTAATGTGGAAACATTTTAATTTGTGAGGGTCAATGTTCAAGGACAAGCAAATTGGTTCTTTGTTTCATGGATAATTCATTCATACAGAAGATTCAAATGAATCAATACGTTGAAAAAAATAATTGTTTGTAAAGATGTAAATTTGTTGGTTAGGGTGACCCCATCATCGCAAACCACAGCCAAAATGTACAATCCTCTCCCATTCTGGCTGTGGTTGAACGAGAAGAGAATATTCCGCAGCTCATTAAAATATTGACCAATGCAAGTAAAGCATAGTCAGATAATGAACTTGAAATACCCAATCGCAGTATACGAATCAATTCTTGTATACTGTTGATGTCAGTTGTTGATTTCAATTGCAATGGAAATAAAATATTGTCATTGGCTGAACATGACGTCTCAACATAGAGGCTTAAATATTCAAGATTACGACACTTATTGAGACCAAGCAGCCACAGGTAGGAGAGAGCTATATGCAGACTCTGGACCGTGGCTTGAGACGATGGGGTGACCCATGAAATCAACACATTGGTCCTCCACAAACAATGATGATACAGAAGTCTACTTAATTTCCTGTTTACATACACCTTTCTTCTTCATTGTATGCTGGTACAATGACAGAGAGCTCCAGAGTGGCTGGATCATTGATTGATGGAAACACACATTTCTCCTGCTTTTCATTCATGAAATACTTTTCAGTCTCATATCTTCCTAAATCTGGATATGGCTTTGTAGACATGGCAACAACAATTAACACCTGTGGAATGAAAAAAAACCCATAACTTTCATGACTGTAGATACATGTATATGAATTGCAAGAATCATCACCATTGATATACTGGTTCACTAGTCTTTGCATTTTGTTCCCAATGTTTATCTTGTTTTCCCATTAAGGCAATCTTTTGTCCTTAGTTTTTGGACATTTATCTTTGATTAAAAAATGCAGCATTATTTAGGCCTATCAATCAAAATAAAGGAAACATAAAAGAATTATAACAAGAAACCAATAGTGTCAGAGGCATCACGGATTATGCTCATTCATAACAGTTATATTTTCTGACATATATCGAAAATGTACAGTCTTCGACAAATCTCGGGAGTTCAATGTCCGGGACCTGGTCAAGTTGGAAGCCCCAAAGGGCATGTAAATTCAGAGGCTTAAATCACTATATCGTTTATAATAATGTACTTTTGATTTTGATTCGAATGATCATTCATCGAGTATTTCATTTTCATTATGTGTAATGTAACACATCAAATTAAATAACATCAATGATATTAAATATAACTTGCAAGCATTTGTCTGATTTATTCATCCAAAGTGAAACATAAAATAATGACAGGTTATTCTACCATGATTTCTAAGAAACTCTTTTGAGTTGGAGGCACAAAAAGCTATATATTGAAAAAAATGGTGTGACAATAGATGCTCTCGGAGAAATGGATTTCCTTGGCACAAAAAGGGAAATAATAATAATAAATTCTTAATAAAAGTCGGGGGCATGTAAATATTTGTTCGGGCTAGTTTAATAATTGGATACATCTGCCAGAAGATTCTGCGAAGACTGAATGTATGTTGTAATAGCGAGAAGCGCAAAGCACCGCTCATCACTGCGAGCTCTAACAACAACGCCTATGTAAAGTGAAAATTTGGCCTACTGCACATTCATTCAGTATAATTTTTTACGCAGTAACTCTGGACCAAAAATGCAACGCTTTTTGTTCTCGCTGTTAACTTCGTTCTTGTGCGCTCACCCCAATTGTCGCACCGACAACATATTATTGCCTTTTCTAACAAAGTGACTCTCGAGATTCTGATTTTGTGAAAACCTAAGCCTCATTTCAATGTTCCCCAATTATCTTCCTTTGGACCTTCACACTCTTTTACCCAATGCTTTATGCCAAGCATGGTTACCCAAATATCTACATCAAGTTTGGTTGAATAAAAAGAAATGCAAAAGCTGAAAATGTTAATGACTTTACAGACAAGTTTCAATCAGAGTTTCTAGCTGGGTAGAGAAACGATCAAATAATGGAAAGTGTATCTGTCAATATGCTGTAGATAAATTAACTGTGGTGCAGCATAATATTGCAGCTGCATTGAGCAAGATCAAAAGTCTTTAAACTGTAAATAGACCTTATACTTACAATAAAAGCTGTAATAACTGCAATGCCCACGAAGGACAGCAGCATTGAAAAAAGATCCATAAGTGTTAGCTGCTACTATTTCATCATGCTGTCGATGTGGAGAAGCTTGTCAAGTGTACCCGGAAGTCGTTGGATGGATCTGAGTTATCAAAATGTTTTGGACTGAATATTTAATAAGCTCCTAAAACTATAAAATCATAGTAACTGTTGATCATTTTCCAACATTTTCCGATAGATATATATATTTCTATGATTTAAAAAAATCTTTGCGTAGTTGTATGAGATAAAGGAACAATTTAACCGTTACAGATATTATCCGGGAAAATTAATTCAGACCGTCAATTCAAAGCGTCTAAAAAAATGTTTCACGTTGTTTACATTTCTACTTTTGAGGGTTCCAATAGATTAAACATGTTAAACGCTTAGTCTTCGTGTGCCACGACGAGCATAAACATGGAGGACCAAATTGAGCTGTTCTCTTTTCGATCAATTGCTCGAGAAACAATAAATGGTAGGTCTCGGTAGATGTTGAATTATAAATTCTACACATTGCACTTCCTTTTTTCGAGGAAATGCGGGAGATGCCGGTAAATGAATCACATTTCCTTGTTTGATGAAATAAATGCAACCTAATTAATTTATATCATAATCTGATTGAAGAAGATTTAATTTTTTTCATGATTTTGTTATTTGCTCTATCAATAAATCATGACAGTGCTTCTTCCCTACTTTTGTAGGTTTTGTATTTTGGTCCTTGTTTCAAGGTCTAGGGCCTATGATATGGTTCTATCCTTTAAATGAACTTGATATATCCGGATATGAGGCGTTTGCTGCCACCTGGTTCAGCCCTATTCTCCTTGGTATACCAGGCATGATGTTACTGGTTCAGAATCGATGGGTCTTGGGTTTGCTTCGGCTACTGATGGTTGGATCCTTGGCCTCATTTCAGGCACCCACAACTCTGACCAGACTCATGATTCTTGCAGGGGGAGCTGGAGTTCAAATGCTCGTTTTAGCATCCACATTATGGAGTCCAGATGTCAAAATAAGGTAGGGTGCTTTGTACATTCTACAAACGAGAGGAACTAATGAAATAGCCCTCAGTATGTTCTAGTGGAGAGTTTGAGAATTGTGCATGATAACATGAATGTACATTAAAGTCTTGTATAACAGAGGTATAGGCAACATTTAATTAGATAACATTGTTTCCACAGTTGGAATACATCCCAATTATACTCTTGCAGAACTGTGGCAAAACTGAGCAGATATGCTCGGTCACAATTTTGAATGATACAAATGAAGTTGCTTTGAAATAAACCACCAAAATTAATCATAAGAAACCTTTCTGAGCTTGTATGTAATTTTCATCCTGAAAATAAATCTGAAAGGAAAAATTCAAGAAAACACATTGTCTCAATGTGTTTTTTTTTCTCTTCAAATTTCTTTGCCATGGTGACATTAAAAACTCTGTGAATTGTTCATAGTGTACATTTACCATGTATATTAGAATTATCTGCACCTGTTCATTTTACTACATGTACCATACATTGCCAACACATAGTATCATTAAATTAGATCCCTGGGAAAACATCATTCTAAAGATGGACTGCTCTAATATATTAAGCTACATTGTAAACATGGTCTTTATTCCAGATCCTCAACATTCTGGGGACTTTTTCTGGGACTACTGTCCTTGATCACAAGCAGGGTATGGTTTGTCTCCTTTATTCCCACCTGGTGGAGCAACAGTACAAACTCAGCAATCATTGCCATAGCCGTCATTTCCACCATAGACCAAATATTTTCAGGTAAATCTTGAAAAAAAAGTACGAGGGTTGTCCGTAAAGTTCGTGGACAAGCTAAAATTTAAATAAAAGTTGGTTCAAAGATATTTATTATTAGCATATTTATAATCCTTTACTATATGTGAATTACAAAATGTAAAATTTTATTCAATTTTAAATGTATAATTACAATTATGTCCTCATTATTAGACTTAGGATGGTGACCCGGAACATGGCAAAGTTTTAATTAAAAAGTTATTTACCACTTTATACATTTCATCTGTATTTTGTAAAATAACGTGAAAATTTGGATGACTTTCGCATTATGACGTTGACAGAAGTTTTAGCATCAAACCTGCAAAATTTGAATGTTCAAAGTTTCGAAATGGCAGAGAAATCGAGGTTAGAATCTATCAAGACAAGATTGTCGTTGTTCAAAAAAGGGACGTTTTCGGAAAAGGTGGAGCAGAGAGCAGTGATAAAAGTCTGTGTAGACATCGGAAAAACACCAACAGAGACCCTTAAATTCTTTAAACAGTCGGGAAAACATAGCAAAGTAAGCCGTTCTTTAGCGTTTAAGTGGCACAAAATATTTTCGGACGGAAGGGATAGTTTATAGGATGACCTGCGGGAAGGAAGACCATCTTTCCGAGATTGCAGTCTGTAAAAAATGAAGCTTAATTGTGACGTGATTGACAATGATCGGCGACTAACAGTTCTATTTCCATACATAAAGTCATTTTTACGCGGACTGAGGTATTATGATTTTTAAGATCTTAGTCAGGAAGTGTTAAATATTATTTCACGTATGAAACCAGAACAGTTTGTGCACATTTTTGATGACTAGTTAAAGCGACATAAGAAATGCATTGGGTTAAAAGTTGACTATGTTGAGAAAAGTTAAATGTTTTTTTAGCTTTTGACGTCGGGTAACGTCATGAATTTTCATTTTAGTGCTCCGGGTATGAATGTGTGTCTTTTTGTATCTGATAAAAATATAGCTATTTGTGCTTTGTTTGTGATGAAAACTTGTATATTAATAAAATGAAACATGAATTTAATGAAAATAATAGTTTCATATATTTTATTAATGTTTGTTTGTTATTATCAAGGTTGTCCACAAACTTTACGGACAACCCTCGTATATTATTAAAGTGAATATAGCTTTTTATTTTTTTTTTTAAATTGTTTTGAGAAAAGTCCCAACGACATGTGTAGATATTTTAAAATATTCATGTATATTATTAACAAATGAAGTTTATATTTCTTCAAAGTTTAAGACTTAGAGGTACTTGAGAATTTAAACTATTGTGATGGCCAGACAGGTTGTTTTGCCAGTGGCCAGATAGCTCAGTTGGTAAAGCACACCTTTCTAAAGTTCAGGGGGCCTGGGTTCAAATTGTGATCTGGTCCATCACATTTTCTTCCTGTTACACTGTGGAGATTTAAGAAGCAACAATTGATAGAAAATGTGATGTTTACTAGAGATTTTTACCCAATAAATTATCATTATCTATTTATCCCAATTCATGCAGGAGCAGACATTGTAAACAACAAAGAAAAAGAGAGACCTGATCAGCCATACTGGTTCCCTACAGCTATTGGATTTGGAAGTCTTATCTATCTGACACACTGGTGTTTTGGGGAGGTGTCATTAATTACTAGATGGGTGGTGACTGGCTTTCCAGACCATGGACCAATGCCTTATCCTTGGGGGTAATTTATTGTAATAAATACTTGTACATGCTGAAAATGAGTTGTTTCCTTTTGTGTTTCATACATGTTGAATATATTTTACTTGGAATTATTCTGTATTAAAGTTTTTAACATTTTATATTTCCAGAATTGGAGTATTCTTATGTCTTGTATTTGGATTTTACATGTCAGCATGTCGCCACGTAGCACAAAGTAAAATCTGGTGGCTGATAGGTGCCCTATCTCTAGCTGGACTGTATTACTTACCAACCTTCCAGGGCTACACAGGTCAGCTAAAATTATAAGATACAATGAAATAAAAATATAACAGAATTAAATATCTTTTGTTTTGCATCCACATTGTTTCCATTATTACTGAGGGCATGAATCACATGACATCCTATTGTAAAATGTTTCGTAATAGATACATGTATTTTTTTTAAACAATTTGTGATCTATTTCAACAGCTGGCCTAGTATTAGCTGTATACACCATGTCCATTTGGCCAGAAATGGCTGACAGGATCAGTAGATGCCCTCCAGCAAGGTCACTTGTGGTTGCCGTGGTCACCTATCTTGTGGAGATTTTCTTTTTTGTGTGGACCGTGGCATATAACTTTGTACCTGGTGGTGTCTATACTAGAGAACATACAGACTATCTTATAGCAGCTGTGATGTTAGGAATATTTATAGGATTATTTATTGGTAATCTACTTTTTTGATAGATTCAAATTGTTTACATGAATTTACATCCTATTATTGTTTGAAAATATCAGTATTCTGTATCTTAATGAGGAGTTTCATTTGATTTGCCACTCTGCCTATTGCATGTATTTATGTATTATATGGGTGCTATATAGTATAAGAAACATACATGCATATTTTAATTCAATGGAAGATATATTGAAAAAATAATCTGTGAACAAATTTTTAAGCAAATGTTTTCACAATTCATATTTTCAGGTAAATCTTTTGACCAGACCTTTACAGTATTACCTGTAGTTGATAAGAAGAGGATTTCACTTTCAAAAGTCAACATCTGTAAGTTTACTGGCTTCTTGTACACATTTAAAAGTTTTCTTATAAAGTAAAAACTTGCTACAGTGTATGTCACAGATTAGCAGGCAGCATTTAATGGTGAATTTGTACTACCAGTATTTGATGAAATTATATATTTTTAATAAGGGATTTAAAGGATTCTTTATTTGACAGTTTTGGGACTGATTCTGTGCTGTGGCCTGACTGGATTTGCCACAAGATACAGTCAACAAAAGATTTCCCATCCTGCAAAGGTATTGGGTTTATCTCACCATATAAAGTTGTGTCAATTTGATGAATTGTAATTTTCACTTCTGTATCAGTGAAAACAAAATTTTAGTTCGATTGATACCTTCAACTTGTTTAAATTGAATACATGGACTTGATACTAATAGAGCAGACTATTTTCCCCTATTTTTGAGGAACAACTTAATGTGTTCTATTGCCAAAGGCCAATGGGCAAAGGCAATAGAACATATTGAGCTGTTTCCAGCAGCTCGGTAATAATGTTCTGGTGTATTGACTGATGAGACATTAAATAAGTATTTTATTACTTAAAAATATACTGAGTATATGGGATCTGCAAAACCCAAAAGATCACTGATCAGAAATTTGCTTACTATTGACTGGCCGTCCAACAAATCACCAATCTGAAATTCACCAACTATTGACCAGAGATACAAAAGATCGCATTGAAGTTACTTAAGTAGTTCAAACAGATGAATATTCATGTACATACAAAATAGTCAAAAATATTTAATGGTAACGTTTATAAATCAACAAAATCTGTCTGTTGTATTGGATAATAATTTTTGATAATATAACATTAAGAAAGTTTTGTTTGAAGAATTCCAGAATGGTGACATACTTTTACCACCTTCTTTGTTTCATTCCAGTATATTGCATATTCAATTAAAGGCAATGAAATACATAATCTCATTCAAAATAAACTTTTAATGTATTGGTTTGACTGGATCATTGACATCTCTGATGAAATTTTTTTTACAACAGGCAGAATCTGAACCAGAATTTTCAGCCATGATTTGGACATACCACTTTGGCTATGACAATAAAGGCTGGCCGAGTCTGGAACGCTCTGCCAAACTTATCAATGAAACAGGTCAGAGATATTATCCAGAAGTTATCATAAAATGATCTCCAGTTTCTCTGGTTTACACAAAGTGACTTTTGGGGAAAAAAATCAGATTTTATTGATGACTTTCCCCACAGGAGCTGATTTTGTGACCCTTCTGGAGAGTGATGCTTCCAAACCATTCCTTGGGAACAATGATCTTGGAATGTGGTTGGGGGAGAAGCTGGGAATGTACGTAGACTTTGGACCTGCAACAAAAACACACACATGGGGGTAAGTGATGCAAAATACGTCTCACCAGTACAATTGTAGAGTTATTATTTGAAGATTTGCATCAAAATGTTTTGAAATTTTTGAATACACAATCAACAGAACTTTTCAGAGACAAAATAATGGTATAAGCTAGAGCTGTTGCAAAGAAATCTAGATACTGAATTTAAGTGCATGTGAATGCTTAATAAATATGTAATTATTATCTATACATGTATTCTACTTGTAGGAATCTGATATTATCTAAGTATCCAATTGTAAAGTCTACTCACCATCTTCTTCCCTCACCACATGGTAGGTCAACAGTCATCACAGTGCTCAAGTTTTCTTAAAGCTTTTAAAAGATACCATGTAATTGTAAATGCAGTGCTACAACTCTCTGTAAATCTGTTTATTTGGCAGGAGAGTTGGCTCCAGCTATCACAGCGACAGTGGACTATGGAGGGAAACATGTAGACTTTGTGGTCACTCATATGGGGAATGATAGAGATGTACTGGACCGAGAACTACAGGCCAAATTTCTGGCCAAGGAACTCAGAGAGAGGTAAAATTAGGTTAATGCTCAAGGCTACAGTGTCTGAGGAGCAAGAGAATATCATAATTCATTGAAAAATGTAAGGATATCTGAAATTTTTTGCAGTCTTTACTTACATTATGATATCAGACTTTTTATACTGTTTATTAAATAGACTCTCTATGGTTATTGATGTCAACACCAAATGAACCATGTCTGGTTTTAATAAAAAGATTTTTTTTGTTATGATGATTTTGAAGTTTTCTCTTATTAGCAAAAATCCAGTAGTTTTCCTTGGTTATGTGACCTCTGCCCCTGGAAGTCGTGACTACCATGAACTTTTGACCAGTGGAAATGTCAAGGACATTGATGAAACTGATCGAGACAGATGGTGTGAATATATTATATACAGAGGACTCAGAAAGTAAGTAAAGCTCTCAGTGATTTAGAAATTTGTGAAAATTTTACATATATTTTGTGAACCAGAAATTCTATTGTATATATGCATAAAAATTAGGGATGTCACTTTTACTCAGATAGCCTAGTCAAATAAATGGGGCTTTAGTCGATCAAAAGTCAAGTACTAAAGTCTTGATAAAATAATTTTTGTCATCGTTTAGGTGCTTTTCAGATTGCTTGTACTCCTAATATTTATATCAAGTTTCTGTCAAATACAACATATTTTTCCTATTTATTTAATAGAATACCTGTACTATAATTAATCAATTTCAAATTATTTTTCTCACTGAATATTTTATCAAAATACACTTTATCAGATACAATGGCTTGTCATTTCTGGAGACACTCATAAGTTTATGTTTAAAAGATTGATCCATCTTGAGGCCCTTTAAATGTGTCTGATTTCAGCTTAATTAATGATGCATGGCTGGTAAACAGTTAATGTGTACTTTTTTTAAAAAAAAAAGAAGCTTTTGATGGTCCCCTGCTTTCCGTGTCTTAGTGGATGGGATGCCATTATTTATGGCATATTGTTTCAAATATGCACACCCTATCAACTTTTAATTATGCAATTTTGTGCAAACAAACAAATCTAATCATGAAGTAAAGGTATGTCACTCCAGACGCTGGTTTCATAAAGGATATTTTGAGAAGTATATTTTAGATATCTACTCATATTGCATAACTCTAAAATCAGAAAGGAAATTGAGTGTCAGTGTGCAAATTACTGCGAACAGTATAGAAACTAGATCTTTTTGCACTTCAGTTTTAACTTTTAATCACTGTAACCTCAATCATATTTTATCAGATGTAATCAAAAAATGGGTATAATCTAATTTTATGTAAAAGAGTTTAAATTCAAATAAACTTATAATATTGAAAAAAAGTTGCTGATGAATTATCATGTGACTTTTTTCATTAATTAAATATCACATTTTGGGTATTAAAAATGTTAACACTGAATACAATATTTTTTTAGATTAAGATTTTTTATGAATAAAGTGCTGATCAGTTAGAGGTATTGTACAATTTCAAAAAAATGAAATAAAAAGTTGAGGCCAGTGATGTAAATTTTCATTGTCAGAAACCCATGGTCAATCTCGCATACATATGCAAGATTTACCGTGGGTTCCAACAATGGTAAATTTTGAAATATGGGTCAAGTTATGCAAATTTAAGGCTTAAAACAAGGTTAATTTTATTTTGACTTTTTTCAGTATACATGTATCTGCAACTCTTGGCAAAGTATGCTGAAAAAATGTGTAAAATTTGTTCTAAAAAATATCATTTGAAACCTACATTGAATAATCTTAGCATATAAAAATGTGAAAATTTAAGTAGGGCCAAAGTTCCTAAATATTGGATGAAACAAATCCGCTGATGTCAAGAATTTTTTTCATAATTTCCTTTATCCTTCCACCTCAGGGAGTAGCCCCTCATACATGTAAATCTTCATTCTAGCAGATTTTGTGATCGTTTTTTTTTTTAATTTAATGTTGTACAAATTGTATTGTTCAATTCAAATGTGTTATAAAAAATAAATTGTACTGGTTATTGATAATTTTGACATTGAATGTTCTGACCAAACTTTTCTGAATTAATGCTGATGATTGGTATACCTTAATTCATATAGAAAATAGAAAATTTATAGTGTGCACACATCTACATGTATCTTTATCTTACCGATAAATATGTATTCATTCTCCTTATAAAAAAAATGGATCCATAACATGGCGAAAAGTCTATTTTCTGACACCAATAGACAAGCTGAAGAAAAAATTCTGTTAATTATTAGCTTGAATTACTATTAAATAGCACATTTTTATGAGTAACCAAGGGAAAAATATTTAGTTGATAGTAGGTATGACCGAACGATAGTCAAGTACTTGAATACTTGTTGATACCCTTAATGAAAAAAATTGAATCATAAAAGATTATGAAATAAAGAAAGTTTTTCTTGAATTTTCCTGTATTTTAATACATGTATTGGATTTAAACAGAATTAATTTTAATATTCACTTTGCTTTCACTAATGGTTGACTGGTTTATGACTCTTCTCTGTCATTTTGTACAGACTGGGATATGCTCGTATAACACATGGGGGTTTGAGTGACACTGAAGTACAAATGGCCAAATTCCAGATTCCAGGGAATCCGGACAATTACAAAGATTACACAAGACTGACAACAGATCCCTCTCAAGTGGATCCTAGTGTACATTTTAATAAGAGGTGAATATAGTTGTCAATTCTTAGTTCAGTGGATTTGAAAATAATGATTATGAAGATTTATTTGGAATGACAAAAAAGGGGGGGCAAACTTTTTTGGGATTTCTGGTATTTGAATTGAATTGAATTTTGTTTTTTCTTAGATTTTTTTAAACCAGAAATTTACTTTTCTTGTCAGATTTGGATCCTTTCATCGTGGCCATGGTTATTTTTCTGACCATAAATTCCACATGAGCACTCCTAAATACTTCCTGCCATAGATTTAATCAAAACTTGCCATTCCTGACTTCCAGAAATTCCAAGAAATTACAAACTGTATGCTTGTGTCTCTGTGCAAAGAGTGAATGATGCCTATAATTCTTTGATTATAAACATGAAGCACCATGTTTAAATTACAAGGACCTGCAGCAGTGAACTAGTATGCTTGACCAATGATACTCCAGAATCTGTCATGTAAATGGTGTGCTATTGCTATCATATTTAACTGCATTGTGAACAAGTGGTAAAGTTGAATATAAGGTTGAAGATGTGATTAGCTTAGTGTAACCATACTCTACACTGGGCCTGTGACTTTTGTCCACTTTGCACTGGGAGAAACTGGTTTGAAGCACAACTGTACTTAGTTTTTATTTCCTAGGAGAGAACAAATATGACATTGAGTAATCATTATACTATATCTTAAACCAGACATTGATTCTTTGTCCTCATCATTCAGAAAGAAAATGCTAATAAAATGATTTACCACTGAATGCTTGTTGTAAAGAATTCACCATTTTTTTCTTTCATGTTCTTTTTTTTTTTAAATTCTCATTACTCTGATAATTATATAATTATTGCACTTGAAGTATAACTCTGTAATAACGTGGTGGATGGAAGGGCTGTGTTTTTGTTTGTTTGTTTGTTTTTTGTTACCTATATTACAGTCTGTATGTGACCTTATCTCATGTGTCCATATCTATTTCATGTGACAAGTTGCATAAATCATATACATAAGTATTGAAAGTACTTATAAAGCCTGATTTAAATATTTTTTGTTTTGTTACTACTTACTTTTGACGTAATTTCAGTCCTTAATGAAATGTACTTTTTTTATCGATATATATTTATTAAAGAAATTTCTCTGTATTTTGGTTCTATGTGACTTATTCATATCACAGCTCTTAATCGTTCAATCCAGTATGCCTTGTACATGCATTATAGTTACTTGTGTTTTTTAGGAAATGCAGATTTGCACAAGTGCTAAGAATGCGCTAGAAGAAAGAAACATGTTCAGGTGTTTAAATAGATATTAAATGGATAATAGGAAGATGTTGATGTGGTGCAACTTTGACCCATTCTTTTGAGTTTCATCACGTGTTTTGTGTCACCACAAGTTATGTCAGTGTTTGCTTTACAATGTTTTAATTGGAACTTTTTAGTTTGGGAATGTTGGGGACAGGTCCAGGATAAAAAAAAAATATCATATGGGGGGGGGGGGGGGCAAACTCTATTAATGAGTAAGCATCCCCTGTCGATCGGTCACACCAGACGTGATCCCTATGTATTGATCAGGTAGACAGAGTATTCCGTAGGCAGATTTAGTATAAAAGCAATGACATAAGAAATGGTAATGCACGTCAGACAAAATACGACCCAAAGAGCTTCAAGCAGGCACAGGAATTTCAACTGCTGTGCCAGTTTAGACTTAATTATTTGCACCATCACAATGACTAGAAATGATATATCATTCTCACAAATGTGACATTCATTGAGTGCACATTTCAACGCCTTACGAAAAGTAAATCACTGATTGTTCAAGGCAAAATGCGAATGGACTACCTTTTGAAAGTGCTTTAACATTGTTCCTCGGACTTCTTGCACTATTGCTTATAAATAAAACACTTCCTGGTGCCTGTGAATAAAAAGTTTGCCTTCAGTCAGCTATAATGATATTCTAGAACAGTAGTGGACAAAATTTGGACTTAATAATTCAGTCTTGTATGGCAGATATAATGAAATTCCTTCTACTTATTGCATGTTTGATATTAATCCAGTAGAAGGCGACAGCTAGTTTTAATAATTATAAACTTTCACGCCTGTATCATATAAACGTTCTGAAACCCACTCTGGGATTCCTTTCGCTTGTTTAAAAACTTAATAATTCAAAACAACCACAAATGAAATTCCTTTAGTGTGATGTTGTAAAATTTCCGCAGCAACGGCCACGAGTTTACTTGCGTGACCTTAAGCACAGCGTTTTCGAATGTAATTGATTATTTTATACCTTATTAACGATAAATGCTTGGAAACAAATTAATAAATAATGGTTGCGTCGTTGCCGTCACAACAACATTATTTGAATGAGGGCTCTCTTTCGGTGAGTACGTATCTTTAAAATTCGGCTGATATTTTCTAAAGACTTTCCATATTCACATCAAATCCATTTTCCCCAGAAATCTTAACCCCCACCATCTTAAATCTAAGGCCGTTGGGGTTAGGGAGGGGAGATTGTCATCATTTTTCCATTAAAATTGCAAAGTAATAGTAATGTCGGTGTCAGGTTGTAAATTTGAAATTTACCGGGTGGCAGTAAATACAAAATTTCGTGTAATTTATATTTACTGCCACTGGGTAAATTCAAAATTTACAACATGACATCGGTATTGACAATAAAAAACTTTGGTAATGCAATATCAATGTTTGGTAAAGCAAAACTGCGAAAACTTTCTTATGAAATTTAGTGATGCGTAGTGGGAGGAACTATACTTCTTATGCAACTTTTTTTTCTTTTTTTCTTTTAAAATTGTTCATTAATAATTTCTTATCCGTTGTTAAAGATGATAGACCAATTAAGAATACTGTTCCTTGTGATATGTTTTACTGTTATAGTGCGATTGCTATAGTGTGATCATCTGCCAAGGGAACACGACTGTACACATGTATACCTTTTTCTTCACAACATGGAATTCTTACCCCCCCCCCCCCCAAAAAAAAGGGGGGGTTGGCATTTCTTCTCTAAGTGGTGACTTAGGAATATGAAGGAAAAAATGTTTTTGTTTTTTTTTTTAAATAATGTTACATGACTAATTATTTTCACATGTAATAATCTTTCTTTTTTTTAGGGGGGGGGGGGGTTGTATTTAATTTTGTATAAATCACAAGTCAGTGTATAATAAAATAACTTTGTACCTTGTTATCAACAAGTTGTATGACGTGAACTACCACCAGAATTTCTAGGTACTTCAGACTGATAAATCCATTATTTACTCTGATCTAGAATTTATACACACTGTTTGTTTTTCCTCAAAATAATGCTTATGAACATGATTATAAAGAGTACATGGGAAATCGATATACAAATATCTCTTAAGTGTATAGATATTTATTGATTTCCTTGCGATAATTATCTTTTCAAATGCGACGAAACACTTCTTTATATGCCAATAAAAGATGTATTGTTGTACTTGACAAACAAATACATTCACCAAAACTTTTTAAAAAATGAAATTTTGATAGGCGCTTATCGCAGAAAATAAAACAAGGTTCAAAACGCACTTTAAGAACCGTCAAGAAATCAGCCAATATTAAATGGAAGTCCATTGAAACATGAGGCACCGGTAATGTTTAAATCGACTTGCTTGACAACGGGACTCGGGGCTTTAACGACAGCAAATCATATGGTTCAGTTGTACAATTCCTGTTTACAATGTAAAAATGGCGACTCTAGCATACTATCGGAAACCAGTGAATGCCATCCCTATGCCCAGGGTGGAATATGTTAACACTGAGACACGGGTAAGTCCCTCCTACCCCCAGCCTCGGGCAGAGTCCCTTGAGGGTTAAATCAGGTCGCTGTAAATTGGTGTTTAAACTCTGTTTCATAGGTTGGGGACGAGCTTGTGGTCCCAGGGCTCCAGAAAGATCTACAAGCATTCTATGACAAGGCGGAGACTGAAGCTGACCGCGCCAAAGCTTTAGAACTCTTAGCGTCATTTCATCTGGGAGGGAGTGATCCCCCGCCCCCGCGCCCGGCCACGGCCTTACCGGCATATGGTAAGATTGATATATGTATAGGGGATTCTTCTCTTTAAAGGAATTAGATTATTTTGATTTTTTTTTATTTGTCGCTCTTATGTGAAAGTGTTCGTTTCAGACTCCGATGATGACGATAAAATCGAAACTGAAGGTAACAACTACATTAAAGTTCTGTTTAATCAGACCTTGTCCATTAGATTTATGACTCAGTGTGTATTGCATGAGAACAACTGTAATAACTGTAATTAAGATATTAATCTGACATGTTTTTCAACAAGTATGGATTAAAGAGTGCGCTTGGGGCATGATGCATAAATTTTACTGCATTGTTTGTGTGTAGAGTGAAATAAAAAATTCTAACCATAGATCAAAAGTAGATTTGGAGAAAATTTATTAAAGGTAAAAAAAAAAACCCAGAATTCAAATAACGTACATGTAATTACCATTACATCCTATTAGGGATAGGGATTTTTTTTTTCGGGGGGGGGGGGGGTATTTGATAATGACTCTGTGTACAAAACTGATAAAACAAGGTTGCTTTCATGAACAATTAATGCTGCTGTGACTAACACGTGTGTATTTAAATGAGATATATTTGCTTTCCAACAAGTTTACCCAGCTTTTACCGCTCAACCAAAACTGGAGAGGATTTTCGTACATTTTTCTATCAGGAATTAATTCATTTCCTTTATTTTGCGACACCAATGTACAACCCACTCATAAACTAAACTGTTTGTAAACAAGTTTTTACTGACTTTCTGATCAGTTTGTTAGCTCAACGATAACAGTGGTGACGATTGTGATTATGACGTAAGAGAATTCGCTATTGTGACGTCACAATTGCCAGTCTTTCTATCATGTCGAGTAATGGAAATTTTTTGTTTTAGGTAGGAAAGAAAGCTACTACACGATGAATCCTTATCAAACCACGTATGGCAGGGACTACCCAGTGAAGGAACCAAAAGACACCATAGCAATCAGGTATTTCTTTCAAATATACAGATATACATGTACCCACATACCCAAATTGTACGATTCGAAACTCATACGTAGGGCATATCCGAGAAAGGGAAAAATCCATGTTTTTTGAGATGGTAAAAAATATACTTTAAAGAAACCCCTTAATATATCCTTGGAAGATTTTTTAATTGTATTTGACTATACAGGAGTTCAATTAGGAACTGGATTGGAAACTACGATAAATCGGAACTGGTATTCTGTATGTCAATGTGTACAGCTTTTCAAAGCATACAAATTTTTTGATATTAATTAAATAATAAAAAGGTCAACACAATTTTTAGTACACAACTCTGTTTAATATTTATCCAAGAATTATTAATCTAATTAAACTTTGTTCACTAGATATGCATTGATTTTATTAACTATACAGTGAGAATTTTGACTATGTTGCCTTTTCAATGAATTTTATCAAAATGATTTCATGCTAAAATTGTTACGAGTTTTGGTGTAATTTATGCTTATTTTCCTTTAAAGTATTTTTGCGACACATATGCACGTATTGAATGCTTGTGGAAACTTTTTTTTTAACAGTACACTCTTTCGAAAGGATTTTTAAAAATGCCTAAATACACGCATACATGAAAGAATTAGTTCAATGATATACACACAAACATGTATATGTAACTTTTATGTACAACTGGTATGTTTTTTTTTAATTACATCTTTATTTCGATTATTTGGGAAATGTTACCTGAATTTTAAATAACTTTATTACCATCTACTATAGTCAAGTACTTGAGTTTTGGTTATGGTGTGTTCCTTTTCTTAATTAAGACATGAAACTGGAAGGTCTAGTCCCAGTAACTTTAAGTGAATACTTCCCGGGCGAGTCTCCATTTGAAGTTATATGTTTAAAACTTGCAATTTGTTCAACACACATTAGTATAAGCATATCAAAATGTGGGTTTGTATATCAAGAAAAAAGATGTATGTTAATACTACATGTATGGTATTGTCCCTAGCAAATGAACTATTATTTTCAATCTAACTTTGAAGGATAGTTATTAATGTTAATTCCAAATATGTGAGAAATGACTAAATGTTTGTATAGTTCACGATCAGCAATAACTTCGTGTAGAACTTTTTGGTGTGAAATGAATGTTCATTGTGAAACTTTTCAGTGTCAATGAATAAATTATCACAATGGGTGTTTATCAAGCAATTACCCACACAAAATCTGAGGTTTCTCGTAACCTACAGACCATAAGAAATGTTAAATTACTTTAGATTATTGCGCCTAACCAAGTTATAGTCTTCTAATAATGTCTGAGTGAAGCTTTATGAGAGAGAGAGAAGTGATTCAAACAAAACAGAAGTTAAAATCTGCTTTAAGAAATAACAAAATGCTATTACATGTACATAATGAATAGTGTAAAACTCAAATGTACAAGAGGATGGGTTTTTTGTTTTTGTTTTTTGTTTGTTTGTTTTGTTTTTTTTTTTACGAATTTTATTTGAATTTTAAAAACAAATTAAGAGGATTAAAAAATCTAAGATGTATGAAGTGACAGACAAAAATCTTGTACATTTAGACCATGTTATCTCGTTTTCCAATAGAACATGAACAAGGATAAAAGTACTATGAGTAATAGATTTTGTACATTATGTTCTGTGTTCTATAATGTGGTCAATTACAAATTACAGATTGACTTCATTACCTTTTAGAATGCACAAGTATATTCTTAAATAAATATGTATAACAATATACGGGACAAAAAAAAAATACAAAGCAAAAAACAAAACAAAAACAAACACACACACCCTCACACAAACACACGCAAAAACGAACAAAACAAAAACAAACAAACAAAACTCTCAAATAAGTTATAAACAATGAAGGTGTAAATGACTGATTGATTGTGTGGGAACTTAGTCCTGAATACATTTGAATTTTTAAGATACATGAATAAGTTCAGTTTGTCCTTCATGATAAGATGTACATTGCAAGATAATTCTCACTTATTTAGCTTTTTTTTTTTTTTTTTTTTTTTTTTTTGAATATTGAACTTCTCATTATTATGTAATAGTTGTGGAAAAACAAATGTAAATGATTGTATGTCCTACATACCTTTGAGAGAGAAAATCTAGAACTTTTAGCTGATTTAACATATGATAAAATTCTTTTTTGCTTTTCTTTTGTGTGTTGAACTGTTCAAAGATTCATTTGGTCATACTATCATGTTGTAAATTTTGAATTTACTGGATTGAAGGTAAATATAAAATTTACATTCATCAAGTAAATTCAAAAATTACAACATAATATTTAATAATTATATAACATAGCTGGTAAAAGTTTGCTTTCCTATGACAGATAAAGGGCTATATAATTGCCTTCTTTTAAAATTTGCAATATTCTCATATATAATTTTCATGATATAAAAAATGTTCCAATTATTTTACTTTCCACAGACCTCAGAGTTCACAAGGTTTTACAGCCTCACACCCCCTTGAAGGCCCCATTGGTGAAACACACTACACTGAAGAATTTCATGAGAAACCCAACAGACCTGCCACTCCCATTAGGAGTGGAACAGCATCAGGTGCTAGGAGGAATAAACCACACCCATTGGAAGTAAGACATTTAAGCTATTTCATACACTACAGTTATATCAGTAAATGATACGGGTTTATTAAAAATTATATCGGTTCGTATAAAATGTAAAACTAAATTCAGGAAATATGTCATGTAAAAAAAAATCTGACGCTGCGAGCAGGGTTCGAACCTGCGCGGGGAGACCCCATTGGATTTCAAGTCCAACGCCTTAACCACTCGGCCATCACAGCTGTTTAATTCTCACTTTAAAGTTGTGGCAAAATTGTAAGCAGGAATTAAAATCCCATATGCAGGTAAATTGTGACAGTAAAATAACTAATGTGAATTTCATATGACGTAGACAACAATTATACAATTTAATAATACAGAAACAAAATTTTTGTATTAATCATTAATATGATATGATATAAACATTAAATATAATACAATATAATATAATATAATATAATATAATATAATATAATATAATATAATATAATATAATATAATATAATATAATATAATATAATATAATATAATATAATATAAAAAGAAAAGTTTAACTTGGGAACTTTTTTATAGATTTACTTACATGACTGTATAGCAAAATTTATTTACCTGGGGAAAATGTTTTACATTAATCAACGAAAAACAAAATAAATATACTTCCCAAATAGCTAAAATCATGTTTTTAAGAAGGAAATAAGAATTACGAACCATACCTTGTGTCTGCTAGTATCAACAAATAGTAATAGACACTGGGAAAAAAATCATTGCGCCGTGTTTAAAGTATTGATTAATAATTAAAAGGACATGTTTGAAAGGATTAGATTTAAATTCAGCACCTCTTCTCAGATTCAAGACCCTCCGCGATGTGAAAGGAGAAAACGAAAACCAAATAGCTCAAATAAATTGATTTTCTATTTTACTGAGCAACGAGTCATTAGTTTGAAGTAGCGTTTATTGGTTTTTATACCTATAATCCAGGGAGATAAGAGCCTCTTAAGAAAACAATGAATTTCTTTTTCAGTCTTTTCTAGTCTGGCGATTTCCGTCCAATGCCAAACCGGAGCAGCAATCTAGTCCCTGGTCTGAGGAGCTGACGGACGAGATGATAGGTCAGGTCCACAAACGACTGTGTCAGTCCACATACCAGAACGACTACCTAGGGATACCACAAGGTATGTTATTCGCGATTACAGTGGTTGTGTTTTCTTTTTTATTTTTCTTTCTTCCTTCTTTTTTTTAAATTAATTATTACTGTTAAGATTTTCACAATCATACATTGATAAGATTTATAAATGTTAAGACAAGGAGGGGTTGCTGGGTTTTTTTTCTACAATGTAAAAAGACCCCTCTCCCTTCCCACCTCATCCAAACTGACGAAAATATCATAGTTGTTAACTTCCAACGTTTACCTGTTTGAATTGTACACAATTTTTCTTACTTAGAACAGTTTTTTTGAAATTCTGATGAAAGAATGGCAATAATAGAGATAGAGGACAAATGTTTTTAAAGTAGTAATTTTTTGTTTGTTTGTTTTTTGTTTCGTTTTGTTTTGTTTTGTTTTGTTTTTGGGTTTTTTTTTTTTTTTTTTTTGGTTTTTGGTTGGATTTTTTTTTGGGGGGGGGGGGTGTTTTTGTTTGTTTTGGTTGCTTAAAAAGAATTTCGAAATCGAAAAATCCTACAGGTCTACTCTATTAGGGTAAAGAATTTGAGTTATCTTTCTTTTATCTGTATCAATTTTCAATTCTTAGGCTTTCAAGTGAAGAGGGCTTACACTCTGCCCCCGGACTGGAAGGCTAATGTTCCATACACCTTAGACACCGTGGCCAGGTACTCTTACCAGAAACCCAACCCACAGGAAGAACTGCAGGTCCCCATCAACAGATACGGGAGCAACAGGAAAAAGCCAGTAGCCGCTACAGGCACAAGTAAGACTAACTCTCCAACAAGTATATCATGTATTATTACGTTATATATGTTATACAGTATCTCGGAAATCTTACATAGGCTTGGTTTATGCTTGTAAAAAGAATAAATTGTCATTTCCGCAAGAATTATGTTGAACTGGAAGAATAATAATTCAGGCTTGTCTCCTATTTGCCCGGAAAACTACTATACCGATTAATCATTAAATTGTTTCACATTGTGTAGTTTTAAAGAAAAAAACTTGCCGCTTTTATAACTTTATTTTTTTTCTTATCTAGTTCCCACCGCTTCAACACGATTTTACCATATTAAAGGAAGAACTACATACGATCGCCATTTTAACGACAACGCCGAAAATGTCGTCACACAGATCAAGGAAGTAGGTCAAAAACTGGAACATGAAGCACTACAGAAATATATGGAAAAAGCTGAAAGTCAAGGTCGGTATCTTAGCAACGCTACTGTGTGGTGATGTAGTATTGCCAGCACCTTTCAACCAAGAATCAAATGATTTCTTGCCAAATTTCAAAATACTAAACGTTACTACATTTGTATAAATAAGACCAAAAAAAATTTGTTTCGATCATATCTGCTAACTTCCTCTCTACAATTAAACAAAGGTAGATTTCGTTCAGTCGTAATTTTTACTTCCTATATTTTTGCTCAATATTTCTTAATTTTTACATCATCAAGAACCTGAAATTTGACAAATTTTAATGACCCTTTGATAATCTTATGGTGAGCATAGTCAAAGGCCCCATCTTTTCTGTTGTGAAGAGGTAAAATCATCATACCTTTAAAAGCATACGGTATCACAAACTCAGTTTCGTTTTACGTTGTGATTGTGATATAAAAGGAGATAATTGATGATGTTTTCGAACCGTTTAATTAGTTCAATTCGTTAGGGTCTTGAACATAACTAGCAAAGATGGGAGATGGGGGGGGGGGGGTTAGACGATTTATATGACAATGATTACTTTTAGATTGTTTGGAAGTAAAAATATAGGGGGTATGATGCTTTGATTTTGTTTTGGTGGTTTTTTTTTCTCTAATTAAAAATTGCCCCTTTAATTTGTCATTTAGATTCCATGGCTGAAAAACTCTTATTTTCGTTTCATGATCAAATTTTTCCAGCACTGCAATTCAGCATTTTGCACGTTTTCTGCATGATGCAAATATTTGAAGCACTGCTAGTACACCAATGACTTAGTAACAGTTACTGAACATACTTTTTACAAGAATCATGTAATTTCGTGCATCATTCATCAAAAAATATTATATACAATGTAAATAAATGTAAATCTATAGCATTTAAATAAATATAAATATTATTTGTTGTGATCCAAAAGACGTCAATCATTTAGGGATGTGTGATTCATTATCGTAAATACATTCGCACGTAAATTTAGTTTGAATTTTTAACCTATCTACACTCGATCTATTAAACGCGTGTCAATGACCTAAATTATTATACGGCATAAAATTGTATATTGAAGCATTATTCTATTACAATATTCAGTCACTTAATGTTTGATTAATGATTGTTATTTGTTTGCGAACTAAGTAAAGTCGTAAATTTTCTCTGCAAGGGCGTAGAAAGTAATTTAGAACTGATAAATTTGTTTGTTCGTTTTTATTATTTTTTTTCTTCTTGTTCGCGCATGTCCTTGGTTGGAAATTATGAATTCCATGTTCAAGTCTAACTAACTGTGCCGCGTCATAACGACAATTGGTCAAACGTATCTAGAAACTGTAGATTTGTAAAATTTGTTTATTGTTTTGCTAGCGTTTGCTAACCTCTTTAGTTGTTTGATGTTTTGTCTATTTTGCTTTCAATCATTTAATTTCAGAAAAGGACACAATAAACCGACTTCTGAACGCGTACCAGAAGGGAGACGGGCTCAGCCCTCGTCCCCCTTCACGCATGACCATGCGCTCAGAAGTCCCACCTGTTAGCACACCTTCTTCATTTGCTAGTAAAAACCTTCCTCGCACTCCAAGTTCTGCGCGGTCGGACACAAAACCTCCCACCCATCCATTGTACAAACAACCAAAACATGTACCAGTCAACAAACCACGTGGAAAGTACCCGGATCTCAGACATCCATCACGATCTCCCTCCGCAACCTCAGCAACACCCGTGACGTCTTTCAAGTACACCAAACGGGAGTCTACCTCTTCCACGGGCATAAAGACGCCACCCCAAATCACAGACTTTGATATTGATGTTGCTTTACACACGCTGCAGAACCCGGATACACCAAAATCATTGCCTATCAACTGTTATTCCCCGGGATACAATCTCTCTTAAAAAGCACCCTGCACTATAAACTCTCTTCATTTAACAGTACACCTTTATTTGAATACTCCTTAGGGGCAATAAAAATTCATTCAACTTCATTTTATTTTAGAAAATGAATTCCATATTGCTTTTTATCGTTTTTTGTTGGTTTGTTTAGCGCTATGGAATTTGTAGTAGGAGCTTGCATCATTTTAATTTTTTATTTAAAGAGTTGGTGCCAATTTTTACATCTGTGATATATATATACATGTAAAGAAGATATGTTTAATTTATTGTAAATAAATTACGTTTTTCAATGAAATTTTTATCTTTAACAAATTCTTTCAAAAGTGTCTTTTGTGTCTGCACTTATTCGAATTACTGTACAAGTACACACCTTTTTATGAAACAATATATTTTTGCAGAGAATATCAAGAACATCAATTCTGAAATTCCTCGTCTGGAGAGGTCCCGAACATCTTTTCCACGACTTACGCATAGGAATAAGTCCGCACTTAATCGTGTGACCACGTGGTCTGGACCAGATCACATATCTGCTTAGTTATTCTGAATTAGCTCTGCCTTCTTTGCTTTCGTTGCTTTGTATTGAGAAGGAGAATGTTAATCTGATTTATTTCATTTCTAAAAGAATCATTTATGTCATTTTCAAGAATTTAGGGGATAAAAGGGTTCATATATTGCATTTAGGAAACTAGTCTGCATTTAATTACAAAGTTGATAGATAGATATATCCAGAACATTACATTCTTGTATAATATGTTGTTTTATATGTCTATATAGTGTTTATTTGTCTTGTTCGTATAAGTATATAAATGGTTACAGTATTAAGAAAATCTAGATGTTGCTCAATTCATTTAAGGACTTATAATGGGGAATGTTTTGGTTCTATGACGTATATATAATTATGGGTACAAAAGAAGTACATGTACGCAAAACACAGAAATAAATTTACTTTGAATCGTGTTTGTTTTCTGTGTCTGGGGTTATGAGGATTTACAGTCTTATGATCAAACTTCGACGCCAAATTGAGCTTCCAAAGTCAGGATAAAGTTGTCTCCCTTTTTCAATCTAATCGAAATATTTTCCCGGCACGAATTTGTAATTAGGCTCATTTTAAATATGCTTATTAACAGGTATCATGACAAAATGTATATTTTGAATTCCAGACCCGATTAAAAATCATCACTGTACTATCCCGTGTTCAGAGTGAAAAAATAAAAGAAAGCTCCACTCAGTGTTTACAGTGATTACATTTCAACATGCTCAGTGACGTGTTTTGAGAGCAACATATCTTACTTGTAAGTAAGGACCGTATTGTTCATACTTTACACTTGATAGCATGAACAATTAGTGAAAATTACTGTAATACTTAAAACTTAAGTTTATACGGTGTATTCAACGTGGGTGTGTCAATTTTTTTTTTCAAATAAGGTATAACATGGAATGAAACAAAACTAAATCCAAATAAAGACAAAGAACTAGATTTCCTGTTAATAAGATAAGTATTTCGTTTTGGCACTGCCATTTTTTCCCCTCAAGACTCTGATCGACGTATTAAAAAACACAAAACCTTTCGCTGGTGTTTTGGAGACTTGTACCTTCATTCTTTGTTCAGTAGTAACTGTGAGTCTTTCACTGACTTGTATAAGACACGCTGCTATCGTATCAACTTTGTCAGGTAAATAACCCCTGGTAAGTCCTCGTTTGTAAATAAACAACTAAACCACCGTGCGAGCAAATGTAACATCAACAACATTCCAAAATTAATTATTTTTCCTCGACCTATAACAATTCTCTGTCTGAATTACAGTCATGTCCCTTCAAGACCACCATCAAGAAGGTCAACTAACATTGACCAAAGCTTTATTCCGAGGCGACCGTTTTTCCAAAGAAATTCCAGATGTGCATTCGCTTTCCTCGATAAACTCGTTGCATCAAAGCGTCTCTAAGATAAAGGAAGAAAGGGAGAGAGACGCTTGTTGCTTTCGCTCCGTCTAGGGTTACCGCTGGTGCCTTATTTGTAGCGCATGACGTAGGGCAACAATTCTCAAAAAATATCATGGCGGAAAGGTACATGTTATGGTTTTCGAAGAAAAAAATATTGAAATTATTACATGTGGCTATTTATTATAAAAAAATCTTCATCTCAAAGGATTAAACATGTGACTTTTACTTTGAACAAAAAATCCCAGTTTCACAGTTTGCATTGCCATGGTGATTAAGCTACCGTGAACTTTACTATGCAGCAAAATGTGGTTTCCTAAATTTTCCCGTAAACCATAAGTTTTTGTTGATTTCAAAATCTTGAACGTTTGCTATATGCTTAATGGAGTGTTGCTGTTAATTCTGTGATGTTAATGAAAACCATCTCCAATGGGATTTATGCGGCCGGACCCCTGCGATTTTCTCACCAGCAGTGACAGTAAGTACCCACTGCAATATATCACTGTCTTCTGACGTATGCAGATCAATTTATATTTATTATAGCAAAATCTGAGTTATACATGACTGTGTTTATGTAAATACGACTGACAAAAAGACTGTGACGTACACAGAGGGGGGACAATCATACTTTCATTAAGCACTGACCCAACCAGCAAGCAAACGGACAACACTTCGGTAAATTAGAATGGGGCATACTTTACTGAATACTGCAGGAAAATGACAGTGGGGAGCATGAGTTGGATATGCGGAAGTAAAATGGCGCTTACATTCCAGGCGAATCTTAGATGTCTCTGCAGTCGAGAATTTGCTGGGAAAATGCAACCTGTTGGATGTGAGGATACAAAGCAGGGTTATTAATGTTTATACCGCTATAGATGTCATTAAGCCGAAAAGCGGAGTGTTAGTAGTACCATGGATACCCCTTTGCTTTTTTTTCGATGCCAGAAAAACTTGGAAGTCAAAATTTCGTCCATTGAGATGAAATATTGCTATGCCCATTAATAAAACAATGAATATTTATTGATCTAAAACTTGATATTATGACAATATATAAGACTTTCTCTCTCTCTCACTCACTCTCTCTCTCTCTCTCTCTCTCTCTCTCTCTCTCTCTTGCGTTCCTGCCAACACTTTGCCTTGACTGTAAGGAAGCCTTCTTCTTCGATGACTCATCGGTTGTCTGTAAGTTCTGTAAAACCAATATAGAAAACTTGCATTCCGCCGCCCCAGCATTTTTTTTCTTAAACTTTTAAAAAAGTGCTGTCATGATCGCTACATTATCTTGGTTTCAGTATCGCTTTCATTCAATTTTTTGAATCATTTATCATGATTTTAAAATTATATTAAAGGGGCAATCTGTGTAATGGCAGAATGCATAATATAGTAATTTATACATTCATTGACTTACATTATAAAGATAAAACATTGATTTCAAGACAGGTTTATGTATGAAGATCAAAAACGTCCATGCATTCCTGTGTCCTTTAAAAAACAAATTAAAAGTCTCAGGGTCAAAGGTTCAACATGCACAGGTCAATTTCAATCAATATAATAACATTTCTATTGTATAATTCAGAGAATAATAATCATAAAATAGGCAGAAATTGGAATCCTAAATATATTCCTCGAGGATTGCGATAAATCATGGTATGAATGTATTTGTATTTAGTATATTAACTTTGAAAATAAGACGTATTGACTTTTTGTTTAGTCAAAGTTTCATGAAAATAAGACGTATTGACTTTTTGTTTAGTCAAAGTTTCACAGCAACAGTAACAAAAAAAATCATATTATAGTAATGTAATACGTAATTAAGTATTTTACAAAATTTTGTTTCATTTAGTATGTGAAATTAAGAAAAAATAATCTGTAAAAACGTAAAAATTTTCGTTTGAACATTAAGCTTGTTCTTGAATTTCAAAAAAAAAAAATCAACAGACTAAATCTATCTTTCGGTTGAAATTCTTTCCAAATCAAAATCAAACCTGTTCTAAGAAATAATCTATTGCACGGGGTTATATATGGGGATTCCCCTGTGTAACTGTTCTTCCACATGTAAGTATATGATAAAATCTGTTGTATGATTTCCAAAATATCTGACATTTGTCAGTGATAACAATGTGTACTACTCATTTGATAGTAAATTCAAGCGCTAACTAGAGTTCCATCACGGCGTGCCTGCTATTACTGAGGTATGGTTACGTAGAATAAATTGATATACAATTATCTCCCCCTATTTGAGGATCATAAAATCTTCAGGGTGTAAATTCTGGTGAGTTAAATGATACGATCAAAATATTAATATACGAGACAAGATATTATTTTTAAGTGCTTAATGATATAAAAATAAAAATCCATAAAGCTTTCAGCGCCAGTCCCCCCCTTTTTAAATGCACATTAAACTGAGTGATGGTTAAAATTTTAAAGAAAAAGAAAGTTATAATAGAAGCAGGTTCTTTCTGGTAAATTGTTCTGGATACACGTGACTTGTTGGAGAGATTTAGTCTGTTTGATGACGCAGGTGTTGCTATGGATATTTGTAGTAATTAGCCGAGAGTGCAAGAGTAATTGTAAGTTTCTTTCGTGGATTATCGTCCTGTGTACCAATTATTTACAGCAGCTTAAAGCACGCACAAAACGAGATAATCCGTAGCAACTATCGTTTCAATGGTTGTGTTGGCGAGCAAAATGCAAGATTAGTTATAATTTTTTTTGTACGGTCTTTAAATAGAAAGGGAGGTAATCTCCAGGTGTAGCAGCTGTCAATGGTCATGATGAGAGTTATCTGTGTACAGAAAAGAATCTATTGTTTATATTCTTTATTTATTTTATAGCGAATGTTGCCGTTAAAAATAGCAGCAGATCTTTTCCAGCGAGACCCGTATGACGTCATTGGTGCCTGATGCTTAAAACTCAGAATTAAAGAATTAACCCTAGTATAGGTGGACAGCTTCCACGTGTTCATAACATTATTTGCAATAACCATGTAAAGACATTTATCCCTTGAAATGATCTGCAAAATGCCATTCTCATTATTATTTTCATGCACTCAAATAGTTTTGTTTTTAAAATGTTAACTTTTTTCTTTGGTCACAAAAAAACCTCGTGTACGCCACTTGATATATTTTTATTGTAAAAGATAATATGTATGACACATGGTAACGATGTAACCTGCCAATAAGCTGTCACAGTGCATTCTGTTCAAGAGTTTCCTTGTCAATAAAACTGTTTACGCCGAACCTGTCACTTTCCGCACTGTTGTGTGCATATTAAATTGACGGCGCACGCGAAACACATCACAATTTTCTCTTGTTTTTAAATACCAATAGACATTTGTGGTTCCAAATTCCAAATTTTACTACTCTATGTATGTAATATATTTATCAGATGAAAAAAAAAAAGACGACCCGGTGACGAAACACTGAAGAGTGTACAGAAGAATTGGTAAAACTAAGCACTGCGTATGTATGCGACACATCGATACTTCAGTGTATGCGACACATCGATACTTCAGTGCGCGAGTGATGAGTATAATCCCTACATTTAATTTGGATAATTTCATTTTCAAAATGTGTTATTCAGTAAAACTTATTAAAATTCTCAAGTATTTAAACTCATCATTTTGACATTCATCGACAGTGATATATGCAAATACCCATACATGAGACGCGTCAATAAACGTATCCAGTAGGCAATAAAATACCTGAATGAGGGCTGAATGTTGACAACAAAATATATGCAAATATTTTTTTAATGTTCTTAATTTTTAGATTCATTTAATTGACAACTTTTTGAAGTTTTTTGAGAGAAAAAAGTTTAATATCCTACAAATATGTCATCCGATTGAAAATGAGCTCAGATTGAGCGACGCAGATAGCTGTTATCTCGCAATATTCATTCATAAAAATCGGTTAATAATAGGCCCCTGTGTAATTAATCACAGAGGTTGTATTGAAGCCCCACAATCAAAAGATGCACCCAGTCAAAATTTATCAAGGCAGATTCGCTTGAGAAACACGATCGGTCGATTAGATTCTGCGACTGCACAGACAAAAAGTACTTGTTGCACTTAATGAGTATATAAGATACAGATACAAATACTTTTTATTACATCAAAAATATATAAGAATTATAAAACAAAATGTCACAGTGTTATGTAATTTAAGACTTAAGGCCGCATAAATTAATTTACGTTTTTGTCATGGGATATTTTGAGTCATAAAGTTGTCATTATGCTGTCAAAAACACAGTTCCTGCAGGTATGGTCTGGTGAAATGCAGTTTATGGTTTATTATTTGATGGTCGATATGTTCAGCAGAGAAAGTTTATTAAGTACAATTATATCAGTACTTAATGTCTAGAGAACATTTGGCTTTTACCTTTATTACAAATTATACATAATGGGTTTCGTTTCTTTCCTCTTCTTTTTTTTTTTAGTTAGCGAACTATTGGTGCTCTTCTTAAATCCAGAATAGTCAAAATGATTTCTACTCTATAATTCTTTTTTCTTTATAGTAAGTATACAGTATGTCACTCTGTTGGCGACCCAGGAGTTACAATGACACAGCCGTCATGTGCTGATAATCGAGGACACGCCCACTTTCTCTCTCCTCCTAAGGGTTACTGATGTTTATCTTCTGAGTGACGTCGGACGGACTGAACTGTGTGTCCCATTAAACCAAAAATAAAAAAAAAATTGAAAAGGCCAATGACACCAAACACATTATAAAGTGTCGGTTCCTTCATTATGAATATGAATGTGTGTGTAGGTAGAACTTGCATTCCAAAGGACTTCATCCTGGATTATATGTCACAATGTATTGTTTTATAATTGGTGACTTTGCAAAACTTGGTCTGAAATAGTCACGAGTTATAGAGAATTCCTGTTTCTTAAATAGATAATTTCATATCGCGAAAGTGCTGCATGGTATATATGGGTTAAAAATGCACATGAATAAGACTTTCTCTCCGTTAATTCACGACCATCTCTTCATTACACAGAAATGCTGGTGATGTGTATTAGTGTGACGACCTCTAAATGCCCTCTTATAACATTGATACAAACCGTATCTGTAGTGATCTTCTCTAGATAGCTCCTGTCCAGAGCTGGATGACGTATTATTTTCTCTCCCTATTCTTCCTATTTGTACGTCACCAATTCTAGTACTCTTCAGTCCATAGACCCCACTAACATTATTTTTTATTTTGCGGAAGCTCTTTTTTAAGAATTAAAAAAAAGTTAAAATCCTCAAATTATAAAGGAAAAGATTTTAACTTTGTAACCGGTAAATGACATAACAGTTGTAAAATGGCGCCACTATGATGTTCCGGTCGAATATTGTGCTAGAATTACCCCCTGTCCATCGATCATGCGTTGCTCAATCATGCGTATGATTTCCGGACACGGCGGAGTTATCAAGTACAGCTAGTGGACAGCTAGGGTGTAAATTTTCTGGCAACCAGACTAATTTTTATGACTTCTCGGTGACTTTGGTGCCTTAATTTCATCTTCGCCTCCAGAAAACGTTATAACATGACGTCATTTCGTTAAATGATAAACTAACATGATAAAATTAAAGAAAATAATTTAACACAAAAATATAAACAATTTTGATATGTTGTCAATTTGATCTAAAATTTTATTTTCTTTATTGATCCAAAATAAGGTGAAAGCTGTATTCAAACTGCGTGTTCTGTCCCGTGCTTCTATAGGATATAAACCTTTTTCTAATATGCCACGTCCTCTTCTTACGACCACTTGAACGATCATTGCTCTATAAAAATTGTCATTTTTTAAAAATTTCTTTATATCTTTTTGAAATTCCCATGAAAATTAAATCTACTTTTATTTTATTAAGTTCAATGTACATGAAAGTCACTTGTAGGACAATCACAATGATTTAAATGTAAAAGTTTTTAACATCTTGTTGCGCTAAAGGTTTAAATATCTTGTAGCGGTATCAAGTAAATTATGAATTATTGAAATATTAACAACATGATAATACTTATCTTGTTGTAAAATTTTGTATTACCTCCACCCAGTATATTCATAATTTACAATATGACAGATAGCACTAATGTCGTATAGATAAAACTTGTGTCTTTGTGGTTGTGTAATTGTGGCAATGTGTAACTCATTAGGGCTTGAAAACTAAATTCATTTACATTTTTGGAAGAAAAAAAAATATTACACATTCATACAAAAAATTTAATTTATATACATTTATATCACGTATGAATTTAGATTTGTTAAAGACGTCAAAAACAAAATCATCGTGGTCTCTTCATTTATGCCTTCTTAACCCCTTTCCCCTAATTTGAATTATAAATACATTTGAAACTTATCATCGAGTAAAGAAATATTTATAGCCAAAACAAGAGAGAGAGAGAGAGAGAGCAAGCAATCAAGAAAGAAAGAAAACTCGGTGATTAATGCAGGTTTCGTAATAGAAACGTTACGAACATGGTTATACATCTGTACTACTTTATCTTTTCATAAACTTACTTGGTTTATTTATTTATTTTAAAAAAGATATAAAGTTTCTATGACTATTTCATCTCTTTAAAAACTCACTTCGTCTTGTACAATTAATAAAGTTAAACCTCTCTTCGTTTCCTTTTTAAAAATGGCAATATAGAAAACCAAGTCTGATAAATTATTCATGACCAGAGCCCAGCTTTATTTTTGTTCAACATTCATTTAGGAGACGTCTGGCGACACTTCATTAATTAATACCACGCCGAAAATAGCCTTCAAAATAAGTAGATGTTTAAAGCATATTCAGAAAATGTAAAAATTATGCATGAATTCTTTTATATCTATCTTTAACATCAATTTCCGACATTGAAAATATGAGTATAACAAATACAATATTTAAGCTTTTCCTCATTTATATATATATGTGTAATTTTTGGGGGGAGGGGGGCTTTTAACGGTCTGTTAAATGTAAATAAACATTTAAAATTAATTCAATTACTCTTTAATTAGCAATCAATTACACGATCCATGAAAAAGCTTCCGCCAAAATAAGGTGAGAATGGAATGTGCTAGGTGCCTGGAGTGATCGGCGAAAAAGCAGTCCTCGCTTTGTACATACAGTTATTAGAATTGGCCATCAATAGATAATAATTGTCTAGAACGATGTGTGTCTGTGGGATTTCTTCTTTTCTGTATTGTTTGCAAACACTGCTTTGCATCATTATGATCTGTTTTCTCCTGTTGACAATCTATTGTGGTGGACTCTAATCGGATCACAAAATTCCGGACATGGTTCGTTTAATCTGTGGCGGGCGGATTGGGGTTGGGATTGGGTTTTGTGTAAAGAAAGTTTCTATAGGTAAAGTGATACAGGTGGTACGAATTCCCTCGTCTTACATACGGCAGACAAACTCAATTATTGGACTATAGTTATACCAGACTCTGCCTCCACACAATTATCAAACGTTGGTTTTATTTATCAGGAACAATTCAAACATCTGTCTGACATAATTACTTTGTCTCCTGTATTTGATATAAACAGATAAGCAACAGGAAATTGTATAATTCCATACTTCTCTTCTCTTTTTTTCTTTTTTTAATTTCTAAAATACACTTACATTATGAGTCGCTAATACTTTGACATTCCTGTCAATTTATTCTTATATATTTATATTGTTTTCATTTCTGTCATATTTACTCCACATAAGAGCCTTTTTGTCAGTTCTTTCTATAGCAAAGTGTTAAGTAGCTTTTTATGTCAACAAAGATAAAAATCTAACAGAGTAGAAATAATTTCTTTCCCTACGGGGTTCCAGAAAATCCAGCGGACCTGAAACAAGATACCTGTTTATTGCCCTATAATGACTCGTTTCGGTTGGTTGATCCGCTGTGACAGGCCGTTTCACAGCTTGGCGCGGTAACTCCGCCCACCAAAAATAAACCACTTGTCGCTCCATATACGAGAGAAATTATCTGTACTTCATATGTAGGTCGAATAGGGACCACTATCGGTTGAGGATATTATTTACATAGTTAAAATTTTGTGTACAAACTATATACTGGATTTTAGTTATTGACTTGTGTATTGACTTCTTTTTCACCGAAAGGAATTATGTGAAAAGGATTGTTTAACTTAATTTCGTCTAATTTTTTTTTATTTTTTATGTGCACATGTTATAAATTATATTCAGAAATTAGGAAGTGACAAACGAAAAACTGCTGAGGTCTCATGTGTAGGTGAAAGCAAAAATGACAGTCCACGGGCAGTGGTCAAATGCCCAAAACAAAATGAAGATGTTACCTTCCACTCAAAACGGGTACATGAACTCAGCAGCGTACCCGCCGGACTCCCATCTTAGTGTTAGTAGATCCTGGAATGGACTTGTCTTCCAAGTTTCCCCTATCAGAAATGGATACACAAATGGACATACAATGGTGTCTCCATTAGTGTGCCAGGAAAATGGCTCAGATTCGCCAAGATCTGGGATGTCCACACCGGATAAACTGTTGGACTCTCCATTCGTTTCAGTGTCCAAACCCCGTTTTTCCATAGGATCTGACGACGTGGAGGAAAATTCTTATTATTCTCAGTTTGATTACTCGGAAACAGAACAGGAATATGTGACTTTGGACAATAACTACCTCGTGACGACCACTAGTACGCCAGCTTATACAAGACATCTATCCATGCTGGACTTCAAGAGAAATCAGCTGAACAATTCTACGAGGTCGGATAAAACCCGACATGTTCCATTTAGTGCTCACAACCAGGTGTTCATTGACAAAAACCTAGACCAATCTTATAGCAAGCAGAAATCCCTTAAAAGAAAAAGTCTTAAGAAAATAGCGGAGAACATTGGGTCAGTGCTAAGTTTGTCCCCCAGGAAAGATGGAAATCCTAAATTATTTTCTCCTCGGGAGGAAACGGTCTGTGTCAAGAGGGAAAGAAGTAAATCTGTGGGGGACCTTGAAATGTTTGAGGACCTAATGGGACAGAGGACTGTAGGGCAAGAGGGTGGGGATGGGGAGGGACTGGGACATTATAGTGACGATGATGTTGACGGTGATGATTATGGATTTCTTAGTTACCCGTTTTCTTCCTCGTCCTATCTTTCTGTAGCAATGAACAAGACGAAATCCCCCACACCCTCCCATCGTATCCTGCCGCGGATACGGAGAAGCAAGACCAAGCCTCTCCCTGGGGCCCAGCACGCATGTATGTGGAGCTCACAGGTGAGTCAGAATTTTAATATTTGCATTCACATTTCAATTATTTGCCTTGTCTAAGCATTTGCATCTTTGCACAGAAAACACGTTCTAATTGACTCCACAGAAAATATGCAATCGAATTACGTTGGAGAGCTAAAAAAAATCAGGTTAAATAAATATTATTACTGTACATATTTTATTGATGAGGTTTAGCAGTTGTATAGATATCTTGTCATAAATTCTAAAGCAAATTAATAGATCAAGTTGTTTTACGTAAGTTGTACAAATTTCATTGGATGATGACAACACGATAGTGGGGCTTTTCGTGTCTCGCATTACGCCCTCACGTTAACGGTTACATCCTAAAACTGTACTAGGGGGTAAACGGTATTCGTAACTGACAATTTTCCACTAGGGGGCCAGGGTCAGTCTAAGTTAAAAATTCATGTTACACTTGTAAGGGACATCTTTATCTAGTAATTCTCTCTACAACATTACTTTTATGGCCAGGTGAACTATATTTAATTTCTTTGGAACGCGGATAATGTTTGTGATTATGGCAGTATAAATCATAATCGCCCCTATTTAACCTAAGCCTCTCGTATACACAGGCCCAATTTCGGGATTTGGGGAAATAGACCAAACTGTTTATTTATTTCATGCCAAGAAAGTTTAGATGTTGCAACTATTGGACCGGAATTAAGTCATTCCTTGCATGACGAAGGGGATTACGTTCTGATTAATTCAATTTTTGTCTCTTGGAATTCTTCGCAATCTATCTTCTCCTACCGTGACCTCAATTATTTAATCATTTGTCGTTAATTCGTTGGGGGTTTATCTAACCTGTGTCAATATTAGAATTTGTCAACTGTTGACAAGAGACCCAACAACTGTTTACAATTTTATCTACAGCTCTTGGTTTTCTATTGTTGATATGTAACATCCTCTTTCGCTATTGCTTCAATAGAACTTATTCAACAGGTGAATCAAGATACCGACTCCACGTCGGGAACGTCAAACTCAAGGTGTCAGTATTTCAATATAGATATGGTTCAATCTTATTGTTTCCACGCCTCATGGCTCTGGTCGTGTGGGCAACTGCAAATCAATCTATTCTTTGAATATATTTTGTTTGTAATTGAAAATATCACAGCTTATTATTCATGTTTCAGAACGCACTTCTTTACCTCATAGTTTATTCTTTGTTTCTTAGTTGTAATTTGAATGTCTTCGTCCCACCTGTATTCGTTTTAATGGTCATTGTGGCGTGGAATATTTCTCACAAAAAACTGTGTCACCCTTGCATCGTCTTTAGTTTCCAGTAGGCTTCAGGAGTTCATAAGATTCTTTGTGAGATGATAAACGAGTATTTTATCTATGTGTTTGATCTTAAGACATCTTTGTTTTTACCCTGTTGAACAAAAAGAGGTGTTGTTAGCAGGTTACCTTGGCGTAAACCTGGATAAAACAATCTTCCTGTAAAGATCAACATTTCCTCTCTCATTTCTTGTTGACAAAGTTGTCTAAGAATGATAAAGAATTAGTTTAAATCTTAAGGGCTGGGCTTTATATCGGAGGGTTCTAAGCAGATGTGCTGTAAACGGTCTTTAAATAGGACTATAAGTAGACGTCCCCTCATCTCTCTCCATATTTGTTGACACAAATGAGACACACCAGGTTGAAAACCAACACTCCTCTGCCTTTAAAGTTAATTTTCGGTGTGAATTTTCGACGACCGTAACTTATTTAGGTGTTTCATGTCTATAAAAGGTTAAAATACTAAACGATGTTTACTTAAATTAACTGCCAAGATGCCAGTCATGTCATAAACTAACATTCAAGGACAGATTCCGGCCAGGGCTTGTTTGGGTCGGGCTACAGGATGAATGGGAATCCATTAAACTGAGAAGGAAATTAAAGGTGTGTTTCACTAATTAGTTCTCATAAATATTACCCTTGTCCCGTACAGAACAAATTGGAATATTAAAAGGTCAACTGACCGTAGCTAGTGCAGGTTAGGTCTTGTCCAGATGATTAGACACACACAGCAAAAGAGAATTTGTTCAACATTAATTTTGGTTGAATAACTTTAATTTATTCAAAATTTAAGCATATGGTACGTAAAGGTATAAATATATGCACAGTAAATGTATTTTTGGATCTTAGTGGAACATGGATAATACCTAATAACAAGACATATGCAATCTGCTTAAATTGCTGGAATGAAACGTTAAGAAAGATTTATGAGTATAAAGTAAGGTCTCAGAAGAAGATAGAAACATTGACCGAGAGAGGTTTTGTTTGTTCTTTATTGAAATGCAAAGTACTTGGAGTTCAAAAACCCAGGAACACAAATGACTTGAATTATGCTTTAGAACAAGATTTATAAAGGGGTGAGAGTGGGAATCTTAGAGTCAACACACCTGTTTTCCCACTATAAGGAAACTAGAACGTAGAAAGATGAAGTACATGTACGTTGTACTCTCGTTTTGGTCATCGGAAGGGATGATGTGTGTGGGGGCCATAACGCACCTGTCTGTGTAGGATAACATGTCGAAATCTGTTTCTATGCGTCAGCTTGCCACTGATGGCGATTGTAACCCAATCCACAATGACTGGGCTGATTTATGGATACTAAGTAGCTAATTCTAACAGGGGGCATTCTTATGTTAATTGTCAAAACCTTAATTATTTATGTCGATCTAATAAATTAAAAACCAACTTTCTCAAACATAGTCATATCGTTCTCGGAGATGGTTTTCGAGGTGGAAAATTGGAATCGAATCCCAATTGCATACATCTACACCAGCGGCATTTGATATGTATGGCTTACAATTAAGCATTATTATGCGGTGTCGTTTTCTGCATTATCTCCCAATAATCAAATATCGTTTTTATAATTCCAAAACAGAGGAATTAACACATAATTACACGCGACCATGAAACTGAAAGCCTTGACTCAACAACTGGGTATATCATTTAGAATTTTTCAAGTTTATCGAGAGGGCAATCTTAAATCATTTTCTCACGCACGTGGTAAAATATAGCAATACACATTCTACAACCAATAGTCATTCCACGCGATAAGGCACCCAACACTTCTCCCAGGAATCCAAGCTTTGGAATGAGTTCACCTTTTGTCACCGATATCGAGGGTATTTATCGCGATACGAAGGGGGGTCCCTCTGATCTCGTTAAACATTCAGTTTCTATTGAAATACCTGACAAGAAGATTGGGACTCAAATTGTACGAGATTTACAAACACTGTAATTGCAAATTACCATTTCATGCGAATTAAGTAACGATCCTGTCTTTTCTTTAAAGGTTAATATCCCTTCGCAATTTACTTATCTTTATTTACCTTTTAAAACAGCAGGAATAATGGAAAAAATATCAGCGGGTTTACCTGGTCATTTGTATCGCCATCAACATCTTGACCAAAGGGACATGTTAAGGTCCGATTATTAGGGTGACATTCTAGACAGATATTTGGATAATTGTGTAATCTTTGCGACTGTTTCATAACCCTATACTGTTCAGATCAATGATCATCAATGTTACGAGACAATAAAAAGGTGTCTGCTTTGTAAATAGATTTTACGATATAGGGTATGAAAATAGACGAACTTTTTGTATAAACAATTATTTTCACAGCTTATAAAAATGAGTTATGGTAGAATAAAATGAGAGATCATTCATCAAATTTCGTGATACAGTTCACACGCAATCGATCACTAGGTTGTATTATCATGTAAAAAAAAAATCTTACAAATATTTGAGTTACTGGGATCGTGTCCATTTCACAAACACCTGTTTTAATGAGTTTTTCCTTTAAGAAAACAAAAAAAGAAAAATATAGGATGTCAGTTATTTTTTGATGAATTTATGAAAACGAATTTCTTGACAACCGTGCATATTAAAATGAATGCTGGAAGCGTCTCACGACAAAAAGTGGCTACCGGTAAGGCACACCAGCTCATGCTTCATTCCCTGGGACTGGTTCATTTACTTCATGACTAAGTGGGTCACCTAAGATTCAGGGACGAGTGTTCTATCAAATACCACAAAAAGGCTCGAGCAGGGACATAGTCAAAAGAAACGCTTAGGTCCATGCATGAGTAAACGGTCAATTTCCCCCCGGGGTCAATTTATTTTCCCGCGAAATTGTAGCGTGAGTAATCAAGCATGGATTGCTCTGAGATGGAAAGTTACAAATTGCCCAGGCAAATTTTGTGCTTGGTGCGTTCTAATCTGATGACTGTTGTTACTACACAAAATTCAGATCATATAGATATATATTACAATGTATATCCACATTATTATCATAATAAAGGGATATAAATAAAATATTTTTACCATATTGAAGACATTGAAAGGTCAAGTAAACAAATTATCAAAATAAATACATACGTAATTAAATTAATAATAAATTTAACATTTGAAAATCTGTTAGTTTTCAAAAAAAATATTTTCACGTGGATAAACTGATCAAGTAGGGTTGTGCAATTGCATTTTATCGTGACAAAGGCGTAAAGCAGGGAATGTCGATATGTGCATTACTGTCTCTGTTAACAATGACTTAATGGAGTGATGTAACATATGTCGTGTTTGAATAATTACATATTCAACACATAAATATGCCATACTTACACATGTCATTGCTGTGGGGTCAGGCCAAATGAGATCTTGGTGTCTGCCCCCTTGTTCAGCTGTCTTTTGGAATCATTTGAAAATGTGCATGAACATAATGGATAATTATTGATACATTTATTATGAACAGTTGGGAAATTCCCTTCAGATGAGCACTGACCTCCTGACTAGAACAAAAAAAAATTATACATGCTAAACATAGAGGTATTGCAGGTCTTTTTCTGAATTTAATAGCTATATTTCATTGGTATGACTTGAACAATTTTGTTTTTATTTGTGTATGTGTATGATTTGTGATAACTGACCAATACACAGAGTTAGTGAAACACCCGGAAAGAAAATATTCTTGTTATATGGTTCCCTCGGGCAATGCTTGGCTTATTTGTGGCAGAACACACTTGTTTCTGAATGTTTACGGGATTCCTATCAAAATTAGTATGCAGTTATATCAATTTGCCTTGTGGCTGTCCTCGTTTGGTCATGTATTGAGATCAAGGGTCTTATTTGTAATACTGTATTTGAATAATATGTATCACAGTATAGATTGTGACAGGGGTGGGAGGGAGGATAGGATAAAAATTAATTAAATCAAAGGTGGAAAGGAGAAAGGGATACATTATATTATATATTATATTATATATAATACATACATATATAATATATATATATATATATATAATATATATATATTATATATTATATTATATTATATATTATACATATATTAAGAGAAACGGGCGCTCTCATTTTTAGTAGCAAAGGATAAATTGACTGTACTTAAGGAGGCTGGGGGGTCAACAAATTAACCACAAATTAACCACCAGATTTAACTTAATTTTTTAGATATGATATCTTAAGCTGTCAACTATCATTTGGCAAAGAAAAATTTCAAAAATTTTAGTTTTAAAATTTGATCATTTTCTATATCTTCATACGGAGCTCTTCTTCTAAAGGAGATCAATATAGTCTAAAAATGGCCACAACCCCCAGCCTCTTTAAGGTCAATAAGTCCTATGATTCTCTATATATGCCAAACTTTATTATAAAGTAGTGTTAATTTACAACATTGCAGGGATCATTAAAGTCTCAAATTCAACAACACAGTTTATCATATATGTATGAGAAATTCAAGACGATACACTTAATACAGCTTGTAATGGAGCACATTGTACCCAATGCATTAAGAAGATAATCCCTGTAACATTAATTTATCCTTGTCCAAGGACATACCACAGCAAAGACAATTTGAAGGGTATTCGGAAATAGAACACTGTCATTTGTTGCCCGAACATTTTCTTCAAGGTCGACACCCGAGCCTTCTAATCGGAATTTTATTTGGAGATGAAATATAAGATAGCAAAGAAAACTGTCTCTAGTGAAAAAGAGAACCATCGTAGGGGTCGCGTATGAATACTAATGATGTACAATGGCTGAAATGACAAAAGAAAAAAGTACCTGGCGACAGGAATTTAGCAGCGAACAAGAAAACTCCGAGGTCATTAAGAATTCTGCGTATGAATTGTGAAATAGGCTAAAAATTATCTGCGCAGTGTTAATTACATGAGCGACTAGCGAATAAATGAAAAAAGAAATGGGACAGAATTTTTTTTGGAACCTCTTGAATAATATGGGCGGTAGCTCAAGAGGCAGTACACTTTAAGTTTAACTACTTGCTGAAACTTAAAGAATGAAAGTTCTACTCTAGAATTAACACCGAAAACCTCAATCAATTTCATTCAATGATCGTCTACTACTTGCTGAGATCACCCTGACTCCGTTTTCAATGAGTGCTTGTGTTTGGCATAATTCATATTTTCCCTTCAAACGCGCCACCAAGGGAGACATCATTTTAACGTTTATTTGTCTCCGGGTCAATATTTCAAACTAGGCACAATAGCGCCCCGCTCTCCTACCCATAACGCCAACTACGATGTTGAATGACAATTCTCATTTATAGAGACCTTTTATAGAATTTAATGTAAATTTTATACGAACTTTCAAAAAATGTAAACATATTTTTAAACTGATTTTATCTACTACCCCAAAAACATATTTATTATCTGGAGCAAATAAAAAGTAGTATTATTTTGCATCGCCATGCAGAGCTTAAAATATGTCCTTTAAAGCGAAGAAAACACAAAGAGAATGAGATCCGTGGGTACCAGGTCTTCGTCTCCCCATGCACCAAAATCTTGATACAATGCCTTCTTTTACGACACATGCTTCGTCAATGGGTTTTTATGATAGTCTGTCAGAATAAAACCGATTTTCTCGAAGATTTACAATTTGATTAACGTGGTTTTATTTTTACTCTTTATGGACTTTCTATTTGTAATCAAGCAAAGAAGAGGCACTTTGACATGCAGTGGCTTTGTATTCTACGAGATAAAGCTTTTATAAATGCTACTGTCAATATGACCTCTTTAGCACTTTTATTGCATGCTCTGCAGTTTTAATTCATCCATTATTCAAATAAATATTGAGCAAAAATAACCTTTGCTTGAAAAAGAAGGACAAAATTAGTAACGACGAAGGGGGTGTTTTCCACCTTTACCGTCAAAGAACTTTCCCAGGATTGGGACCAGGACAATGCATGTTTTTATTGCAGATTTTTTCTTTTGATTCCTCGGGGAAGGTTTTCCCACAAGACCGAGACAAGGCGCCAACCGTCTTAACATCCACTGTCCAATATAAACAATCAGGGGATAATCCTATGCACCCACTGTCATATTTTTACATGCCACATGATGTGTTTTGCCTTTTATTTAACTTAAATGTGTTACATAATATAAAATTCGCTATTGAAATATATTTAGCACATCATATAAGACAAGTTTAAAAATTGTTTGGATAATAGATAGAGGATATTTTTAGTGGTGTTTATTTTTTAATGTGATTTGTTACTATTGCAGGGACATTGCACGTGGACCAGTTTGAGTGGGCGCCGGGTGGAACTTCGGCCGTTCTGTCTTCTGCAGATTACGGATGCTGAGAGACACGTTTTGCATAAGATCGCCTTATCTCGACTACAGGCTCTTAACCTAGGCTGTCCAATAGTTATCCCGAAAGGTAAAAGTCTCACGGTACTTTGCTATTCCTAAAGAGATGTCTGCCCTACCAGAAGAATGTAATTTTTGTTTATTAGGTGCCTCATATGTCAGTTCCTAGATTAAACTGATTCTTGCATTCCAATTTCAATTCAATCACACGTCCTTACCTAAGACTCAAGGAAAGTAAAAATCAGCATTTCCCTGGTTAATACAAACTAACAAAATCTGAGTACATTTCATTCTCAATATTCTGTTACTAATTAAAAGTTGTTAATATAAGCAATAAGTTGCAAAATATGGGTTTTAATTGAAGCAGAGGTGCATACAAGTATACTGTAAATCTTGCAAATGTACCATCATATTTCTATTAAAATTCTCTCAATTTGTTTTTGTAATTTCCGCCAAAGTTTGCCGGCTAGTCGCAAAGGTGTGGTTTGATAGAACGTCTTTGATGTATTTTTGAATAATTAAAGTGTGAAATTCCACGTAATGAACTTAAGCTGACCCTAATGAAGGTTTATACGGCAACAATTCTGAACTTCATTGGGGTATGAACTTTTGGTTTGAAATTTAAGGAGACGTAGAGATACAGGGCGTCTGCAAAAACAAATTAACTTTAAAAGAACTTAATTTTCGCACAATTGTAGTCGGTCCTGTTTCAAATGAAGGATCAAATGAGTTGAACATGCCCTCTCATAATCACATCGTAAATTATTTAGCGTCTTCAGCTTTAATGCTCATTTTTTGTACGTTTGTCGGAGCAGAACTTGTTTCAGATGAATAAGATGATCTCTAAGGAATTCCATTGTAAGACCCAGTAAAGGGGTAGAATCTTTTACACAGAAACGTGAATGGCTTCAGATATTTCTGTGGTATATTTTTTCATCCTAATCACTCAGAAACAAAACCTAGATGCACTGAACTGTGTTACTCTATGAAAAATCGGTCATCGGTAATTGTCAAGGAACAAAAGTAAAGATTTTTATCGTAAGATAAGATCGACCTTTAAATATTTTTTGTTGTTTAGAAAACAAATAAATATAAGAATTATCTAAATTTGAATAATTTGGGATGGGTGTTTTTCACTCAATTTAAAATTCTAAGGCATTTCTCTGACTGAAATCTATTTGTTTTCAAATGTGCTTAGATTGAAAACTTTCGTGTTAAATTAACAGACACGACCTTGTGGTCTATAGTTTATTTTCATTTCATGCCTTATTTTATACGGAAGCTGTCTAAATCAATATTCCATACACAGGTGTTTCATACAAATTGATTTTAGTAATGACATTTTTGTCACTGTGATATATTGCTGCAAGTATTATGGTAATTCAAACAGAAATGAACAATTTCACAAGTTCACTGCATAAATATTTTAAATGCTCCAAATAGTCAGAAGTGACAATATTTTACCGGACACAGTAGACCGATATCTGTTTATTTTCACGCGTTGTCAGATAGCGATTGTTTTGCTGTCCGAATCTTGTTATGTTGTAAGGCTATGAAATAGATAGTCTAATCACCCACCAAAAATACAGTCATAAAAATCGACATAAAAACGTGGACAGTCCCACAAGATTAGTGTGTAGACAGTGGCCTTAGACCATATTGGGAGTCTCTGGGCCGTAAAATATCGACAGGCCAGGGAGGCCGAAGGGGGTAATGACTCCCACGTTAGCATGGACCCCACAAACCACGAAATTCTGAAGACACTGAAAACTACAGATCTTTAAAGAGATATTCAAACTTGTAATATTTTCCTAATGATAATGAGATGCTTGGAATTTTTCCATTCTTCCCAGGGGTTAATTGCATTAGCTAATTTGCGGATTTTTCAAGTCCGTCCGAGCGATAACTGGGACTAGAATGTCTTTCATGAACCTGAAGTTGTCCAAACAATGAACATAATTTGCAATATTCTTCCAAGTTAAATATGTATTGTACCAATTGAATTTCTAGTTATCGCGTTCTGGCATATTTTAAGAAGAAATTCGTAGCATGAGTCACTGACTAAACATTCCAAAATTAGTAATTAAGCCTGGAAAGATTTGCTTAAGATTATTTGCCATAATATGCTTATTAAATAAACTATGGAATATTATATGCATTGTCTGAACGGGTGATTCAACTCTAAACTGTTTACTTTTACATGATTATGAATGGAGAACTTTTAAGAATGGTGACCATGGAACGTCGTTATGTCATCAAATAGCAGGGTCAGCGCTTAATGCGAACAAAGGATTCAATTAAATGACCACAACAAAGACAGCTAAAAGTGTAAAATAAACTAAGTCAAAATTCAAAAGTTGGGCCCATTCATAATTCTACAATAAATCCAGCATATCTTCGTACACTTGATTACAATTTTCTATATAGTAAAAAAATTGATATATTTGTGTACTTTATGCAAAACTAACACTGCGGGTTCTGTTTTTGGGAGCACTTTTCCAAAAAAATGTGTCTATTTCTCTTCAACTTCTCTTATTCTGTTTATAGGCTGAAATTGTCCAAAGATAGGTTACCCACACTGAATAAAATTCTATTTCTAATTGACAGTCCATCATATGTCTAAAGATATGAAGAACTGAATTAAAAATTAATAGTGTTTACCTCTCTAGCTATCTCTCTCTTTCTTCTTCTTTACAATAATATGCCTTTTACATATGGAGTAAAACCCCGAAAATATGTCCGTAATGATGGGGAATACCCTATAAAATTAAATGTAATGTTCGTCTCTTAAAAGTATAGAATTGAAAGAGGGAGATGGTATCAAAATGATAATGCATTAAAATGATTTCGCGTGATGTTGATCAAAGGAAAAAAAGAAACATTCCTTCAACAACTAGGGCGAATCTTGTTATTTCCGGAAGGGAAAGGATCCCCCATCCATCACATTACAGTAACATTCCAAAGTTACTAATGACGCCAACTCACAAGGTGGCGATATAGTCATCTGATTATTCCAATCAGTTCGTGATTTGCATAATTTGATGTCAATTGGCAACATTTTTTTTTCAACATCACGGAAGTTGACATCGTCTTTCTCCAACAAAATATCTTCTCGCCACCCAATGCCCATAAATAACATTATTTTTAAAACTTCATTAATAAACTTGCATTTCTGATGAGATGTCATATATTTAATATATTCATTGTATATATCAGTTTAGAATAATATATCTGTCATTAAGTGTATTTTAATTGCAAAGGTAGATGTATTTTAATGACTTATGATACTTCCAGAATCTACAGACTGTCGGCGACCAAAGCGACAAATCTTGTCGTTTAAAAGAAGTAAATCTGCCAACTTAGCTTCCATCATCGACAAGGTCAAATCAGACGGTGATAACAAAGGTAAAACACTAGTAACAATCTCGGTAATTCATCTTAGGGACAACAGTAAAAATGATGTATAGATTTGGGCAAATCGTTTCTACAAACCATTTACGGTTCATGAAAGTGATAATGCATGATGGCTTCTACATGTAGCATAAATTTCAAATGTTTTATTTAAATGATAGTCTGAATGGTTGCATAAATCGGTTGCCTATTTTCCATGAACTCTCTACATACATGCATTTAAGATGTCCCCCCTTAACGATCCCTATTTTATTCTTGTAGAGCATCAACCCGTCGGTTTGGTTTTCGGGATACCTTTGGCGAAATGTATCGCGAACGATATTGACTTGCAGAAAAAAAGAAGTGCTAAAAACGAAAACAATGACGTCATTATTCATCGTAGAGAACCAAGGTAAACCACATCAATTTAAAATATCAGTATATACTGTATGTATATTTTAGCAATCAAAACCTGTTTGTAAATATGTATCTCAAAGTGTATTACAATTTTTTCAGGAAATCCAGTAGCTCATCACAGGGTTCCACAGATAACTTGAATCAAAATGGAAATACTCTGTCACCCGCTTCAATCAGCAAGGTGCGCTCTTAAATATCATTTTATTCTATAACCAAGGAAGAAATCGAGTTTTCCTTAGTTTCTCTATGCATTACTCCACTTTGAATCTAAATGGTCGAGATTTGCAATCGTTTATCTACATCATTACTTCACTTTGTGTTTAAATGCTTACCCTTCTTGTTTTCAGAGAGTCCCTAGTACCGATTCTTTGTCCGAGTCCGACTGTAGTCGACACACGACAAATTCTAGTCTTGTCGATGCCCTGTCGCTATCGACACGTCCAGAGAGTCTGAAAAACGACCAGCTTTCGTCTTACCCCTCAAGCCAACCACGTGTTCCAAAAATTGTGCAAACCTGTTTCAAGTATCTTGAGGCTTATGGTATGTATTCTCTTAACAGTAATATACTATTTATACGATATTTTTAATTTATTAAAAAACAAGCATGCTGGTATAACTGGTAAACAGTTGCGAGTAATGTCGATTTTGAATATTAAAAGATGATTTTATTAAACAAAATTCATTCCTTTTTTTCAGGACTTCAAGTTCTAGGTATTTTTCGTGTTGGGGCATCCAAAAAAAGAGTAAAACAGGTAAACTACAAAGTCCTTTCCTATTAAAAGAATTTTAAATGGGTGTAAAAATAAGTTGCTATTGACTTGCTTGAAGAAGTTCTATTATTGTATTTTTTCAAGGCTAAATGCGTGATTGATGGCATGGTATATGAATTATGATGTTTCATGTATACTTTGTTATTTTCCCAGAAATCCTTAAAATAAATTATTACCTTTACCTAAAATTTAGACTATTCTCAAATGAACTTCAGTGATTGTGCGTTTTATAAGAGGTCTGATATTTCTTGTTTAGTAATAGCCCTTTAGAAGGAATAGCTCATAAATGATATTTTGGGAAAACATGTTTCCATAGAAACGTAACAAAATGTCATCAAGTTTCATTATATTTTTTGTATGAAATGAGATGACTAACGTACATGTTCCGTGAGAATAAGACTCATGTTTTACTAACAAGATTTGGCTTTATTACAGCTGAGAGATGAGTTTGATAGCGGTAAAGATGTGAACCTGGACGAGTCCCAAAATTGTCATGATGTAGGTGCACTGCTTAAAGAGTACTTCCGGGACCTTCCAGAAGCACTTCTAACACGTGATCTGTATTCAGCATTTGTGGCTACTCGAAGTAAGTTTTTTCTTTTCCTCCAGCATAAAATTTGTAATGTCCTCAATAAAGAGAATTGATATGATAGACTAAGTGACCACTTTTTCAAAATTAAGAATTTCCATTTTCAGAATTGGGCAGTAAAGAGGCACGCATAGAGGCTCTTAGTTACCTTGTTTCTCTACTTCCGGTCTCAAACAGAGACACTCTCTGGGCACTTCTCAACTTCCTGTCCACAGTAGATCAACATTCCATGGATAAAGTCGGAGAAGATGGACAAACAGTAAGTTGAAACAAAAATAAATTTTATAAAATGAATATAAATGACAAATGCTTTTTATGGTTTTATTTATTGGATATGTTTATTAATTGACATTTATCCACCAGTTGCCGGGAAACAAAATGGATTCCAACAATCTCGCCACTTTGTTTGGGCCTAACATTCTACACAAGGTGAAATCATCTGAAAAAGAATATCAGGTGGAGAGTTTGGAGCGGGCGGAAGAGCGCAAGGATGTCATTGACGTCATCAAAGACATGATTGAAAATTACAATCAAATATTCCAGGTAAGCACTGTATCAGTATTCTGAACACCTGCACCTAATGTATTAAATTCTTGTACATTACATTGATTGTATTTGCCTTTTCTGTTTGAGTTCTGATCATTATTTTGGTTTTGAAGGTTCGACCGGAAGTGCACGATGAAGTGATTAAATTGTTGGTGGACACAGACCCTGAAACTGCCGACGATTTGCTCAAGGCTATGTCAAATGACATGGGGTATGTATGAGCCAGTGTTTTAATTTTATAGATATACACTTTTAAATGGTAAATTATTAACATCAGTACATTGGAAATGCAAAGTGTCCCTTACACTGAAGATGACAAAGTATTCAATAACAATGTAACTAATGTTTATATATTTGCTTTCTTCTATAGAATTGAACCTGACCCTGACACTACTTCAAGTAGCATTTTTGAAGACAGCGATACGGCGTCACTGCCACATTCACCCTGTAGCGAAGGGGACTTTAATGCATCCGCAACAAGAGATAGTGCTCTACATCCGCCTTTAAGGAATACTCATAGTGAGGATATAATGACTCCTAAAACAAGGCGGAGATTCTTTTTTTCTAGTAGTGACAGTGACAAGAGTAAAAATAAAACTGACAATAATAATACGGAAAAGGAGCGCCCTAAGTTCCGGTTACGTATGGACCGGAGTCCAAGTCCCGGAAACAGAGCGAAAATGAGGCCACCGAAGGTGAAAATCTCTTCAGACAGTTCAAGTCCAGAAATTTCAGTCCGTCGTTCTCGCTCAGAATACGTAGATAGACCTCGATCCGAAAACTATTCGAACATTCTTGCCATTCCAAAACCAAACTACGTCAGACAGAATAGTGCCACAAGTTTTGGTAGTTATGCTAATACCTCATCTAGTGACAGTATGCCAGAACCCGAGGTATCAGGACAATATTTACTACCAACTCCAGTATCCACAGATAACTCGCCTTTGTCTAAGAGAATATCCCCGTCCCAGCGCAGGCCATTAGGGGTGCGGAGGAATGCGTACTCCGGTTGGGAACGTGAGCGCTGGCGGCAGTGGGAAATGTTAGCGGCGGAGGGAGGGGATGAGGGATTTGAGAAAGAGACTCTTGTATGATCCATGCTGAACTATGCAATTTATTGATGTTTAGTATGCGTGATAATTGGAAATATTTATACATTTTGCATTAAACGGGTAAATATCTATGTTCAAATCAGTGCTCTGCAATATATTTGGAAATTATTTCCTGTGCAATATGCATTTGGATTGATGCAATACGAGTAGTTTTTTGTATTTTGTGTTTCTCATTTTATTCACCCCCATGTAGATGTCTCTTTATTGTCTTCCATAAAACATTGTTAAATTTGAGATTTTTGTCTATGCAAATAAATAGATAAAAACTGTTATGGAAATCTGAACGTGTTCGGATAAAATGTATGTGAAGTTAACGAATGTGGTTTCTAAATACTAGGAAGTGATATGTTGCCTTTTTGCGGAAACATTTTTAAAAGAGAGATCAGATGTTCTTTATATTCATTGTTATATTGTTTATGCTTAGTACTTGTTTATAAAATCACAAAATAAATTATTTTACATACGGACAACTCTATGCTGTTTTATTTGAAAAGGAAAATTGGGATTCTTCCATTTCACACACGTCAACATATACTATTCTGTCAAATCAAGGTGGGCAAATATTGAGCAAAAGTACACTCATTTATATGTTAATGGAAGGGAAAATCAATTAACTTTACAATCCGATTATGCCGTAAAATCAGCGTGAAATTACATAGTTCTTTGATGTGGTGGTTTCTTCATACCAGAATATTGAATATTTGGTTTCGGTTGAGTGTTACCTGTACAAACTCTGGTGTAGGTTGTACAACTGTGTATCATTACACCGTAAGATCCCGTTACACCAGAGCTACATATACCATAAACATCTCCGGGGTATATTCATATCTGTACATCACTACTGTTCACAGGAATGAAATATTTTATAGAGGAAGGTCACATCGACACAGTTATTAATACGTGTACGTAAAGTGTATAATCATTACCTGGAAAACAGTAAGAATTAGATTTTTTCATGAAGTGTATTTCATGTCGTAGATGAAATTAACACGGTTTTAGTAATTTCAGCTATTATTTTTATAAATATGCACAGCAATTGTAAAGAGGTCATATTTTTGTGGAACATTTTGACTACAGTTAAGAATAAGAATACGTACACGTAAATAAAACCATTTTTTACAATCAATATCTTTAAATCTTTGAATGTTTGTTTTGCTTAACGTCCCCTAGAGAATTTTTTTTATCTAAACCGGAAGCCACCAGTTGTTAGTGGAAGGCTGCAAATTTACACCTGTAGTGGGATTCGAACCCGCGACGATACAATGCCAGTATTTTTTTTTTTTATATATAAAAGACACGTTTCGATTATTTTTTGTTAACCTTTCCAGGAATGTTAAACTATTTGTATTGCAACTGTCAGCAAAAAGAAAACGTTACCGACGGTGAACATACTACGAAGTGCATTTAGTATTCCCTACTCCCACGGCAATACCACAGTAATATATTATTTATGTTCTACAGAGTTTTCAACAACAAGATTGCCAACGTAATTTTTTTAAATGTCAAAAATTGTCAGAATCATGTAGATCATGTCATTCAAACCACATTAAAAAGCAAAACTATCTACAATCACGACGAGTCAACATTGTTGGTAGTTGGTACGCGAGTTATCTATTAATTATGATTCTAGAAATACGACGTTTGTCAATATTTTAAGTAAAAGAATGGTAATGGAAAATGGCATCTCGAAGAGTAACAGTTTAGATATATTAAGATGAGCCCCACCTAAAGAAAATTGACAAACAGGTCTTTTTTTAAGGAGCCTTTACACTCTGCACATTAGAGAATTCCAATTTTATGGTTTATTTAATGATTGTGCTCTTTTACATGTAATTATATTTTTAAAATAAATGATTTGAAATTAATCTACTGTCTATCAACTTGATTAATTTGTAATTAATCTACCCATATTTAACAAACAATCTGTTGGCACTTCGATGGGCACTAATTGTGCTCCTTTATTAGACGACCTGTTTTTTTATATTCATATGAAGTAGAACTTATTCAAAAACATCTATACTCGATGTTTTCAATTCACAATAGCTACTTTCATTCATATGTTATACATGTGTATCTCTCTTTGTATGTATCAGTCGAAAACGATATATATGTATTTAAAAACAGCTTACTGGGACAAAAGGGGTTACATTATCGATATCAGGTAGTGCATATTAGAATACAAAAATAGGAACTAGGTGTGTCGACCCCAGATTTAAAAAGAAATGGAAAGGGAAGGGCACAATTTAATTTTTCTCAATGGCCAAATTTTTTTTTCATTAGTGTATTATTGGATCCTCAAATCTTTCGTTTACTCCCTTGATTGAAGTCTCTTTTCAATTTATTGAAACTTTTAACAAACAATATGGATGGGGAAGAGGAGTAAATTGGACGAGTACATGCTTTGACCTTTATCCTAAATATACGTTGTTCAGGGTCACTGCACATTTTGTCAAAAGTAAAACATGGGAGGATCGAGCAAATTATAAAGGAGGACGCAATTAGCTCCTAATAACCAGTCCTGGCCAAAGAAAAAGAGACAAACGGACGGTCTGGGCGAAAGTCAGCACAACGCACTCGCAGTCCACCATACAGTAATGCACTTTTACATGTAAGTTTTAATCAAAATAGTCATGCGCGGATCTAGAGGGGGGGGGGGGGTTCGGGGGGGATTTGCAGAGTTATATAAAGTATATACTGACCCCTCCATCACACGATGAATTAGGTGTTTTTCACCTTTCGGAGATGGATTTTAGGTTTTTTTTCTTCTAGTTGGATAATAAAGTCCCAGAAATTATGTACAGAAGCTTGTTAATGCAGCCATTAACAAGGTCGGATGATGGTGGGAAAAAGATAGCATATTTTTTTCAACACTGGAGGTGTGTGTGTGTGTTGGGGGAGGGGGGGGGGAGTTCTCCGGAGATTTCAGGGTTATGTCCCTTCCTTACAAATGCTTAACACACGATTTTGAAGTAATAAATCCATTCAATTAAAGATACTTTCCTCAATCTATTTACTATTGTAACGCTGGACTTATTTTTTTAAGTTAATTTTTAAAGAGACATTTCCAACCCACCCTTACACATCAAGAATAGAACAAGTCTTAGTAAGGCTCTAAGAAATATGAATTTAATGACGCCTGGAAGAAACACATAAATGGCAAATTGTATTTGTTGATTCAGTCATATAAAGGACAATATAAAAGTTAACTGTGGAATTTGGCCCCTTATTTGGTGTAAAAATCGAAACACAGTTAAAATATCGTGAAGTTTTCAGTTAAGAACTTTCAATTTGTTATATAAAACATGCATTAATTCTGAATCAAACCGTACACGGTGTCACAAAAGATTCCAAAATATGACATTTTAACAAAATATCTCAATTCTGATGGAATTTCGTCAAATTTGAGATACTTTTTACTTCAAAAAAATAGAGCACAATGCTTGTCTATCTAAAATTTCTATACACAAGATGCATATGATGTTAGTGCATGAAATATATTAACTTCGGTAGATAGGCAAGCTTGTGCTCTTTTTTTCTGAAAATGTGCTTTAAAATTGATGAAAATTTGCGTATATATGTAAAGGGGAATTTAAAAATTGGCATACATTTTGTGACCTTCCTGTGATCTTTTTGTATCCGATTTATAACTTAGAATCAATACTCATTTTGTATCAGGAATGACAACTTGTTTAGTGCAGCGTTATTGGAGACGCTCCAAACCGGGGGACGAGGGGGGGGGGGGCAAAAGTGGGTTTTAGCCTATCTTGTCTTTTAATTCACATAATAGAATTCAATACAAAATCTACAATACGGTACCTCATCCGCTAAAGCAATAGAATAGAATTCTCTCTTGGTGGGTTTGATTCAAATGAAAATGTTCCTAAAGAACTTTTTTTCATTTAATTTAGGTCTAGCTATCAGTTCCCATGAAAGTTTTAACTTAAAGCGCACACTAAATTCTAATCATAGGTTGCATCCGAACCAGGTCTGGTAATATATATCCTTAGATGCATTATTCATGCAAGTTTTGGTCACCATACGGCTTATAAAAGCTCTGACGACATGTGAAAGTTTAGTCTAAGAGAGACAACTCTTACTCACATCCATTCTTCAAAACACACGCAAAATGTCTAAAGAAAAACATTTCGAATCCCCACCGTGGTCACACCTTCATGTATACAAATATTCAGCTAATGCAAGCTAAAAAAAATAACAGAAAAATGTAGCATCTAATAAATTGTGATATTTATTTACAATTCAATAACAGAGTAGTGAAAAAATATCCATAAAATAGGTCTTTTTTTTCATTGAAACAACAGGTAACAAACAGATAATAAATCCAACACAGAAGTGCTGGTTCAACACAATCTCTAATATTGTCAGCATACTGAACAGCTTATTTCAATGTCATATAACAATACAGAATAATAAAATTACTGCTAAAGGGTTTAAGTTAACCTGACAAAATATATTTTATCAGGTCAACTTTAAAATAATGTTTGCTTGCCCTCTCCCGACTCGGGATGGAAACCTTGGGTTGGTAGGTAGGTTGGAAAATTATTTTCCTTGGAAAATTTTAACATCAAGGCTAAATTTACAAAATCTATTTTCTGGGATTCATAAAAAATAAATGCTTTCTAGAGGTTAAAAACATTTTGAGTCGGGCCATTTTGAGCCGGTCGGTCAGGAGATGGCAACCAAACAATTTTTAAAGATGGCCTCATAAAGCAATGCCTACCAATGTTAAAACAAAAAGAATGCTGGTATAACTGAACAGGGTTCTAGAGGTACAATAGCTGTAAAGGAACTAAGGTACTCTATGAACAAGGGGCCATTTCCACAAATCTGAACAAAATCATTCTATAATTCATTACCCACAATGGCAAGAGAATAATTTGGACTACTCAAAACCTGCAATTGCACTTGCATGTAAAACATTAAAATACCTGCATTTCAATCATTGATAAACAGGTGCAAGACTCCATGATACACTATGTATTAATAAGCTGATAAGCAAAAAAATCAGAAACAGACAGAAACATTAAGGTAGTATATAAATTAGTGAATGTATTTGAATTTCAGTACAAAATCTTCATCACAGGAAAACACGATGAGATTCAGTTAATGAATTGCAGTAGTACATGTACAAAAATTAGCGAATCCTGTGAAATACATTAAGCTAGTCTATGATAAAATGAATGATATTGGTCACCCTGTGGGAAAAAGGAAGTAAAACTGAAGGACATTTACCTTTTTTCCCCCTGAAGTGGGACTAAGGAATGTAGGAAAACACAGGGACAAATTCATCACAATAAAAGCATTCTCTGTTGGGGAAATTCAAATGTGGAAAAAAATCTGTTAATCATATACTAAGATAAAGCAAAGCTATTTCCAGCACAAGAAGCACGTGAAAACGGTAGGAATGTTACAAATCTTCATTTCTTTGAAATAACACAAAAATAAACAACTCATGAACACAAATGATTGTCTACACTACTACTAAGCCAAGAGTTCGATAGAAACCTTCTCCATCAAAAAAAATATATATATATAATGGAATAATTCACCAAAAAAAATCACGTAAGTGTTCTGTGACACTCTGCTTGACCTGAAAGGTGTGACAGCATAACTCATATTCCTGGGATTTGGCACAAAAGTCAATTGTCTCACTGACTTAAAGAAGCATTTCATCCAAACATAGTTATATCTCTACCTTATCAAGTTATAAAGCTTTATCAATGCATAAATTAATGTCTAATTACAACAGAGCATGTCAAATTAATTGTGAATTTGTGAGTCTACTACAGTACATGACATACAAAGACAAAATGACTAACAATCGCATTTGACCTACAATCACACTTGAATTGTCAGAAAGGAAAACACATGGAAGTTTACTTCATACAGTATTTAGTTCCACTGATATTTAAAAAAAAAAAAGAAGAACTTAGCCAATGAATAGGAAAGTCTTCACTGAAAAACACAGGCTGAAAATTCGAACCAGTTGACATCAGTGGCAGTAAACTTCTTTTTTAACAGACAAATTTTCCAGCAGCTGTTTCTGGAATTTTTTCCCTTTGTTTTGAGGGATGAACAGCAAGATTGCATGTAGATAGCTTCACATTACCTTTCCAAGTTAAAAATACAGTCAACTTTGTATGAACACTGAAAAATATATCTATAGATAGAAAAATTTGTAATTACTATAGGTAGCCATCTTGTCCACTTTTCATATCCTTATCAATAATCAACATCATCACACTTATTTATTATATATTTGAAAAATTGAGCATTAGTACCAATCTGTGGAAGTATAACAAATTATCAATAAAATGAATCGATCAAAAAATAAATTCATATATATATTGCTTTTACATACTAAACTTTATACATATTCTTCTGGTCATGACTCATTTCAAGATACTTTTTGGATGAACATCAAATGTTGATAAAAAACAGTAATGATGATTTAAACAGAATTAAACAATTCCTACACAGACTACTCCTAAGATCTTTTGTTGTTTGTACACAAAATTCAATATGACCTGAACAAAAAAAAGTTCAAACCCATGATAAAGTATGGATTATATACCATATGAAACACAGGAAAGAATAAAATAATAAGGCCACAATGCTGAAGAACCATTTAATCTGTAAATATCTTCATCTATTGCAAAAATTGTATGAAAAAGCACATGAAAAGCAGAGTGAAATAGATTCTATAAATCTGTTTTAAAGTTAAAAAAAAGTGGCACAACACTGATGGGATTATCTCCCTTCTTTCAAGCTGAACTTCAATATTAACCCTATTCCTTGGAATCATGGGACAAAAATATTACACAACATTTCATGTATGTGCTTATATTTTTTGACCACCAACCTTAAACAGAAACCCATATATTTGTAGACCTAGATAAACATATCACATCACAGCTTATCCTCTCTATGCCTTTTTCTTTTTGAACAGTTTGAGAAACTGATGTCGTTTTTTCTTGTTTTCTAGCCTCTCATTTTCCTCACTTTTGCCATTTTCTAAACTAACAGATTTCAACATCAGTTTCTTTATGTTGAGTTCTGACTGGGATTTCGGCATAAGTGTAGGGCTGGAGTTTTGGGTGATTAGTCGTGTGCTGGGGGGCAAGGTGAAGTTTCCCCCACTCTCTTTATCCGTCTCGTGGGTGCCTGACCGAGGCCTATTCACAATCCCTCCTCCATTTGTTATGGGAGGGTGGCTGTATCTGGTCCCTTTAGAGTCCGAGTCAGAATCCTCTGTACGAGTGAGAGTGAGGTCTGTAGACTTATCCATCTCAGAAGAGGACGGTGACTCTGAAGAACTACAATAGAGTTTTTTTCTGTCAGTCAAACATCTATTTTCAAGCAAATAAAATAAGTAAATTGGTTCAAATACATGTAACATTAATCCCTCAAACAATGCTTCTATTAAAAACATTATCCTTAATATTTTTTAATTTGATTTCTATGGTGAGAGGTCAAAAGCATTACTGAAAGTGAATAAACACATTTAAATTGAAATTAGAGGTACAGTGAGCAAGCTCACAAAATACCCCCTCCCCACCCCACCCAATTTTTTTTTAAAGTGCCCATTTGCAATTTTGTAAATGTAACCTTGAACTTGCAAAATGACCTTAGTTAAAAAAAATGACCAATCCTCTGGTCATACGTAATTTTTTAATGAAATATCAAATATGGACATTCAATGTTCCATCTTTAGGAAATTATAGACCTGACATCAATTTTACACTTTTTCTACCAGTCCAGTGACCTTGGACTTGCCATAATGACTTGGGTCAAGTTTATGATATACCTTCAAGATGTAAGTAATATTTGTGTGAAGTATGAAGTTCTAATGTTTATCCATTAGAAAGTTATGGACCAGACACACATTTAACATTTTTTTGCTGCAAGTGAACTGACCTTGGATTAGATCATGGCATACCTTTAAGTCATAAGCAATATTAGTGTCAAGTATCAACTTCCAATGAGCCTTCATTTGAATGTCAAAGACAGGACACAAATATACTTATTTTGTCATTGACCTTGAACTTGCTGGGATGTCTTGGGGTCATGGTCAATACATACCCACAGATCATAAGCAATATTTGTGATAAGTATAAGCCTCTAATGTTCTCTATTACAAGATATGGTCAGGTGAGAAATTAAACATTTTTCTATAAGTGACCTTGAACTTGATCAAATGACCTTGGTTCAAAGTACCGACATGCTCATAAGCAATCTTTGAATGAAGTATGAAATTTCAAATGTTTCTCCCTAAAGAGGTTGTAGATTGGACAAGAATTTTATACTTTTTCTGCCATTGACCTTGAACTTGCCAGAATGACCTTGAGTCATATCATGCCACACCCTCAGGTCATATATTATCTTTGTACCAAATATGAGCTTCCATTGATTCTCCATTACAAATTTATAGCCTGGATAAGATTGCAGATGGACAGATGGACAAGGTGATTCCTTCCCAAACTTTGTTTGCAGGGGGTATAAAAATCATAAAACAAATTGTCCCTGAGACATTTCTGATTTATCTGATATGGCCTATTCTTACATTCCCATTAGTTTTACTGTAATCTAACATGTACCTTTCGTCCAGGCTAAAGAGAGGTCTGTCAGAATCAGAAATGACACTGGTCGTTTCTGATAGTGGAGATACGGGACTCTCTGCCATTCGGCTGTTTACATGCCCCGGTCTGCCCAGAGAGTTAGTGCTGCCAGAAAATCCTACGCGTACCAGTGAGGAACTGCTCCCCACCAGGGCTTTAGGTCGTTGTCGAACCTGCATGTTGTACCCTGAAATCATACAAATATAAACTGGTAAAAATTGATAAAAGATGGTAAAGAAAATTACTGTTTACATTTTTACTTCATTGGAAGACTTAACCAGTGTAGGAAAAATGTACCGGTAGTCAAATATCAAATTAACTTAATTACAATATATTTGGAAATTTTAGACGATAACATTTTACCAAAACTTAATAAACCATTCGACCCCAGTTCAAATTTGTCCAAACTGTTTTCCCACTGAATCATTTTGTCCCCACCCTTCCATCATGTCAAAAAAAATCTTGTGTTGACCTTGACCTATGCTATAAATTCATTTGAGATTATAATCATTGTCTCAGGCAAGAAACTGAAAAATCAAAAGGCTCTCAATGGAGTCTGTATTTTCAGAGCTGCAGGAGCAAATGGACAGATGGTAAGGCAAGATTCCACATTCCCCACAAAATTTGCTGCTTAGGCAAAAACTGAAAACTACACTATATGCAATGGTAAGAAGCCAACAAAAGCCATTAAATTCCAGAAAAAAACAATAATCTTTAAACCACATTATACAACAATAAGTACAGTCAAACCTCGTTATCTCGAACGTGACTTGGATATTGGAGGATTCAAGATATTGAGGGTAAAATACATAAAGAAATGTAGTTGGGACTTCCAACACTTCTACATATCCCTGGTATCAAGATACTGGTGTTCAAGATAATGAGGTTCAACTGTATATGTACTTGGTAACAATTGGATTTTCTTGTCTTTGAAATATAATGCTAATCAAAAAACACTGGACTCAGAAATTAGTATACAAATATACATGTATATGTATATGCATTATATCACAATACACATGAACAGATATCACATGACATTGTCACGAGAATTATTTTAGTTTTTTTATAGTCAATTTTGAAGAAATAAGGAAAAGGGAGAGAAAGAATTTGTTTTCACAAATATCCCAATATACACTCAGATTTACAGGAATTTATTATGGTACATGTATATATATACTGTCTCATTGTAGTCATTAAACACAGTATACACTGAAAAGAAATGAATACATTTTATGAAGTTCAAGGACAAAAATTCACAATAATTCCAAGTCTTCATTTCAAAACATTTTATGTATTAAATTAATGTTTATACTATTTCCAATCATAATTATAAAATATTAATTATTGTACCTGATTATCTCACCCGGAAATGTAATCTAAAGATTTGTTATAACTAATCAATGGTTCTTCAACAAAAATATCTTATTTACTTTGTACAGTATACTGGAAATTTTTTGCTTTATGAAGATATAAAAATTTAGATGGTGGCCCCACCAATGTTTCAAGTTGATCATTTATAAGTTATCTATCTTCATACCATGGCTTTTAGTCAAAATTTCCCAGTTTGCAGTAGTACAAATGCGTAACATAAATGACAATGCTAATGCTGATCAAAAATGCTCATCCAAACTTCTAGCTTAGCTAGAAATGTATAACAAAAAACACAGCCTATCCTCATACAACATAATGTAATGGTGAAGGCTGTCAAGGACAGTAACTCTTTGTTAACCTGTTGTAGAGTAGATACATGTACTGGTAATTCACAAAGTTTACTGTTCAAAGCTTAAAACAATGTTGCTTGTTAGAATTATTACAACAAAATACCATTGTCCATAGAAATCAATGAAAATGGATTGGAAGGAAGGAAAAGTTTGATTCCTAAGACAAACTCATGTATCTGACACATGCAGACATTCCTGCATTCAACACCGATAAATTAGCTTATGAAATAATAATTTTAGATCTTTGATAGATCTATTGAATTGTACGAAGTAAAGATAAATCTTTGTTGTTTTATAAAGTTAAAATTTGTTCACATGAAATAGCTGGTGTTAGTATGCCTATGAGCAGATGAAGAACATAAATTAGTAGGTCTATATTCAAGATACTTCAAACTTACAGGAATATGTCTTTTCAAAAGATGTTAGATCACCCCAGTTCAAAGTTTAAAGAAAAACAGTGAAAGGAAACAGCCTGACAAAGAATTCTCAAGTGCAAACATGTAGATCTACTCTTGTGCAACAATTAATGAAACCATACTGCTTAAATTTCACTACTTAAATAGGCAGCATAGAGTAATGACCTTGACAACAAATTTCAACCAATCAAATATCATTTCACAATGATCATAAATTCTTAACTTATGCGATTTTTATGCAATGAATGCCAATTTCAAATTGAAATATTTACCAGTATTAAAGATTACATTGTAGCTTGACTTCACAAAGACCTTGCTAAAAATGATTCACAGTAAATAAATAAACATTTCTATTTTATGCTTTATATTTCACATTAAAATAACACATCACTATTTTAAGACTAAAACAATTGTACATCAAACTGTTTTCTCAATCCTAGATTCTCACAGTTTTATTGTTTGAAACTAACATATTTGTTCTTGATAATAAATAAATCTACACAATTTTTCCTTCCTCAATTAAATCTTGACAAATTGTCATGTGCAAAGAAAAGCTTGTTTACAGTATACATTCTTTGAGTGGACTCTAATTTGAAATTTGGTTTTTACACTCGAAGCAAAGCAGAACTTGCAAAAAAATTAACCTACATACATGTATACTAAATAAGTGTTCTAAAGCAATTTATAATTATCAGAGTAAGGCATAATTCTATCTTAAATCAGAGCAGTGTGTACCTGTATACCTGGAATAACACATTAAAAAATTCGTACAACATAAATACCTAAATAAGCAGCAACAAATTTTAAAAAATCTGCAAGTTATGAATTGCCCCATCTCCAAGATCTACACCTAGCTATCGCAAATATAATGACAAAAGGGTGATCTGGAATAAAAATACGAATGTTAACAGTGCAAGAAGCTTTTACAGGCAGGAAAAGTGGGGGGAAACAAGGCATACATATAACCGCATGCTGCTACATCAATGTGTATTCACAGTGAGAAAAGGCCTACCTGTGTACAAGGATGGTCGTGAATAACCATTTGACATCGTAGACGAATAATACATGGCTGCCAGGGAAGAAAAACAGACCCAAGATTGACATTTACAGATTTGCTTAGAAAATTAATTAATTTACCTGACAGCTGTACAGTTTTCTGTTTTTATCTTTTAAAATTTCAAAGTACATTATAATTTGATGCATTCATTGGTTTAACTGTTAAAGGGTATTTCTGTAATACCTGGATTTTAGAGAGTAATTTTCAAGCAAAAGCTGTTATACTTAATTTAAAAATAATTAAGAGCAACCATTAAATTAAAGGCACTCAGAAAGGGAGTTAATTCTTGCAATCACTCAAATGTATTAGGGCATTAACTAAGTGTAGTGCAACAATAAAAATGATGTGTGTTTATGCAACTTAATCTTGGATGAACACTTGGAATTGGGGGGGGGGGGGGGGGGCACTGGTGTAAACTGAGAGGATTCCAAGCCATATTGAAGTTAGGAATGTGTTACAGATCAATGTAATGCAGTTTTAATCGTTAAGATTCTGCAAGTAAAAGAATTCTGGTTTGAGAAATGGAAACTTTCCACAAATATGTCTAATATCAAAAGTTTGTATGATATTTCAGATATGCAATTTAAAATTCTCTTAATTTTCAAACTGATGTCCAGTAATTGTCGTGCATAATTTATCCTCAAATGAACCAAAACCCGATTATCAAGCACAGTGAAGATATGTCCAGGAAAAACAAATTAATCTTTATTCAGGGATTAACACTGCACCCCAGACCAACATACAAACAAAATATCACCTGATGACTTTGACCGAGGTGAGCCTAAAATATAAAGGGTGATTTTTTTTATATTTAGCAGCGACAAAACATAATATTTACTCTAAAGCTGTCTACAAGAACTGAGAAACACAGAGGGTTGAGTGGTAAAATCTATCCAGTTTGTTATAGACAGAAGTCAAATTAGTAGAAAGAACTAAAATCAGTGAGATCTGTCTTTGGGCATGATATTAAGGCTTTGATAACATGGAAGTTTTGCATTTTACAGTGAATAGAAAGAAATTATAAGGGTGAAAATTTGAAATTATAAGGTAGTTGCTATTAGTATAACATAACAGAGGGACTGGACATTATAAAGAAGTAACATTTAGCAGAATGGCTGGGCTTAGATTAATAATGAAGTTAACATATCAAATAAACTTCGCAATACAAATGTACCTCTATACCACAGATTGTGACATATGCATGAATGCCAGGCTGATTAACATGGCGTGGATATTTCACATAGCTTGCATTGTGTCATTACATTAATACTGCAGCAAGACAGTTCTAGACTATCTGCCTTAGTTACCATGACCATGCAGTTCTCTTAACAGTATACCAGAGAACAGCTGCCTACAGACTTATCTATCCTTTATACTAGCCACAAACAGCCAATGCTTACCATACTGTGGGTCTTCGTCCAGCTCTGCTTCATCCACATTTAAGCTGCCTAGAGCAGTGGAGAAGTTATTTCCACCTACAATATTACAACATAATACAATAAACAATTTAATACAATATTCAATAAAATATTACAATTTAATACAATAAACAATGCATTTACTCTGCATGTGAATACTATAGATTCCAATTGTTTGGTCGAAATTTATTCCTATTTTAACTCTACTGACCTCTATCATTTATTAGAAATCTTGAAACAGAATTTGTTCCAAGAAAATAATGAAAATGACCACAAATTTTCTGTGTACTTATCATACAAACAGGGAAGCATTACTTCTTTCAAAACAATTCATAATTTTTTAATTGGAATTATTTTTAAGAAGGCATTTAATTTACATTCAAAATTTTACAGCATTCTCTTTTTCTTTTATTATAAAATTACTGTTTCCTTTGTTAGTATTCATTATTTTAATAACTCATTATTTTTCACCTGTGCTAGTGTCTAGAAATAAGGTCTGTATTAGATGCTCTTTCCCTGGGTTATTGATGATGGGAAAGCCACATAACATTTCTATATTATGCCACCTCTGGGATTTCTCTGTTAAACATTTTCTAACTTCATCCAGGGCCTGCCTGAAAAGACATGAAAGCTTCAAATCAAAAGTTATCCAGTCTTAACCTAAAAATATTTACATCCACTGAATATTATCTCCTTTATTTCTAAATACTTTAATGATGCTAAGCAAGCCACCTGTATAGATTTCTTGAGCAGTGGTTCTTCCATCAATGAAACATACAATGACATACATATCAAAAATACTGTAGATCACGTTTTAGAAAAGATTATATAGAACAAAAACCAGAGTTCATGAAAATTATGTCCCGCTTATAAATACAAAATGGCCATTGAAATTTAGCTATACACAAATTTGAAGTCAAAGGAAAGGACAAGGTCAAAATGTTGATGCAGTTGAATAGCTTTCACCAATATGTATCAGCATATTAGATTTGATTAAAATATCTTTAATAATTTCTTTGAAACTGGGTCTTACACTATTTTGAGAAAAGTGAGGTCAAGGTCACAAGAAAGATCACAGTCAAAAATTTTGATGCAGTTGATCAGCATAAAGGGTTTGATAAAAATATCTAAAGTTTCTTGAGATAATCACTTATTTAAGAAAGTGAAGTAAAGGTCAAAGGAAAGGTCAAAGTCAAAAAATGTTGATGACGTTGAACAGTTCTCATCAGTTATGTATCAGCACCTAAGTTGTGATAAAAATATCTTGAATAGTTTTTTTTTTTTTTTTGAAACTGAGCTAAACAATATTTTAAGAAAAAAGTGAGGTCAAGGTCAAAGTCAAAAAATGTTGATGCAGTTTAATAGCTCTCCTTAATATGGCTCATCATATGAAGTTTGATAAAAATGTCTTGAATAGTGTCTTTGAAACTGTGCTAAACACAAAGTGTTACGGAAGGACAGATGGAAGGACGGAAGACGGACATGACAAACATGGCCATATTCATGGCGGGGCATAAAAAATAGGTCTCAAGCAATATGCCCATCGTTAATTCCTGGAGCATGATGATTACCTGGCACTTTCTATCTTATTATCAAACTGGTCAATGGAGTTTGTTGGAGCCATCCTAAGAGGTCCAAATAATGCCCCTCTTTTCTTCTGAATTCGTCTGCACTGTAATATACAAAAAGACAATCTCAAAACAAAAAAATCTATGCCACTGCCTTAAATAATTCAACTGTATAAGTTAAATTACTCTTCTATCTGTTAAGCATCTAGACACTACATTCTACTCTAACTAAGTACAAGTACTAAAAGACAGTTACAACGTATTTCAGTTTTTTAGAATCAAATTTTTACCATTCTCTTATCTGCACATGTTATAAAACATTGACAGTACATTACATTTACTCCTCTCTATACTGTGTAAATCAGTCCTTTTATTACTTACTTCCTCCCTAGCCTGCTCCAGCTGTTTTTCAGCCTCTCTTTTGTGAATGTTGAAGTACATCTGTTCCGTTTCGTAGGTCAGTTGAAGCCATTCTTGGAGTTCTGGTGGCACGGAATGTACCTTCTTCCCTAATTCCTTTTCTGCCCTCCTGAGAGCTGCCCTAACCTTAAACAAAATATGCCAACAATTTTGTATGTTTTAAAAAGAAGTAGCCTATGTCATGAAAGAAAAGAGGTATGACCCTTTCAGCAAATTAGTTAACTTTACTGACAGCAAAAAGTATTTCACAGTAGCAAGATGCCCTTGGGCCACACTACTCACCTGAGTCACCCTTGCTCTGCTGTTCTTCGAGATTTAAAAAAAAATCCTCTCTAGGGAAGATTTCTAAATGATTTTTCCACCCTTCTTTATTTCCATGAAAATTTTTACCCCAAATTATGAAAAGATTATGATAGAATTATCCTTTGATCTTAATTGTTCTCTGTCATAGTTATCCTTTGATCTTACCTGTTCTCTGCCAGACTTATCCTTTGACCTTACCTGTTCTCTGTCAGAGTTATCCTTTGATCTTACATGATCTCTGCCAGAGTTATCCTTTCATCTTACCTGTTCTAACTCACTCTCTGCCAGAGTTATCCTTTCATCTTACCTGTTCTCTGCCAGAGTTATCCTTTCATCTTACCTGTTCTCTGCCAGACTTATACTTTGATCTTTCCTGTTCTAACTCACTCTCTGCCAGAGTTATCCTTTCATCTTACCTGTTCTCTGCCAGAGTTATCCTTTCATCTTACCTGTTCTCTGCCAGAGTTATCCTTTCATCTTACCTGTTCTCTGCCAGAGTTATCCTTTCATCTTACCTGTTCTCCGCCAGAGTTATCCTTTCATCTTACCTGTTCTCTGCCAGACTTATACTTTGATCTTTCCTGTTCTAACTCACTCTCTGCCAGAGTTATCCTTTCATCTTACCTGTTCTCTGCCAGAGTTATCCTTTCATCTTACCTGTTCTCTGCCAGAGTTATCCTTTCATCTTACCTGTTCTCTGCCAGAGTTATCCTTTCATCTTACCTGTTCTCCGCCAGAGTTATCCTTTCATCTTACCTGTTCTCTGCCAGACTTATACTTTGATCTTACCTGTTCTAACTCCCTCTCTGCCAGAGTAAGAGCTGAATTTTCCTCCTGCTTTCCTGCTTCCCTTTCCTTTCTCAGTTTTTCTGCCTCCCTCTTAATTGTACAAATTACAAAATAAATACACTTGTTTATGTATGATTATCACATGAACAATTCAATTCTATTACTTGAAGACAAAAAGAAGTCAATACACTTTATAGGTTATCTTTCAGCTTAGGCCATTTTTTTTTTTAATTGGTTTATGGAATTAAAAATTTGTTAGGAAAACGGGGAAAAAAACCCAAAATACCAGTACTGGTAGGTGAATTTCAGCAACATCCATCAGCCATGCAATTCTAAATTAGAGGACCAGACATAATGCTGTGATTTTTCTTATTTCTTTTTAATATTGACATCATTTTGATTAATTAATTATTGACTGTATTGTTATAATGGAATATGGTTCAGCAGTTTGATATTGTATTGATGTATTAAAAATCTAAATCACGGTTCCGCCTCCATCAGGGATCCAACAGTAATTTCTATTATGGCAAAATAGCTTTTGTAAGCAAATCACCAATACTTTTATGTTTAGCATTTGCAATCATTGGTTTTGTTTGAAAGATTTGCATGTTTCATCTTTTAAAACTAATGACCGGTATTTCAAAAATGTTGATTTCTTTGATTCTCTGGTAATACTTTGTAATTAGAACATTTGGTATTTCCTTGGTTTTCTTGGTTTTATGTAGCATTATGACTCTGTTTAAAGCCAAGGATTCATTAATAATTGGGTCAATCTCAGTTCTCTTGTATTCTCTGTTTAAAAGGTGTGATCTGAACTCAAGAAGTTTGTTATGCAATATTACCTTTTCACTTGTATTGCGTACATGTCTTATACATTCCCCCTTAATAAAGCCTTTAAAGACTGATTTGGGTGAGGGCTGTGACAGTGCAAATATTGGAATGTATTTGTTGGTTTAATATATGATTTAACATCAAGAATGTGAAATTCCTTGTAACAGTTTCCTTTGAAGTTGATGCAGCCATATATTTTTTCATGGTTACAGCATGGCTTTTGATGTGTTCCATTAATAATGTTCCCAAAAGCTTGCCCATGTTTTGATTTAATGATAGCTGTGAAAGATTGCGGTCGTTGAAATGAACGTTGAAATAAATGTTATGTCCTAACCCTCCATTATGTCGATCAACCATGAGGGTTTTTCTATTGGTCAGTGTTTTAAAGGTGCATTTAATTATATTTACAATGCAAGAAAAAGTGTTTTTGTGACTGTTGTGTTATAGAATTGGGTATGTCAATCCCTATTTTTTTTTTTTTTTTTTGGTAATGAAAAATTATCATCGACAGGAATGTAAAAAGAAGAAAAATTCTATTTTATTTTTTTTTTCTGATATTTTATAAAATTGTTACAGCAGATCCGTAATCCAACTTTTTGAAAAAAAAGGCCTTATATACATTTTACTTTCTTAACACTTCAACTTAAATAAAGATAAAAAACCCTTAAGTTACTTGATTCTTCAAATTTAATTATAATTACATAATTCATACACTAATCTGAGCCAAATGAAGTTGAATTACAATCTAGGATCCCTAACAAAAACAAGATTTCACCTTTGCCAGATCAATTTCATCCTGGTATCTCATTTCCAAGGTCTCTTTCTCCTGATAAGCTGACTTCTGTTTTTCTTCGGCTGTATTCAGTCTAAAAGATATTGACAGTAAAATGTCACCTGCCATATATTTACAAACAATCATTATACTGAAATTAAAAAACTATTTTTGTTTAAGAAGGCTTAGTAAATCCTACCTCATAGCATGATAAATCATAAAATGTTCAATCGCAAAATAGAGTCATTTTCTCTCTGTCAAAATTATAAAACTTTGGTTCAGTGGTTCAAGAGAAGAAGCTGAAAATGTTCAAAAGTTTATAGCCAACAAATGATGGACAAAAACAGATCACAATAAAGCATGAATGACTCAGCAACATATCAATAAGCTACCTGTATATAATTTTTATGCCCCTTCTATTCTTGCATACATTACACATCAAACAGAATATAGGTCATATATATAGATATATAAATTATGTGCTTATTTCAAATGGATTTCAAGAAAAAGAAAAAAATGTTCTGATATTTATGTTTATGACCTACTTTTCCTGAAGTTCCATCAGAGAGTCTTCTGCTTTTTGTAAATTTTCCATCTCTTCCATGACCTTCTTCATCTGAACTTTGGAGGATTTGTGGAATGTGTAGGCAATGCCACACCCCACGAGGGCAGTTACAAGGGAGGTCATTAGTATCAGGTCCTTCACAAAGTTATGCTTCTCTGTAAGAGACATAAACTTTCCTAATTAACACAGAAAATATACAGAACAATGTACAAAGAATTCAATTCAACAGAATTTTATCCAAGTTTTCTATTTATAAAAAAATTGTTTTATTTTCAACATTTTTTTTAAAATTCTATCTATCAAGAACACATAAAAAGAATACTAGATACAAGAAAACTGACATTTTAAATACTCAAGTTAGTACCAGTATACACTGTTGATGTAAACTGTACTTTTTACTTAAAAAAAAAAACCCATCTAAGTTGGTACCCTAACCTTTAGGGGGACCAAACAAAATGAGATCCATGGCCTTCACCGAGATCTTCTGCCGGTGAATGGCATTCTTAATTTTCAGGACATTCTTTGTGAAGTTGTTATTCTGAATGGCAATGCTGAAAAAATTATAAAAATGTAAATAATTCTTCTGGTTTTTAGCACTGGAAGCAACATCATTAAGTAAGTATGTGTCAATGGTCCTTGAGTGGATTTTTTCTGCAGCCACAAGAAGTTTTCTTCACAACAAACTTCCTTGATAAAAATAACCAATTACATGTAACGTGGTAAATAGTCATATACCAAACAAACTTCATTTTCCTTTCATAAATGACAAATATTTTTTCCAAAAATTTAAATGAATTTTTGAATTTTCTCTCCTTTCACTAAGGTTCAGGAACTCCAAACTACATTAATCAGGCCTTAACTTCAAATATAACTCAGAATGACAATTTTTAAGTTCACAAATTTTTATGAAAAGCTTCAGTATCAGAAATTCTTCTGTCCTTCAAACTTATCTGGGGGAAAAAGTACATTTGACTTCTTATAAAAGGACAAGCAAATTGTTATGTTGAAAGAAATCAAAGAACAAGCAAGTCTAATGCTCCTTTTTTGGTTTCTTTTTCAGGTGACATTCAGAATAATGCACTAGTTCAATAACAAACATCAGTGAATACTGAATAAACCTGTTTTAAAACAATTTAAGTGATGGCATACAGTAAAAGTCAATTATTTACAAAGTTCCTCAATATTTGGGGTTCATTTTTCATCAATTTTAAAATATCAAATTTTGAAGTATATTTTGCTTCAGAAAACAAAGCATTGGCTTAAATAAGACAATCTGTTTTTAGAACTATTAACAGATACAGAATTGGATACATGTGTACTCATAAAACATAGGCTTGCTAATGCTTGTTATTTTCCACAGCGGAACATTTTCTAAAATGATAAATAAGTCAAAACTAAAGAACTTTGTGAATGCTTTAAATCAATAATTGTCATCTTAGAAACTAAGTACAAATTATCTCAGTATTAGCTACATTTAATATTTTTGACTCTTCACAAAAAAATGACAGCAAACCACACCTTTTTTTTTCTCTGTCCTATATTTACCACATATACCAAAGACTGCTGGAATAAATTTATCCATAACTTAAGTATTACTGTAACACTAGAAAGACAATATACTACTGGTACTTAGCCCACCAACATATATCTTTTTCTTAACTGAATCACCAAATACATGCATATAAAAAATTAAAAATTTTATAAACCATTGATATCTATCATTTTTCTACACACAATCATATTTAGAAAAAATAATATTTCAGATTTATTAGATTTCCCTAGAAAATATACAGGTAAACCCATCTCATAATCTACTGTACAAAAATAACATGGACATGACACATGAAGTACACTATTACAATGTACATGTATTTGAATTTATAAACATTTTCAGTGATATTTAGAGTGAATTCACTGCTGGGCAAAAAAAAAGATGACTTTGAGATGGCAACTAATAGTACGTTTTTAGTATTGCATTGATGCATGAAACATAATACTAGAAGGATAGTCTGCAACTTAAAAACAAAACACTTCACCATGCACTGGGGCAGCAAAATCACAAGGTACCATGGTACATATTATAAATAGATTGACTGGGTCACAAACCTACCTACCGACTTTTGCCATGGGTCCAAGTAATTAATACTCTACCAAAATAAAACTGTATTTAATACTAAAAACTGTTTTCCTGAAGAAACTTTTATTACTAGTATTTTAATATGCTCCTGATTTTTTTTGATGGGCCAAATTTTCTAAATCTACACTAATTAATATATGTATGTAATACAATCCACATCCTGAACTAGAAATATTATTGTTGACTTTAATTTTGCAGTACTTCAATCTTCACAACAGATTAAGATAAAAACATGTCAGTAACTGAAAACTTTCTCGCATTAGTGGTTACCTTGGTAACATTGTGCCATCGATCTTGGCCTGCTGGAACGTGGACACATATTGACCAAGTTCCACATGTTTTGACAGCCATTCAGTGACCTCCTCTATAGTCCAGTTGTAAACTGTCAAAAATAAATCATCAGATGTAATGTAAGTGCCAAGACCAAAAGCTTTAGATTTCACACATATTTTTCAGGAGTTATCTTCCTTCTTCGGAATTCTCCAACAAATATATACTCAAAGTAATGAAAACAGATGACTACATGCATCCATGTCATCATAATTTCATTTCATTTAATTGTTCAACTTCCACATTAAAGATACAAATTTACAGAATGTCTACAGATATATATTTCAGTATGGATTTATAAGATGTTATGTTGCTTAATTGTAAACAAGTGTTTTTCCCCCCACAAAGATATTTATGATTCATAACTCAAAAAAGTTCTACTTTTTTTAGTTCAATAAAGTCATTTGAAAAGAGTGTGCATATATAAATAATTGATGAGATATACCTAGGGTGAATATATATTTTTGAGAATTTATCTTTGCTATGTGTCAAGTTATCAATAAATCAACACTTCTCAAGCAATCTAGAAAATCTGATATTTTCTTCTAAAAAATTTTTTGTTGTTGCAATATTGATGCATAATGTCACTTGGATAGATCAAATGATGTTTCCAATCCATGAAAATTGCCCAGATTCTGAAATTTATTGATTCTCATACATATATCATCACTAGTTTGTCTTTTGACTGACACTTTTCTCTCTCACGTCATTCACAAGATTATTGGTAATAATATCACACTTTGGTCACAAAGTATTTAAAAAATGTGATCTGTGAAAAAACACATTTTCAGAGTGCACCAAGAAAAATGCTCTTTAGAGATTAAAACTATGATGAAAGTGCACATTCAGCTTCACAAAATCAATTTTTTATAATTCTATTTCCACCTAGACAAAATCCATATATTACTTTATTTCTTTTAAAAACTGATGCATTAAAGACATAAAAGTTGATCTCACAGACTGAAATCTAGTCGTATTTTGAAGTTTCAAGTTAAGTACACTATAGATATATTCTGCTTCCAAGGACATATGTATATTTATGTCCCAATGAGGAATCACTAATATATTAATGAATTTTTTTAAATAGGCAATGAAATACCTGATACATGCTGAATAGTTCAAATTTAGCAATGTCATTGAATATCTTAAGAAAAAAAAATTGGTTTAAATAAAGACAAAGCCAATTATCATAACAGTTATAGCATCAAAATTCTTTGCCTATCTATTTATCTATATTTATTTGTCAATCTGATATTTAATGCAATATGCTGGAGCACTTCAAACAAAACAATATATATTTTAGTACAAATGTATAACTCATGGTAGAGTATCACTATTATTAAAAAAAATTGTTTTTCACTGAGTACTTTACAACTGCATTATATTTTCACAATTTTCTAGTTTTTGCTATTTTACAACAAAATTAGAATTGCAAAAAATTTACAACACAAAAAATACTAACAGTATTCATGGTTTATTTAAACAAGAAAATAATGCTTTCTTTGTTTGTAAGTATAGGAATTAATGTTGCAGCTGTAACAGTTGCAAAAAGAATTACATAACCTGTGTACTAACAAAAAAAGAAAGACATTTTATTGTTTACATATATTTATGTATGAATAATCAATTGCGAGGCACACAATGCATAAGAGCACTATAAAGATGGCTTGAAAAAGCAGTTCCAACTGGCATTTACTGATTGATGAAAAAAGTGGTTTTCATAGAAATAAAAGAGAAAATCTACAGTGAATATAAATATCTATTATATAAAAAGTCTTTGAATTGGGCAATAACTCATTTCAAACTGGAAAGTGCAAAAAATGAAGTTTCACAAAGAAAGGATACTGTAAATGTGGATATTTACACGAAATTAGGAGCAAGAACACACGCCTGTGTGGGTTTATTAATTCTGTGATACTGGAATTACGTATTATCCTGCCTCTGATAAAAATCTTGAAATTTCATTGGTCTCGAGAATACTGTATTAAACCATATTATGCTGCCTACCGTCATTATATTGTTAATGTGCCTCCTCAATGTGACCTATCCACCACATATCAAATCAATATACCCCCTCCATTTGCCCTACTGTCCAGGTCATATTCAATATGTTGTTTTCATTTGAACACGCATTGATGTCACACAAACATCAAAAAATGTCACAATGTAAACAATTGCATCGGAACGATTTGCTCAACTCAGAGAAAATGAACTTTATTAAAAATTCTTCAACAGGATAAATTCCTTATGTAGACACTTAGAGGAGTAATACGGAAATATATGGGGTCCTTGAACAAAAATGCAAATTGGGCATGACTTATGCCTCGCCCCAAATATGCATTTTTTCAAGGACCCCATATACTTCTGTATTACCCTCTAAGTGTCTACATACCTAATATTATTAAAACTGAATAAAAATTTTTTAAAGGTGTTGGTATGCAGGGTGATACTTACATGATAGCTTTCTTATCTTGTACTTAGTATTAATTACCCTCCACCCAAGCATAGATTTTCAGGTTTACAGTAATCCCCATTTGACTTTTTCATAAAATCTGTGCTATGCGAAAGAAAAAACATACATTTTGTAGTAAGGAATACATTTGTGAATGTAAGTGCAAAATTCATTCCCAGCTAACCTTCCTCCTAAAACCACTAGTTAGCAATATTTATGAAATCGTGATCTGCATCTTAATGTCAACTCTAAAATATACTGCCAAATTGATTTGATTCATTTCATGTGGTAACCTAAGTTACAGCTTTCAATTATCAAGTTTTCTACTGTGGAGGCGAAAATGTAAACCTTGGAAGTAATTTTCTTTAATATGCAACAAAGTATTTTTCTCATATTATCTACGCCTTATCAGTTTCTCTGTACCACACCTCATCAACATTTCAAAATAACCTCCTTTATACAGTCAATCCAATTAAAAATGGCTTAATAAAATACATTGGCATCTCAAAATAACCCCCTATATCTAGTCTACCCAATTAAAGAATGGCTTAATAAAATACAAAGGCATCTCAAAATAACCCCTTATATCTAGCCTACCCTATTAAAGGTGCTTGGACACAGATTTATTTTAATATTTTCTCAAGTTTTCAGTATAATATCATGACTTATATGTTGCCATAGCATTTCAAACGGAAATAAAATAAAAAACTTCTTTTATCTGGAAATTATTGAAACTACAAATGTCGGGACGCGTTTGATTGATACATCCTAGCACTTTCATAAAGCAAACTTTATCCTTAATACTTAAGAAAAGTAAAATGTTTGTTGTGTATTAATGAAATAAAATTCAGAGTAGAAATGTAAGAAAGCAAAACCAACTCACCAGTATTGTCAGTCCATGCTCAGTGATGTGTGCAGAGTTTAACAAATTCAACATTTGTTGATGGGTGCGTTCAATTTGTTAAACTCTGCACACATCACTGAGCACGGACTGACAATACTGGTGAGTTGGTTTTGCTTTCTTACATTTCTACTCTTTATTTTCTGGATTATAGTTTAATATCTTTCAATAATGCACAACAAAATTTCTACTTTTCTTAAGTATTAAGGATAAAGTTTACTTTGTGAAAGTGCATAGATGTGTCAATCAAATGCATCCCGAACTTTGTAGTTTCAATAATTTCCAGATAAAATAAGTTTTTTTATTTTATTTCCATGTGAAATGCTATACAAGATGCCATGGGGCCACATCGCTCACCTGAGCACTCTGGCTAGGAAAAAAGCAGAAATCAGTTCAGTCTTGAAAAGTTTAAATATAAAACTGGTTCGGGGGGGGGGGGGGGGGGGGGGGGGGGGGGGGGAGGGGGGGTATTTAACTAACTTGAATCTAAACTTCATAGGGATGCTTTTGAATTAATATGACAAATAATGGCTTTGCTGTTCTTAAGAAGAAAATTTTGATTGATATATCTTTTATATTCCTTTGTATGATCCCCTGTTATGGCCCCTCTATTCTCCAGGGGATCATGATTTGTACAAATTTGAATCTACATTACCTGATGATGCTTCCATTTAAATATGACTAATGGCTTTGCTGTTCTTGAGAAGAAGATTTTTAAAGATGTTCCCTATATATTCCTATGTAAAACTTTGATCACCCATTGTGGCCCCACTCTACCCCTGGGGGTCATGATTTGAACAAACATGAATCTACACTACCTGAGGATGCTTCCATAAAAATATGACCAATCACGGCTTTGCTGTTCTTGAGAAGATGATTTTTAAAGATTTTTCCTATGTATTCCTATGTAAAACTTTGATGCCCCATTGTGGCCCCACCCTACCCCCGGGGGTCATGATTTGAACAAACTTGAATCTACACTACCTGAGGATGCTTCCATATAAATATGACCCATCATGGCTTTGCTGTTCTTGAGAAGAGGATTTTTAAAGATTTTTCCTATATATTCCTATGTAAAACTTTGATAGCTCATTGTGGCCCCACCCTACCCCCGGGGGTCATGATTTGAACAAACTTGAATCTACACTACCTGAGGATGCTTCCATATAAGTTTCATATTTTCAAGCACAGTGGTTTTTGAGAAGAAGATTTTTAAATGACGCCATTAATTTTTCATGAATTCATAATTATCTCCCCTTTGAAGAAGGCGTGGCCCTTCATTTGAACAAACTTGATTCCCCTTTACCCAAGAATACTTTGTGGCAAGTTTGGTTGAAATTGGCCCAGTGGTTCTTGAGAAGAAGATGAAAATGTGAAAAGTTTACGACGACTACGACAACGACGACAGACAACGGGCAAATTTCAATCAGAAAAGCTCACTTGAGCCTTTGGCCCAGTGGTTCTTGAGAAGAAGATGAAAATGTGAAAAGTTTACGACGACGACGACAACGACGACAGACAACGGACAAATTTCAATCAGAAAAGCTCACTTGAGCCTTTGGCTCAGGTGAGCTAAAAACATATAAGTCATGATATTATACCGAAAATTTGAGAAAATATTAACTTCAAATCTGTGTCCAAGCACCTCTAAAGAATGGTTTTAAATGAGAAAATTTTCTCATTTACATTATCTACATTCCAAGTTAAAAGGAAAACAAACAAAAGATAGCAGTATTCAAATTGCTTATTCCCATTGGTCGATTCCTCTGAGCTGTCCAGTGCAAACAACATACATACTTTTAAACATACTCTATATCAGTGCTTTACATCATGTTATGTGCCCCCTAGCTACAAAATATCAGCTCTTTCCCCCTAGCTACAAAATATCAGCTCTTTACATGTGCCTTAACTGTGTATTACCCAGTACATGCATTAGTGCTGTATATAGTTACACACTATCAGTACTGAATGTGAGCCCTTTATTTGAGCATATTCTAGTATCAGTACTGTACATATACCCCTTGATACACAATATCAGTACTAAATATGTGCTTCTAGTAACACAGTATCAGTACTGTACACGTGTCCATATATAGTTACATAGCATTAGTACTAAATATGTGAACTGTACACATACCATATCTCTAGTTGCACAGTATCAGCTCTGAACATTTTCGTCCATTTTGCAGAATCAGCAATGAGTAATTTAGTGTGTTCCCTAATTTATTACACAGTAACAGTACTGAACATGTAGTATTAGTACGGCATGAATATACTCCCTACGTGATCGCCCAGTGTCAGTACTGAGCATGCTTTCAATAGCTACACATTGATACTGAGCATGCTTTCAATAGCTACACATTGATACTGAGCATGCTTTCAATAGCTACACATTGATACTGAGCATGCTTGCTAAGTTATTAACATTATCAGTACTGTACATGAAGTATTAGTACAGCATGAATATACTCCCTACATGATCACCCAGTGTCAGTACTGAGCATGCTTTCAATAGCTACACATTGATACTGAGCATGCTTTCAATAGCTACACATTGATACTGAGCATGCTTTCAATAGCTACACATTGATACTGAGCATACTTGCTAAGTTATTAACATTATCAGTACTGTACATGAAGTATTAGTACAGCATGAATATACTCCCTACGTGATCGCCCAGTGTCAGTACTGAACATGCTTTCAATAGCTACACATCAATACTGAGTATGCTTCCTAAGTTATTAACATTATCAGTACTGTACATGCTCCCTCTATAGCTACACAACATCAGTACTGAACATATGCCCTATCAGCACTACTTCCTTCTTAATCTGCTGTCCAACCCATCCCAGCTGTCACCATTTTGCGTACCTTGTGATTTCTTCCACGCATGCCACAAATCCTCCACACTTATCAACTTATCGTTGCCATGGAAAATCGACAATCTTTCATTTGACCCATCTTTGTACTGAAGTTCATCTCTCATAAACTGAAAATAACAATCAATACTTTACTTGAATAAAATACTAATCCTAGTACATGTATACAACTTTTTATTGTAGAAAAATCATTGTGAAAAGGATAAAACAAAAGGAAAATTTCTATCAATAACTTTGTATGTTTGCAATAAAAATTACATGACAGCTGTGTAAAATACAGATGGAAATGTAATGTTCTTGCATAACAGATGAAGCAAAGTCATATAAAATAAAATGACATGAATGACATCTTACTTCATTGAAAACCCATGATATTAGAACGAATACTTCTTACAATAAACAAATGTGACACTAGAGTTTCACTGTAATTATGTTCTATCATGCAGCTGTGAAATACAAAATACTCCATATAGAGGTTCATCTACCATAAGTCACCAGGTAAAGTGCTCCATGTCACTTTTGTGGCACCTGGTCTTAGTTTATGTGTGTTTCTGGTCAGTACAGCTGTGTCATTTCCTACCTGGACTTTGTAAACAAGCTGTTTTGACACACAGGAAGTTCTACAACTTTGTCTCATCTAATGTTCAAAGTGTGACAAATATTCAACACCAAAAATATTAATCAAAGCTCGCAACACATACAGTGTAACTAACTGCTGAATCATTAGTTGTTTATTCACTTACATGACTGAGTTTCTACAGAATTCTCTATCTTGTGTGTAATTTATATACATCTTTGTCCAGTAGATTTATAGTCACAGTATATGCACCGATTATAGTGGAAACATGTGTTAATAAAATGCCAGTAAATGTAATATATGTTTTGGCACTTTGTCTGATCTGATGCATAGGAGCCAATGCTTAGATAGATTAATCTCATAATGTAGGCAATAAGGAACAACGAATGGAGAAAAAAAAACAGGGCTGAAAGCGATGACTGGTCAAGCCAAGTATATGTCTCAAAGTGAGATTTATATCCTCCAACCCAAACAAAGAATGGTCAAGGTCTCTCTTTACATGCATTCTTAGTACAATATCTAGATATCAGTGTTGCATAAAACCAACACCTCATGAAGCTGTGTACTTTAGATGTTAGAGATCTACCTCTGTATATTCTGACCTGGGGCTGGTGTAATTAAAGTTTACTGATAAGAATCACATTTAACATATGAAGTGTACAGGTAAATGCTTTCACAATACTCTGGGGGTACTGCTCAGAGCTTTCTTTGTCCCACAATGAGGTCTTTTGTTTATTCAAAAAAAAAAAATTCACCTTAACTAAACCCATATTTAAACCAATCTGACAGGTAGGTCATTTTATGTCAACAACCCAGTGCCCCAGAGACTTTTATATGTTTGAGATATCAACTACCAAGTAAGGATTAAATTAGTTTTAATGGAATAAGAATGGCTTTGGTCAGAAAAACAAACACAGCTTGAGTGTGATAAATCAGTTTGAAATTATTTGATTTCTATTGGTTCCTCGAACCTTCTTCATTGCATTTTGATTGGTCAACAGAATGTTTTTGGGAATTGATGCAGGACTTTTCCTGGTCTGCTAGAACTTACCTCGTCACTTTCTGACTGGTCAACATTGCCATTTTGGTCATCGTCTATGAGGCGGTGAATTTCATACACAGCTTCCAGACTAATGTTGTCTCGCTTGCACACAATGTCTTTCTCATCGCAAACTGAAAAACAATATAAACAACAAACTATGATATGTCAGTGAAAATCATGCTTTATGTAGCACATTTTCTTGCTAAATTATGCTACATAAAACAACCAGAAAGATTTACATGCAAGTTAACATATAGCAAATGCATTGCATGTATACCCCCCCCCCCTCCACCCCTTACCCCGGTAGTTGAATCCCTGGCCCTCGTTACCCACCTAAACTTTTCTCTTACCTATTGTATACATCGAAATACATGTATATGATGATCCTTCAAAATCCTTTTGAATACTATTTCAAAATACTTTTTTTAAAAATATGTCAGCCAACATGAAAAAAAAAAAATAAAGCACCACCAACATTTAGAAAATGCCTGGGTGTTTATTAAATCTTCTTTCTGATAATTAGATAATTACCTATCTAAAAGTGGCTTACAATAGTTACTGAATTTAAGGAAATATTACATGAGTAGGCTCTTACAAGGACATAGACATTTCTTATTCTTGAGGTAAATTCATACTATCACTGCAACATAAAGCATCTAAGTAAAGTATGTATATATGGTATATGTATGGATAAGACAAGTGACTGATCAGACTCATAGTCAAATTACCCTTTTAAACTGATACATTATAACATGCTTGGTGAGTTCATTTTCCTATTTTAACTATATATATTTATTTTCATCAACATTAAATCCTAGGGAGCTATATAACATCTCTGTATCTGACATATTAATTAGCATCCACAGACTTTGCTCTGATCAACATTTGCAATCAAGCAATCAACAGGATCAGCTGATCAGCTGACTGAGCCTCTTATAGGACAGGTTGATGGAGAAGTTTGTAAACTAACAAATGACTTATGTAAACATGTCTAGTCGGTGAACCTAGGGTGTTTCATGAGGCTTTAAGGTGGTTTGTCACTCTTGAGAGGAATTATAAAATAGAACAGCTGTAGTACAATTTGTTAGTGGCATTCTCTGAGGTGAAAAATCAAAATAATGATGTCAAAATATTTATTCATGAAATAGGAATGTTACAATGTTACAGTAATTAAAGATGATAGATCTGGAAAATAAATTCCCTAATCAAAAAAACCTATGGAATGTAATTTGAAGAATTCAAGATGAGATAAATATTAAACAGTTACTGAATGAATTACAATACAATGTACTTTTTATCATTTACTTAGTTACCTAGAAAAAGAGAAATATGAAACTTGAAATTTTCAGCTTAATGATAATTTGGAGCATTGTAACTACAATGTACTATTGAGAAAAACATTCAACATAAAAAAAAAAATCACACACTGTCACACAGAAGTTATTATTCAGAGTATCGTACATATAAAATAGAGGGGAAAAAAATAACAAAGTACAGGATATGATTCAGGAGTTTTTTTTCCCTTAGAAAAATATATAAACATACAGTCACTCTTCCTAGTATTAAAGAGCAGGTTTGCCGTACATCATGGTACTGCTAACAATACAACTTGATTTTTGACATACAGATGTAGATATCTATAAATTGATATATTCACCTTAGTTGATACCCATCAGAAGCAACCACCCATCATTTACCTTATGAAAAGATCAAGGACCTCTTCTATGCAGTTTGACTTTATAAATCCAATCAATACCAGTATTTTAATCACTTTGAAGTACATGTATATCAAAGAGGAAAAAAAAATATGTTTAAATTAAATGAACACTGTAATAATGAAAAAACCATTCCCCCTTAAAATTTCCTAAGCTCCTTTGACCCTGTATAAGGTAAATATTAATACTGTATATTATATCAACTACAATACATGTACAACATGTTGTTTTTTTTTTTTTTTTTACAATTCCTATAAGCATGTATTTCTAACTTGCACACAAAGCATGAAAATGGTACGGAAAAGGAAATTTACTTCCTCATACATACAAAGCAATTAATTCTACATTTCCAGAATGTGATTGCTTATTGCTTTCTGAACTCAATATGCCATCTTTCATCTAAATTCCAATATACGGGTAACAATATCTACCTGTACTCTACAAAATCCAATATTGAAGGGCATTGTTTGGTTACTTGTGTATCAACATTTAAACCATGTAGATCTTACTGAAACACTCAGCAAAGCAATAAAGTTTCCTCATAAATATTAAAATCAAACACTAGAAGACATAATTTCCATAGCTCCTCTTCACAATATTATTTCATGTCTACATGAGCATGCATGTAGCTGGGTTCTGAACACTCTTTAAAATACAAGTTTTCAATCTCCCTGATTAAACAAGTTCTTATCATTTCTATAGAAATCAATTATACACCACTCTTTTTCCCGTAATTTTGCTGTACAATTTTTTTTCTTGACTCTTCTATTTCAGGTTTCTATTTCATTAACATAACTTCTGGAGTTTGCTGTTGCTTCAGTAGAAACTGTAGCTCTGAGGTTGACATAACTATTCAAATTATGAACAGTGGAAATCTATGATTGAATTTTGAAGAAGACAATTAAAATTATCTGAAAATAAATACATGTATTACCCTAGATAATCCATGCCATGACTTTAATACCTTCTAGTTTATTTCTTTCCCATAATTATTATATGTTAACTACAATACAGAAGATACCCTATAGAAATATGCACTGGCTGATTTCTCTGAGGAGCACCTGTCTTCAAGCAGTAGTTGGACTATCTAAATGTGATTTTATCAAATTAGACATAGCAAATAATAACACAAAACAACACAAGACAATAATTACTCCAAAACAAAGCAAATTCATGACCACCCTCTTATCTGCTGATAATGCTGTGAAATTAACATGTACCTTTAAATATCAACAAAATGCAAAAGATATACGATAAACTGAATCAGAGTTACTAACAAATCAATATGAAACAAAGCCCCTGATTTAGAAACATTGTGCTGAACGGACCAACCTGCACACGCAAACATGCAAGGTTCACGTGGGTCTGAATTTGCACAATATTTAAAAAAAAACAGGAAATATGATGCTGTCAATACTATTATCTGATCACATTTATGTATATGAATGCCATCAGTTAAGTAGCATTAATTGGAAATGTAAACATGTAATGAACAAGTTGTAAATCTGTCCACGTTGTCTGCTAGTGTGAGGCCATCAAAGTGATCAAAGCTGTTCCCAGGTTTTACAGGGGCTCAGTCTGTGCATATCAGGCAAACCACAGATTCATGACAAAATTTTGAACCAAACCATAAAAACAATCCTCTTATCTTTGTCTTGATTTTGATTTTAACACAGATTGATTTCTATAGCTCTCTCAGGTTTAATGGTTCCTCCCAAGTTATAGGGCTTACATAATCTGATATAAAATGCAGACTATGTACAAAGTACTTAAATGATTTTGTATACTTATATAGATATAAATTATTTACAAAATACATAATTCAGTAATGGAGATGTCAGCATGCCACCTAACCATTATGTAAACAATAATGCATTTTATTTGTTTATGTGAAAATAGTTTTATTCTTTCTCAAAAATATCTTTCACAGCTTACACAAAACTTATGGTTTGCAATATTTTCTGATCAAAGCTTATTTATGTGTGTTCTAATCAAATATAAGTGATTCAGTCAAAGTTTACAAGTATCTTTTGGTTTTCATTTTCTATGTGAACACAGGAAGGATAGGGGAAAGTTGGTGTAATCTTCTGATGACACTAATCATAAAATAATTGGTGAATGTTCAAAAATATTTCAGTAACATTGAAAAATTATGCGAGTTAACATTGTTTAGTTAATAAATTTTACCTAAAATTTATAACTTTAAAGCAGAAGTACCAGTTGCTGTGTAATAGAAAGTGAAAATATGGGAAGGAAAAGTGAAAATAGGCTGATGATTTTGATCATCATGCCTTATACTAGATTCTCTTTAGTGTGAAAATGCAATAATCACATATAGTTTTAGTTTACAATGGAAAAAACTTTGGTGTTACTAAATGAAAACAATAACGATCATATCACTGCATCTTCTATATATATACATACATCAGATATTCATCAGAATCAATACACTGTCTAACTAAAACAATCAGTTTTTTTTTTTTTTCTTTAAGAAATTGATGAGGAGTACATCAAATCATCCTTTAGAAATGGAAAAGTTATAAAACTAATGGGATTTACACTAAAACATGTAACGGTTACAAGCTGGTAACAAGTAATGAACACATTCATCTTACAAACGTTCTTACCGATCACAAACTGTCCGTCCGAACCGTACGTCTCAAAGGACTTGAGTGGTTCACTTCTGTTTGTTAAATTGGTGGAGTTACCGAGTGCAGAAAAAGCAACGAACGCACACACTGTCGCATACAAGACAGTTGTCATTTTTAGAAGCCAATATAAATATCGCTCCGTTTTCATGTGGACAAGAAGATATTTTGAAACCAAATTTCATTATTAATCCAAATATATAAACAATATCGCATAATGTTCCGTTAAGGCATCATAGATAAACTGTTCCCTTTAAAACAAGAGTATCCCTTCTTCGCCATCACTTCTTTCGTCACCTAATGGAAGTCACCGAGAGTTGTCTATCTTTGATTTTTCGGGATTCCTCTGATTTGTTAGTAACATTGAAAGTTATTATGGAGTAAGTCATCAAATGTGAAAAAGGACCCTTCTTCGCACTTGAACTGCATTGAAAAAGAGAAATTTTCACTTTTTATCATTAACTTGCAATAATATTATTTGAATAATGAGTAAAACACGTACTTGTATGATTAACTACAATGAACAAGGGAGGTAATTTGAAAAGCCAGAAATTGCAATTTGTTATCATTTGATTGGTTGAAAGATGAAGATCACATGACAATAACATGGCTGCGCCCAGGCCTGGTGAGTTGGCTAGAGAAAGTTGTCATTTTTGTAAAGAATTCATAATCATTGCTGAATATATCAACAACTCAGTTTTAAGTTTGACACACTGATAAAAAAAAGTTGTCCAATTTAGACCTTGTGCAAAGTTATACATCTGTATAGAAAAAAGCAGAAGAAAAAAAAATATGTTGACACTTAGTCATGTATACAACAAAACAAAAAATCAGTTGATAATCCAGACTGCTCAGAAAGATCATTACTTAGTGACCAAAAAAAATTACACCATATAAAGGCCTCTTGAGTCCAGTTGAATTCAATGGAAATAAGTCATTTTAAAATAGGTTTACCAGTAGAAAACCAATTTGCTGTTTCATTGTGTAGATGACCTACATGGTCAGAGCTCCAAAGTTCTTGGTTGACTTGTATGCTTTTCAAATTAGTGGTACTCAATCTTTGGAAATATGTTCGCAGTTCAATAGGTCAGGCACAATCTCTTGATTAAGCTATATAGCTTAAATTAGCTACATAGCTTTATTAAGCTATTTAGAATAGCTTGATATAGCTATTTTATCATACTTTTTTCTTAAATGTGTTTTTTTTTCAGTTTGCACAAAAAGTAACGTCCGAGAGAGTTTTGGCCTGACGTAATAATCTCTCTCGGACGTTATCGTAATAAGTGATGCATTCTTGGTGTACTTCCAAAGGATTTTTCAACACACTGACTGCAATGCTGTTTAAAGATTAATTGTGGGATTTTTACGAGATGCAGAGTCAATCCGATAATATGAACTAAGACAGAAATATATGTAGAGACAGTGTGAACCGACATTTTAGGTTAAAATAAAATAAATACATGTTTTTAAACCCAGAAAGAGCAGTGGGGGAACAACGTAAACAAACCGGAGTGGCATACCTTTCTCTCTTATAATGTATAGTGGGGTATTTTTGTGTGGAACGATTATTTTGGGGTTTTCACGATTTTTTCCTATGGTACACATGATGAATAAGTGTAATAAATATAATTTGTGAAAAAATGTCTAACAAGCCCCGGGGTTGAATATCAGGGGTCCTGTCCACAAGTACCTGTGCAGTGACAGTATTCAACTTTGAACTCTTTCTGAAAATGATGCTTATAAAAATTGCTCATCAAATTGTGTCTCCTTGAGAGACTTTATACTCAAAAGTTCAAAAAGTTTTGGGGCTATATAAAGCAATCGATTTGTGACCACACAGTTACTTCTAGAATTAAATGATAAAGGAGTTCAGTTCTCATCAACAAGATTGTTGATTGGTAATAATTCAGCACAATGTGAAGCAGTCATACTTATCCATGCCTCAACACACACTAGGTGGTGTACAGTTATCCGAACAATGGAAATAAATCTTTTGCTTAAAAGTATTCAAAAGCTTCAATATTGGAACTATCTTTGATTTGGGATGCTATTCTGAATAGCTTAATAAAGTTACATATACCGGTATATAGTTAATTCAAGCTATGTAACTAAATCAAGAGATTGTGCTGAACCATACATATCTTGGACACATTTTTACTTGAACATCATTGCTTGTGATTTGTCTTGGAAGGATTTTCACTTCTACCAGCTTTTCCCATTGGCATGTTTATCCCATTAAATGACATTGTTAAATCTTTAGAGATTAATGTACCAAAACTAGGTAGATATTTGTTTAGATGTCATAATTTCCATTTAAAAGTCTATCATTTAATTACATGTTTAAACTTGTAACATATATCCTAAATACCGGTATATAACAAGCATAGTCTGCGTCCACAAATCACTTGAAATATTGCTTTAGTTTATACATGCACTTTCGTTTTCTCTGACTTGCACTTTTGTCTGTCAAATCTGGTTCAAATTGTTAACACCATGTCACAGATGTTGTGTTTTAATTTGTACATAAAATTGGCGCGCATTGCCAATCGAATGCGTTCGCTGCGTTTGTTTGTGTTGTGTGTTTAGTGTGAATGTTTTGGGAGATCATGTGACATTGTTTATTTTTGTATTTCCACGTGTTTCCGGTTAGGTGACCTAATGTGACCTTACAGCTGACCAATAACCGACTGTTTTATCTTATTAATATGCATGTTTAAATTTCTGCACCGAGTATTTAAGCACAGTACCCGCCAATTCTTAACCCCCACGCTTTTTGCCTTTACGGTAGAAGTCTTACATATATTTGAAACATAGAAGTATTCTTTCAAGTATTACTTGGAATTAATTTACTGGATTCCTGGTAAGCTTTCTGTTTACCTTTATTATAATTATTATATAAATGTATTTTATAATTTACTTTTATTAATTAATCCCGACAGCGAACAATCATATAATTTATGTGTTGTTAATGTCTGATGTTAAATGTAAAGTATTCGTTTTGTGTGTGTATTGTGTTGTGAGAGTGTGTTTAATTTATACTTTGTAGGTTTTTTGTTATAAGCACAGTAATAAATATAGTTGTGCCGAATCCAGTGTTGGATTTTTCCTACAAAAGACCCGGTGACAATGGCGCCCAACGTTGGTTTGTGCTGAAAACCAGGATCCAGGACTAGCTGCGAACGCCCAGGACCAAGCCAGTGTTTCTGTGACGTTTTGAAACAGCTACAATCTTCAAGAATGGAATTCCGTCCGATTCAAGTAGGCCTACATATTTTTTTTCTCGCTCTTCACTAGAGTACTTTATTATTAGAAGTGAATACCGCTTGTTAAACAGTGCGGAGAAAACCATTCACTAAATTGGTGGGAACCGTAATATACGTGTGTGGTGAACTGTACTCAGTCAGCTAACCGAACAATACCGCCTGTCCATTGTTTTGACCTATACCGTGAAGCGCAGCTCATGTATACCTAAGTAGACGTTAGTGCGGAGGACCATTATCTCTGCAGATCGATTGTCATTTGAGCTCATCAACATCAACATTTAATAAAAACAAAGTCAAGTGTGCACATCATTGTTTTGTGTTTGTCTATGTTTTTGTTCATATGTTTGTCTTTATGTATTTGTATTTGTTCTGTTTTGTAATGTGTGTGAGTATACCGGCCGGTGCTAACTAGTGCGCAAGGTGCGAGAATTGAAGTGTGAAAGAGATCGGGCTCGATATTCCTGTAATTGTGACGTCACGGTTTGTTTCGTTTTGTACTTTCGTAATACAGAAAAACGTGTTTTGTCAGGTGTTTCTGTTTGATCCAATTTATTTATTTTTTTTGTTTATTTATTGGCTGTCATTTTGAACGCGCTGTCGATTTCATCGTGCATTGTGGTGTTCATTACTATGTGTTGTCTACTGTGAATGTATTTTCCGATTTTTTGTTGAATGTTGTACATGTTTGTGTTCAACGTGCCTCCCTCTCCCTATCCCATTTTCCCCTGCGCATAGCGACAATCACTTTACAGGTATTACTAATCCATCAACTGCACGACATGGACTCTTGGACAGCTTGGACTGACAATCAGGTATTTGTGTTCTCAGTTATCAATGTCACTGTGTATATATTTTGAGTCTGCATGTGGGTGATAGTGTGTATGTGCATCTTGTTGATAAATGCGCAACGCGTTATTTGCTTTTATTTTGCTGGAAATTAGTTTTCATTATTTACAATTTGAAATCAAAATGTCAAATACTGCAGGAGCAAAAGATGATAAGGGTAAGAAGGAATTGCAAGATATCATTGATCAAATTAACAGTGAACAACATTTGAGAGTTTTGACAAAAGAAGAGTATGACAGATTACTCAATAAGGAACCCCCTACAGGTGTTACATTTCAACATCTCCCCACTAGTACACCTAAGGTTCAGCTCAACTTTGGTGAAGGAGCTATTCCTAAATTTAGATCCAAAGAATCTTTACTTTCACCAAGGTATTTTAGCCCATCTGCTCTGTATCAGAACCCAAATTCTACTCTGTGTCAAATTCCCAACCCTAACTCTGTTAAACTTCCCACATTTAGTGGAAGTGAACCACTGCAAAAAGGTGAAGTAAGTTTTGATGTATGGTCTTATGAAGTTAGGTGTTTGAAAAATCAATTACCTGAACATGTTTTGTTACATTCTGTTAGAAGTTCTTTAAAAGGGTTAGCCAGAGAGATGTTAATTCCTCTCGGAGAGTTTGCTAGTGTTGACAACATCCTAATGAAGCTGGAAGACTTTTACGGAAATGTCAGCACTGCAGAGAACATCATGCAAAACTTCTACAGTGATCATCAAAAAGAAGGTGAGAGCATTGTTGCTTATGGTTCAAGATTAGAACAAACTGTTTCAAAAGCTGTTAGACTTGGACATGTAGATGTAGTAGCAAAAGATTCAATGTTAAGATCAAAATTTTGGTCTGGATTGAGAAATCCCCAGTTGAGAAATGCTACTAGAAATAAATATGAAACTGTCAAAGAATTTCAGACACTGTTAAGGGAAGTTAGACAGATAGAGCAAGAAGAATTGAACTTAACTGTTGCTAAGCCAGTTCAGAATAATGTTGTATCAACAAATGTCGAAACATTAAATGTATCAAACTCTGATTTGCAAAAACAGCTCAGTGAACTACTCAGTCAAATGAAAAAGCTTGATGCTCGAATGAGTAAAATAGAACAAGATCAAAAGAATTTAACTAATGCAGAATCTTTTCAGAGACATACGCCTCAAGACAATTCCAAAGGCAACTTCAGAAACAGTTACCAAGGCAACAGAGGAAACTACCGGTACCAGAATTCAAGAGGAAGAGGAAATTTCTCACAGCAATATGGTAATAGAGGTTATGGTAAAGCACAGAGAGGTAATGATTTAAACTAGCAGCATCTTCTGTTGCAGGGCGGACAGAAGATCAGTTTACTAAAAGCCCTACTTTACCTCCTAATCAAGATCTATTGACCAGACTTGTAGGTACTCCTAATGAAGCAGACATTACTGTGTTTGGTACCAAGACCAAGGCACTTATTGACTCGGGGTCTATGGTCACATGTATTTCAGAATCTTTCTATGAATCTCTGAAGCCTATGCCTGAACTGTTAAG